AAGGCAGTATCTTAAAAAGTTAATTTGGAATTTCTAACTATTTTAACGTCCTTGACATTACTCAATACTGAACGTCAGGCGCCTTTCGTAAGACTCTTTGAGTTACTCCTTCCCAACCCCTCACCAAGAAGATGGGGATTATTTTCTAATTGATAATTTAATCAAAAGAAACTTTGTCTAAAGCTAGTTTTAAAAAATGAAATGATTTGAGAATCGAAAACTTACGTTGCTTAAATAAACTGCTGGACAAACGGTCTGGCCGCTTTCATTTTGAAAGCAAAATAAATTCACTAATAAAATTTTCAGCATAATGCCCCTGTAGGCGCGAGGCCCCTTTCAGACATGAGGCCCCCTCCAGTGCAGCATGAGGCCACCTAGAGTCTAGGGGCGTGAGACCCTTGGCAAGAGTGTAGTGTGCCCATGCCTTAAGACAGCACTGCTTTTCTCCACTAATTTCAATACTAAGTACGGAGCAGTGGCATTGCTAGGGTTATTACCGCGAGGAACTATCATCTTAGTCCAACATGACTGTAAACTGTAAACACAAATTCTTACTTTATTTTTTCGCTTCATATTTGGCAGAAGAAAAACGCGTTGACGAGAGTTATTCCCCTTTATGAAGTTTCCAACTAGTGATTCGCATTTATAATATTAATTTTGGAATGTGCCGATATTAAATCACATTAAATTGCCGAAATTTTTGAAAATTCATTAACAATATGTGCAGCATGATGCCTCTAAAAGAGTGAGTCTCCTAGAATCGTGAGGCCCCGGGCCAGTGCTCAGTGGGTCCATGCCTTAAGACTTCACTGGGCATAGGGTGACAGATTCCCTGGGCGCCAGACTAGCGGGGACGTAAAATAGGCTTTGATTATAGTTAAAGTGGGTGGTAAAAAATGAATCTTGTCTCTGTCGGTCGCCAAATGCTCTGGCTACGCCTCTGCCAGAGGCGTGAAAAGGGAGGCTGAGGGGGTGGTCCGCCCAGGTGTCAATTTTTGTATGAAGGGGCGGCATTTTCGGACAATAGCAGAGAAAAGGAACGCGGCAAACTTGGCCTGCCCAGGACGGTACTGGCACTAGTTACGCCACTAGGCATAATCCTTCGGCACCATAATTGGCGACTGTCATTGTTATCGGGAAGAAGGGCTGAAATCGAGTGCGCCGATAGCGTTTGAGCGGAGAATGGGTCTGGGGAGCCCTTACTCAGAAAATATTTGATTATTTCAATTTCCCACTTTGCAGTACACCTGAACTCGCTGTTTCTGTTCGACTATTTGACGGGAGAAAAAACATTTTCACGCGTCCGGGGGAGGCATTATGATTCCCAGTACCATACATAAACGGAATTCACTCCAGTTGTGGCGCGTACCAGGATAATCATTTGGCGCGTACCAGGATAATCATTTGGCGCGTACCAGGATAATCATTTGGCGCGTACCAGGATAATCATTTGGCGCAAGCTTAGATTGAACCCCGTACTGTTAAATTGATCGGCATGAGGGAAGGGTGGAGCAGAAATTGAGGTTGCCGAAGACTCTAGAGCAACAGCGGAGGACGGGGCTAACTTAGAAAATGTTCAATAACTACGAAAACAGTTTAAATATTTAGGTGTTATTTACGTTACAGCAACTGTGTGGGCTCAGCAACCCCTACAGCCTCACGTGGGTGGGGGCTCGAATATTTTAGGGTCTTAAAGTTGTGATGTGGACACTTTTTTAATTATCAACTTTAAATACATGGTGTGGAGGGGTGTGACAATAACCGAAAAGGGGCAGTGAGCCTCAAGCGACACTTTGCCTGACTGGTTGTGTTATACAAGTGTATATATATATATATATATTATACTTTTGTGTTACTAAATAGAAATGTTGTTTTTAAATTTATACCTAAACAATTTAGGGGTTAAACTGCTTAATTAATAAATGTATTTTCAGCACACACAAAATTCCACACTTAAATGGTTCCCATCACAAAAAAGATTTCTATAACAAACACAGTTTCCATCATAATAAAGGTTTCCATAACAAACACAGTTCCCATCACAATAAAGGTTTCCATAACAAACACAGTTCACATCACAATAAAGGTTTCCATAACAAACACAGTTCCCATCACAATAAAGGTTTCCATAACAAACACAGTTCCCATCACAATAAAGGTTTCCATAACAAACACAGTTCCCATCACAATAAAGGTTTCCATAACAAACACAGTTCCCATCACAAAACACAGTTCCCATCACAATAAAGGTTTCCATAACAAACACAGTTCCCATCACAATAAAGGTTTCCATAACAAACACAGTTCCCATCACAATAAAGGTTTCCATAACAAACACAGTTCCCATCACAAAAAAGGTTTCCATAACAAACACAGTTCCCATCACAAAAAAGGTTTCCATAACAAACACAGTTCCCATCACAAAAAAAGTTTCCATAACAAACACAGTGCCGTTCCCATCACAAAAAATGTTTCCATAAGAAACACAGTTCCCATCACAAAAACGGTTTCCACAAAAAAGTTTTCCATCACAAACAAGCACTACTAATAGAAACAGTGATAACGTCATATTTCGTGGTATATGCGATGAAAAAAAATATACAGATAAAAATGACATGTCCTTGATGTATCTGTCTTTAGCTTGGAGGATGTCATGTCGGAACTCCGCCACGGCTGGACCAATGCCAGTATGCAAAAGGAGGGTTGACGTGAGACCAGCTACGTCATCATCAAGAACAATAGATACAGAAGCTTCAACAAACAATTCTTAGCCCTAATAAGAGACGGCTCTTCCTACCCCAAGAATATGTATGAAGCATTGTGGCCAAAGCCAGGTTATGCGAGGAGCCTCAAACCCGGGGACCCTCCTTTTAAAGGCAATATCCATAGGCTCGTCGAATGTTTGAACCAAGTGATAGGCCTCCGAAACAATCCGCACAAGTGGTGGCAGGAATGAAAACATACCAGCTCACCCTGCTCGCCATCCGTAGAACAAGATGGACACAAGCTGGACAGTTAACATTGACCTCGGGAGACACAACTAATATACCCGGGACATGAGGACGAAAATGCTCCAAACACACACCGAGTCGCTTTCATGATGTCACGGATGGCACATGGGACATTGATAGGATGGGAAGCCCATGGTCGTAGAATCATTGCCAGAAAGAAACAAGAAGTAGAGCATACAAATTAAATGATTGTAATACAGTGCTATGAATGTAATACAGTGCTATGAATGTAATACAGTGCTATGAATGTAATACAGTGCTATGAATGTAATACTGTGCTATGAATGTAATACAGTGCTATGAATGTAATACAGTGCTATGAATGTAATATAGTGCTATGAATGTAATACTGTGCTATGAATGTAATACAGTGCTATGAATGTAATACAGTGCTATGAATTTAATACAGTGCTATGAATTTAATACAGTGCTATGAATGTAATACAGTACTACGAATATAATACAGTGCTATGAATGTAATACAGTCCTATGAATGTAATACAGTGCTATGAATGTAATACAGTGCTATGAATTTAATACAGAGCTATCATTGTAATACAGTGCTATGAATGTAATACAGTACTACGAATATAATACAGTGCTATGAATGCAATACAGTGTTATGCACCCACCAAAGATAGTAAGGAAGAAGAAAAAGAAACTTTCTATAATAGGCTACAAGCTGTGCTAGAATAATTTCCTGGAAAATATACAAATATCTTAATGGGAGATCTAAAGATTTTGGAAAGAAAATTGTGGATACGAAGAACTCAAAGGGAGCCATGGTTTAGGTAAGAGAAATAAAATCGACGAAAGATGATCAGGTGAATAGTTCGACCAGAACCCATCCATTTGACACTTCTTGAAGCCCAAACCACCACCCTTAGCATGTCGTTCCAACCCGATCTTTGAAGCCATCTACACAAACTATAGTGTGGGCCCACAAACATGCCTCGTTTGTCAAAACTGAGTATTTCTGACTAAAGATTGGGAAATGGCGACCAAAGACAGAGCATTGGTGACCTCAGACGGAGCAAATGTGACCAAAGACTGCGCATTTGTAACAAAGTACTGGGTGTTTCGTGGGTCTGACTGTATCCTCTTTCATGGGTTCGATAAAACATTATTTCCAATGAACACCAACCAAAAATAATTACCGTATTTATTGGCGTATAACACGCACCTTTTCTCCCCGAAAATAAGGGGCAAATCATGTGTGCGTGTTATTCGCCGATAAAATGTTTAGTATTCTTTTCCTGAAATTTCTTTCTTAAATTGATGTGCGTATTACGGTATAAATATGTTTTTAAAAATGCCTAAATCCTTTTGCAATTTAAAAAAAGATATATATCTCGTTGATCTGAATTTCACAAATTAAAAACAAAATAGTATGTAAACCAGTGTTGTCTTAACAGCAACAGGCTAACACCCCTCACCTACTCTAATATGTTTTTAAAAAGGCCTAAAACCTTTTGCAATTTAAAAAAAAATATATATCCCGTTTATCTGAATTTCACAAATTAAAAAAAAAAAAGTATGTAAACCAGTGTTGTCTTAACAGCAACAGGCCCCCCCCCCCCCCGAACATAGAAATTCACTGGGCCCCCGTTTCTATCTAAGATATGAATTAAAGTATATATAGTTAATAGAATATACGCATTTTTTGGGGTCGCTAAATTCATCTGTTAAGACGGTATTGATGTAAACAATAATTCTATAAAGCTAATTGAATACCCCGTCACAAATTGGTGGATAATAATAATACAAAGAAAAAAACCTAATAGAAACCATTTTCTATACTGATATATGGGGTAGAAAATCTTAATATTTAAGTTGAAAGACCCCACGGTTGTTTTTGTTTGTTTTTTTATATAAGAGGGCATAAAATAACTATATCAGTTGTAATAAGTGTCAAATCGATACACTTGAAGATTTTCTGTAAAATTCGGTTGCGTTAACAAATGACAACACGGCACATCAGCCGGTCAAGAATATCTGGCCACCAAACAATACGATGGCTGTAAGATGGAGTACGGAACAAGTAGTTGCAGAATTCAAAGATTTTCAGGTTAAATAAACCCCTTGATTTCGGCATTGTATAATCTTAATAAATGCATTAATTGAAATTAGTACCTTATTATTGTCAGCAATTATGACTCGGGGGTCAACGAAAAAGTTTATTATTTACATTTCACTTGAACTAAGATGAGATAACTCGGGCTAAAATTAAATTTTAAGTAAAACAAACCCAATTTTAAATACTTTAAACCCTTTTTATTTAGTAATTCTATATTCTTTTTGTTTTACTCTCAGAATTTTAGTAATTTGTATATTATATTAATTCGATTACCCGATTTTTTTTTCCCCCCCCCCCTTTTTTTTAGCAAGTTCAACAACCCCCCCCCCCCTTTTTTTTTCCTGTTGCACAATTTTCCCCTCATATTAATTTTTTTCTTTTAAATCAGATGAGTTGCCAAAAAGATACTCGGTTTAACTTAACACTTAAGATTAGTTGACCTGCAGAATGCTTTTCTCCCTTTATCCAATGGCTTTCTAAAATCACTCACATTACTCAAAATCACAACATTCACTTGTTAATCACCATAGTCATAGCCGTAGCCATAGACCATAGATGTTGAACATCCATCAGTTATATATGTGTAGGAGTAGGATTGTATTTGATTTAAAATGATTTCTGTCACTTTGCTTGATTTGGGAATACTGAATGTAATCCCTCCTTAGTTTTGTCCATTAAAATTGATCATGACCATTTTAAACATCGGCTTGTTGCTGAAGCTGAATCCTTCTGTGGGTGCACAGATGGCTAATCAGGCCAATTCTGGCACAATATGTTCTGGTGCAGGGGATGGATGGGATAGCTCCAGATACAGAGTTAGCTCAGGCTTTTCTGGCTTAACTTTTGTGTTCTGCAGCAGCTATTCTGTTAGCCTAATGTTGCATTGAGCCCTTGAGTTGCATATATATAGAACCCCTGCTGACTATTTCCAAAAACAGGAGTGTGATGATAAAGATTATTAAAATTCAATATGAGTACTTTGATACCCAATCAATGAGGACAAGACACGTGTGACCCAAATTTGAAATCTGCCAACTTTGCATGTGGCTTTATGCTGACTTAAAGTAAGGACTGTAATATGGAATTGCCATAAATGGTATTGCTAAAAGGATCATAAAGATTGTTTGATGGTGCTACACATCTTTCCCTCAGTTGTATTATGGACATTTCATTACGAAGCATTTCTCTATTACTGTTTTCTTCATTGTTTTCTATAATATAATCAATTTACCTTGAGAAAACTATAAAAATCTCCTGTGACCTGCTCATAGGCCAGCCACCCCCACTTATTCCCCGGAAAAATTTTTGTTAAAAGTGAGCTGATTAATGAGTATAAATGGCAATTAGTTTTATTTTTGAATAATTTTGTTTAAATCAACCATTTCAAGCTTACTGTGACAAAGAACTGTCAAATAAGATATAGTTATAAAGTCTAATAAATTTATTTTCAATTTTTCAGGCCAGTGCCATGGCCGTAGACTGTGTTGGACAATGGGCACTTCTGGCTGGGTTTGTTATTTTTTATTAACTTTAATTTGTCAGAGTAAATTATATTAGCATTATAAGCATGAGACTGACACATTGCATCCAAAAATATATGATTTTATGCAAATTACATTCATTTAATTTTTTTACAAATGACCTTTTAGTGTTTTGGAGTTTAAAATATTTTGGTTATTACCATTTGTTGCAATTATTTCCTCAGACGTAAGAATTTGGCATTTGTGGATCTCAACAAACCATCTCAGACGGTTGTCAAAGTGACAAGACAGAGTAAATGGGACATTGGTTGTGTTCAGTGGAACAGGCATGCTTCACATGCATACAGATTTGTGACTGCAGTAAGTTAAAGGCATTAATTTATCTTTGTAACACCTCAGATATTTATCTTCTTTGATGACTTTCTTTTTTCAAGAAATGAAATAGAGCTCCATAATCTGAAATATTCAGGTATTTTCAGGTATGAATGTTGAAAGAATTTTTCAGAACAAAACAATGTATATTAACATTAGCTTCTTTAAATTGAATTTAGGAATTCTTAATAACTCTTTTATTATTAAATGAGAAGGATAGTTTTAAAATAATTGCTTAGAATGGGGATTGATGGAACCCAAAACATTCACATTATCTGAAGGATGGTTTAATCAGCAACCCAATACCAGAAACATCTCAGAGGCATCAATTAAAATTCATTTTGGATCTGTGTTATGCTTGCAACAATGTTATATATTGCTTTAATAAAAAAAATTATAACTTTATTTATTTTGAAATATTTACTTTTTGCTCTCAATTTCTTATAAAATAAAACTTACAGAGTAGCGGACACCTGAAAGATCACAAAACAAACACACATTTCATCTGATGGCATTCAAGAGCAATACAAAAGTTGAGAACAAAGACAGACTGAGAATAAGAATAATAATTATCTGAGACAGTTCCTCTGTCTGTTAGGCATTTCAGCTCTCTATGATAAGCAGAACCAAATAACATTTCGCTCATTTCATTTTTTTAGGATAAACACACTATCAAATAGCATTTCATTCAAATTCAATGAAAGGTTTTAAAAAAATAGCACATCATTCTGTTTTATATGTGTTTTTCATACATAATTTCTGATTTCAGTGTAACCAGAGACTCGATGTTTTTGATTTTCGAGATGCATCTGCCGTCCACCTTTGCTCTCTAAAAGCGCACTCAAGGACAGTTAGGTAAATAGAAATATTTATTAGTTGACCCTTTCTAAAATATATAAGGACCATCTTGTATTGTAGTTTTGAGAAAATGTTCTGAATTTTTAAATGGATTAATTTTCTTTCCTATAAACATTTCAATAAGAAAATATGCTTGTCTTGTTCCTATAAAGAATTATTAATAATATTCTCTGAATCTGAAAAGCTGGGGTGGCCCACTAAAATGTTTATAACGGTCCTCAAGACCTTCCAGTAGCTGAATTAATGATTTTGTAAAATGTACTAATTATGAATCATTATCTGTAAAAGCCTTTGAAAATTAATAATCCCAGTATCAACATTTCAAACTTATAATAGTAATCATAGCAAATTTTAAATTATTCCACTACTTATTTGTGAACTGAGCTTGGATTAAAATTTTGAAGATCATCTTTAATAATATAATTTAAAAATATCATGCGGCCCACCATGTGCGAAAAGGTTCCTCGTCCCTGCTCTAAAGTATTATGTATGTCAGTTTTCTCCAACTTGCGTACATGTATCAGCCACACTAGATTTTTTAAATTGACATTTTAAGCCTTGTGAAGTTTATTAAAACATTGGGCAGACAGTTTAATTGTAAATCAAACTATTAGACTTGAATTTCTACAATGGCTTTTGTCCTATGTATAGGCCTTACATCTACAAAATCTTCGGACGGCTAGATGACTCACTTCCCTTCAGCATATCGAGCTGAAACATGGTACATATACTCGTTGCCGATAACAACACATTCCATCAAATTTTCAGCCCCAGCCCCCAAACACTAATTTTTCCACTTTTTCAAGGGGAAGATGAAAGATATATGACACTGATTTCAAGGAAGAAAATTCCGGATAACTGCACTAAATGAGTTTCTTTTTTTTTTTTAACTCGCAAGTGCATTTGGTGTGTAATATTTTCTTTTGATTTTCTGAAATAGTTAGTGAAATAAATCTGCGCTGTAAAAGCTGTTGGGTCATTAGAATATTTATATAGTTCTNGGGGGGGGGGGGGGTGGGGGGTTGTTATTAATTGAGAATCTTATAAGTGCATTAATTGTAGGCATGTTTTGTAAAATTTACACCACCACCCGGCTCTATGTTAAATTTTATAAAGATTTTACCGCAATACTTTGTTTTTAGGGTTTGTTTGATTTCACATACTTAGTTTTTTTACATACTTAAATTGCTGTAAAATAAACCAGCAGACTAATAATATTGTTTTATAATAATCTAGTGATATTGACTGGTCTCCCTTTGATGTCAATGTAGTTGCCTCCTGCTCAGTGGATACCTTCACATATTTTTGGGATGTAAGGTGCGTCACATTGTTAGTTTTCCTATTACCCGTATTTCGATACTTGAAATATTCCAAATGTAAATGACATAAAATATAACAAAATAGAATTACACTTTTCTACATTTTAATGGAGTTTAAATCAAGATTAAGAATGAATTATTTTTTTCCCCAGAGATTCAAAGAAGCCTGTCAAGTCATTTCAAACAGTTTGTAAGTTGCCTTTGTTCTAGTTGCATCAAGGGTTACACTGTTTAATTGACATATAATTGGTGATTGTTCATTACTCTAATTAATTGACAGATAATTGATGATTGGCTATTACTCTGATTAATTGACGGATAATTGATGATTGGCCATTACTCTGATTAATTGACATATAATTTGTCTATATGTTGATTGACAGATAATTGCGGATTGGTCTTAATCAGCCTTCAGGAAATATTTTCTGTATATCAGATTTTATAAATATTTAAACAATATGTGAATATGACTGAGCTTTTTGGAAACAAAATCTTCATTCCTTATATTTGCTCTCTCCAGCTGGAGCTTATCAGGTAAAATGGAACAAAGTAACCAATAATCTCTTTGCTACAACACATGACGGAGATGTTCGAATCTGGGACCCTAGGGTGAGCTTTTTTTGGAATGTCAATAGTTCTAAAGTTTGGGATGAGTCTGAATTCAAATAATATCAAAAGTTATAACAATGGGGATGATGCTGACTAACCTTTGATGTATTTTTCTTTTTCACGTTAATTATCTGTCAGCTGTAAATATGTTGTGATCCTGTTCTTACTTATTTCTGTTGTTTCTACTCCCAATACACCAGAAGGGAAACACACCCGTCCAGTACATATCTGCTCATCCCTCCAAAATACATGGCTTAGACTGGAGTAACACTGACCAAAATAAACTGGTTACAGCTAGTCAAGACTGCAATATTAGGGTGAGATGCTGGATTAACTTTATTGGGTTGGATACATGGCATTTCAGTTTGGTAACACTGAACTTGATGAGTCATAAATCGAGGACTATGATAAGGAATAGGCATAAAAGATATTGTTAAACTGCCATAGAGATAGTTTGAAGATGCTGCAGCTCTTTCCCTCAGTTTTACTATGTACATTTCATTACAAGGCATTGGTCTAATTTTATCACAGGTGTGGGATTACAACAACCCAAGAAAAAGTGAGGCGATGATCAACTCAGGGAATCCAGTGTGGAGAGCAAGATATACAGTGAGATACTCATTTGATCCTTTCATAAATTAGTGGTTTACTTATGTGAATATTTCTTGTTTGCTTTATTATTGAGACCCAACTGCGCATATTGCACAAACTATAAAAAACAAAAACTGCTTCATTCTTTAAATTTAAAACATATAAACACATTACATCCACATAAAGCATAGAGTAAAAATAAACTTCTCTCCACTTGTCATTTTTCTCTGATACGATTAAACTTACTGTTATAAGTTTGAAATGTCATTGTAAAGTCAAACGATATTGATTTTGCTTTGTTAACTCTCTTGAGTAAACTGGGTCGATCTATCTCCCCCATGATAACAAGCCTTGAGATCAGCTAGCTGGTCTTCCTATTAGCTATTCAGATTGCTTCTCGCATTTCTTGCTCATCTTTGCATTTAAATGGCAGCTTCCATTGATAGACTATGGTGTTTTGTCAATTTATATCAATTTATTTTGGCATTATATGACTCTCATAAATGCTTAAAAAATCTTAGCCCCTAATCATATGCCACACAGCATAAGCACCCCCAGTGACATATTATTTTATGCAGTTCAAATGTTTTTTAACACTTATTTAGGGTTCAACTCTCAAGTGTAAAAAAAAAATTGCGTTCATAAATTATGCAATTCAGGATATCTCATTTGCATAAATGTTTTGATTTCAGTTTCTGTATTATGACAGCTAGCTTAATTGATGGAAGAATGATCTCTATTTACATCTCAATTGCTATCAAATTCATCATCTAAGTCCATATTTGACAAAATTGCAATTGAGTGCTATAAAATTCTAAATTCTCAGAATTTTTTAAAAATCTGACTTAAATTAAACAAGCTATTTATAATTAAAATTAAAGTTTATTCATTTAGGAAGGAAGTAAACAAGTTTGAATGACTGTGCATCAAAGGAGAGAATATTCATGCATTTTTCTTGTTGCTATGTTATATGGATGATATTGGCATCATGTGGATATAAAAGTGTTAAAAAAATATTTTTATGATAATTATAATTTTTAAATAGAAAATTATTTCGGCTGTTTTTAAATAAAAATTCTATTCAGCCTTTTGGTGAAGGAGTGGTCAGCGTGGTGGTACCCCAGCTGAGAAGGGGAGAGAACAGCTTGTATCTCTGGCATATCAGAAACCAAGCTTCCCCTGTACACACGTTTGTTGGACACAAAGATGTTATTTTGGAATTCCAGTGGAGGAAACAGCCTGAAGGTGAGATGTGCTGTGTGTTCATTTCTCAAACTTGCAATTGCACCTTAATATACTGTGTTTTCATTTTTCAAACTTACCAATGCTTTCTACAATCAATTTTTTTCAATAATTTGAAACATAATGGCAACTTGACTTATCAGATTTTGAAATGAAATTAGTAAATGACCAATCTATTTAACAGAGATAATTTTTTGGGCAATATATAACATTTACACATTTGTATCAAACACTGTTTTTTTATAATACAGCGGGACCTTGGAATCCTAAATTAATCAGTTACAGAACCCCTTTCGAGTTCCAAGGCAATTTTCCCCTTAAAAATGTCAAAATAGTAGAATCTGGATTAATCTGTTCTTGGGTCTCCAAAAACTTTGGGTCCCAGCCCCTATCTTTAAGTCTCTGACCACCCTCACTGGCTTGAAACTTCTCCTTCGTACTTAGCAATTGTACTTAAGTTTTATTACAAAGAGAAAACATCTGCGCTTTGTCATGTCTAAATATTGACATTATTTGAATTCAGCGTCGTCCCCAATGAAAACAGTTATAGCAAAAAATTTTGCTGCGATTTTTCATTTGGATTCCAGTTTGTTCAAGTTCTGGCGCATTTGAATTCCAATGTCCCACAGTACAAAGTTTGATTTTATGAATTATATATTAGGTTGTAAATTAAGGAACAAATGTTGCTTGAATAGTTTCCCTTGCCTATATCTGTGACATTTTCCCACCACCCACCTTAAAACTGAGTTTCATGTTTTATTCTAGAATTTCAGAGAAAAATATTTTTTTTCAGGAACATGTTCATTACAAAAATTATATTTAATATACTGCTTGTCAGACAGTCTAAACAAATGTTAATATTTTTTAGCACCAAGAATTTTTCTAATACCTGGTACCAAAATCAGCTTTTAGTGCTATTTATATAGATATTCAGTAAATTTATGTAAAAAATGTTGTGGTACTCTTAACTTTTTGAAATAAATGAATCTACCGCCAAAGAATTGTTTATTGGAATGCTTATGCTAATTCATACTTTTATAATGTCATTAATTTCTTTTACTACTCTTTACGGCGTATGCTATGTTAGTGTTTGAAGAAATCTTACTTATTTAGACACATTATTCACACTATAATTCTGATCACCTCAGGTGCTCGGGATCATCAATTGGTTACATGGTCCAAAGATCAAAGCCTCAGGATTTGGAAGGTGGATCCAACTATGCAAAAGGTCAGTTAATTTAAAGTGGGGGAGGAGGGGGGTGTTATCCCAACAGGCATAATTATCCATTTAAGATATTCAAAACGCAGTAAAATCCCTGACCTGGACTAATTGTAACCATGTGTAGTCCCAATATAAAAAGACTGGATAGTATTCAAGTAGCCTTAAAACTGAGACTTGAACACCCAACATTTAATAATTTTAGTTTACTGCTAGTGTGACACTTGGACTAAGACTCAAGATTTGGTGTTAGGAGTGTATGTGACAAGAATGTGATTGACGGTGTTTTGATCAGGCTCCACTTTATTACAAAGGTTATGTATTTATGTTCTAGTAGAACAAAGTAAAGAGCAATTACTTTGTTTATTTGCTGTAAATACAAAGCTCAGCTGAACCAGAAGCCAAACACCATTCTTAACTCATCTCGTCACAAAAGGGAATTAATGAAACGTTTCAAATAATGATTTCTCAAAATAAAAAAATAAAAAATCGTAATAAGTACAATTATGTAGATATTGAACTTTAAATAAATTTTATTTAAAAGTGAAAACATCTATGTTATGTCATTCTCGCCACCAGAGGTGCTCTGAAAATAATTAAAATAGTCAATTCTAAAAATGATGAAAAATGAAGAAGAAGAAAAAAAAGAGGAAAATTTCGATCATTAAAATGTTTAATTGATGAGAGCAAACATAAATTGGACACAACGATTTCATTCAGTGAGTTGAAAAGTCAAATACTCTCAAATCCAGACATTTATTTTTTGATTAATTTAAATCATTGCTTTGGCATTTTAAAATTTCTTTGTCAGTTTTGTAAATGCATCACAGAGAAATTTGACATTTCTGTAATATAATAAAAAATAAAAACATTTATCTATTTTATTGTTTTATTCTATTGGGATATATTGTAAAGAAAATTTTCAGCAGTGTTTTGGATGAGAGGGGTGGGGGGGGGGGGTCTTGACACCACAGATTAACTTGCTTAAAAAGCAATGTAACATCTAAGTCATTATGAGGCCTGAATCCCCTTAATTTATAATTCTTTTGTCATTAGCTCCTTGCAGGAATCTTTGGAAAAATATCCTTAAAATTGCATGTTCATGAAAGTGAATGGCACACTCAAACATTTTTACCCACTGTGGTTTATATTTTTTAAATATTGTGCTACATCTCAACAGTGTAGTGTAGAAAGCCAAGCATTTACTTGTCTATACTAATGACATCTGCTCAGTTGAAGTTTTTACATAAACATTGACAACATTTGACGGATGTGGGATAATTCCTTAAATACAAACTCATTGGATATTGCAGTGAGCTCCAAACTTTCACGATATCCACTAAGACCAGGTTTTCTGAAGGCCTCTGTGCTTAAAGAATTATTTAAGGGTTAGGTAAAAATAAAGAAAACACTTAAGATGTCAAAAAATGTAACTGAACATTTTCTACTGATGATAATTATGTTGGATGATAAAGAGGAACATCAATGATGATTAATTAGAATATTAGACCCAACTTGAGTAACCAAAAAGGCAAATAAAATAATCCGTTAATAATATTTAATTATTACAGAAGTTATGCTGTGGGGTTTAGCTTATATGAGAAGTACACAATTTTGCCATCTGAATCTATGTGAGATGCGAGGGTGTCCAGTACAATCTCAATATATTTATGTTTGCAATACACTGAGATATTCCAAGCATGAGTTGACCTAAAATTTTAGACACTTTGCAATTACAGTGATAAGGTTTCACTTGAGTGTCTATGTCATACTTAGCAACGGGGCATATATTCACTCTAATGATATGACTATTGTGCTTATGCAAGCCTGCACCAGGTCTAAGTAAGACTTTGAAGCATGGTAGTAAGTTCAACTATAAAATATAATGGCTAATGGGATACTGGTGTACACACTAAGGTTATTTGAGTCTTGAACACATTTCAGTATGTATAACTAGAATGATATAAATTTTAGCTGTTAGTTGTAAACTTAGGCACACGTTTTGTCTATACGAGACGTAGAATGTTGAAGTATGTTTAACTATGGGGATATAATTTTTAAGGGGTACTTTCAACAGACCTGTTTACTCTTACGATTTTGGCTTAGAATATACAATTTTGAGATGTCTTTTACGATGGTACGCCAATGCCAGTCAGAACTACAATTTTAAGAGACCGGGATTAAAATATATACATTCTGGAAGTTTTTCAGATTAAGATTAAGATTGTTAGTTTTAGCTCCTTTCTATTTTTCCAGCGATTGGTTGGTGACTATCTACAATTATATTTCGTTTACTCAGAGAGGGGAAGATGGTTGATTTAGGAGACTTTGTGTATGGATGTGTTTGGATGTGTTTGGTTGGGGGGGGGGGGGGGTTTAATATTTAAGTCTGTGGAAAATAACATGGCCACATTTTGGTAATGATCATCAAATTGTTGCTTTGTGTTTTCATAATGAACTAGATAGGCATTGCAACAGTAATATTAGCACAGTTGCTCTAGTGACAGTTTTTGTCAATCCTCACTTGTTTGTGTCGGTGCGGTATTATGTAATTTTGTGACATAATTATTGCATTCGGCTGAACCGTGACGAGTGCAAAAACTGAGAAAACTAGTTTTAAAAAAATTAACAATCAGAATGCCTTCTCAACTGTTTAGCACAGAAACTTGATTTTGGCATATTTTATAGGATCTGAGAAGGGCTTTGAAATCTCTTTTTAGAATGTACTAAACAGCTGTACGATTTTTATTCCTCAGTTTGGTTTCAACACACCTCTTCCTTTCAACCATTTACAGTTATAGTTATAAGACTATAATAATATGTTATTGGGAATCAGGCTAAGTGGATATTCATTTTTTTTAAAATTCAGCTTTTTCCTTAAAATATTTATCTCATGTTACTTGGTAGGTTTTGTCAATGACGTCCTCAATTTTAATTATTTAAATCAATTTTATGCTGAACTGATTATGCGTTTGAACCACTTTTCACCAGTAACTTTTTTTAACATAGGTTTTTCTGTTATTTCTCCTGATTCATACATTCTTAGACAATCTACCATAGGTTGCACTGTTATCTCTCCTGGTCCAAAAATTCTTTGACAATGTGCCACAGGTTTTTTCTTTTATTTCTTCTCGTTCATACATTCTTGGACAATCTGCCATAAGTGGCACTGCTACCTCTCCTGGTCTATACATTCTTAGGCAATCTGGCATAGGTTGCACTCTTACCTCTCGTGGTCCATACATTCTTAGTCTAGCTGCCATAGGTTGCACTCTCATCTCTCCTGGTCCATACATTCTTAGACAATCTACCATAGGTTGCTCTGTTACTTCTCCTGGGTCACACATACTTAGACAAACTGACATTTGTTGCACTGTTATCTCTCCTGGTCCATACACTCTTAGACAATCTACCAAAGGTTGCACTGCTACCTCTCTTGGTCCATAAATTCTTAGACAATCTGCCATAGGTTGCACTGCTACCTCTCTTGGTCCATGCATTCTTGGACAATCTACCATAGGTTGCACTGCTACCTCTCATGGTCCATGCATTCTTAGACAATGTGCCATTGGTTGTACTGTTACCTCACCTGGTCCATACATTTTTGGACAATCTGCCATAGGTTGCTCGGTCACCTCACCTGGTCCATACATTTTTGGACAATCTGCCATATGTTGCTCTGTTACCTCTACTGGTCTATACATTCTTAGGCAATCTGCCATAGGTTGCATTGTTACCTCTCCTGGTCCATACATTCTTAGACAATCTGCCATTGGTTGCACTGTTACCTCTCCTGGTCTATCCATTCTAAGACATCTACCATAGGTTGCAATGCTACCTCTCCTGGTCCATATATTCTTGGACAATCTGCTATAGGTTGCACTGCTACCTCTCTTGGTCCATAAATTCTTAGACAATCTGTCATAGGTTGCACTGTTATCTCACCTGTTTCATACATTCTTTGACAATCTACCATAGGTTGCAATGTTACATCTCGTTGTCCATACATTCTTGGACAATCTACAAAAGGTTGCACTGCTACCTCTCCTGGTCCATACATTCTTAGACAAACTGCGGTAGCTTTCCCTGTTACCTCACCTGGTCCTTACATTCTTAGACAATGTGCCATTGGTTGCACTGCAACCTCTCATGGTCCATACATTCTTGGACAATCTACCATATTTTGCACTGCTACCTCTCCTGGTCTATACATTTTTAGACAATCTGCAATGAGTTTCACTGTTACCTCTCCTGGTCCATACATTCTTAGACAATCTGCAATGATATTCACTGTTACCTCTCCTTGTCTATACATTCTTTAGACAATTTGCCATAGTTGCTCTGTTACCTCTACAGGTCTATATATTCTTAGACAATCTGCCATAGGTTGCATTGTTACTTCTCCTTGTCCATACATTCTTAGCCAATCTGCCAAAGGTTTCTCTGTCACCTCTCCTTGTCCATACATTCTTAGAAAATCTGTCATAGCTTCCTCTGTTACCTCACTTTGTCCATACATTCTTGGACAATCTGCCATAGGTTGCTCTGTTACCTCTCTGGTCCATACATTCTTTGACAATCTACCATATGTTGCACTGCTACCTCTCCTGGTCTATACATTCTTAGACAATGTGCCATTGGTTGCACTGCTACCTCTCCTGGTCTATACATTCTTAAACAATCTGCCATAAGTTGCTCTGTAACCTCTACAGGTCTATACATTCTTAACCACTCTGCCATAGGTTACAGCGTTACCTCTCCTGGTCCATACATTTTTAGACAATGTGCCATTGGTTGCACTGTTATCTCTTCTTGTCTATAAATTCTTAGACAATGTTCCATTGGTTACACTGCTTTCTCTCCTGGTCTATAGATTCTTTGACAATCTGCTATAGGTTGTACTGCTAACTCTCCTGGTCTATACATTATTAGACAATGTGCCATTGGTTGCATTGTTATCTCAACTGGTCCATACATTCTTGGACAATCTACCATATGTTGCACTGCTACCTCTTCTGGTCTATACATTTTTAGACAATCTACCATTTTTGAACTGCAACCTCTCCTGGTCTATAATTTCTTAGACAATGTGCCATTGGTTGCACTGTTACCTCTCCTGGTCTATACATTCTTAGACAATGTGCAATTTTTTGCATTCATCTCTCCGGGTCCATACATTCTTGGACAATGTGCCTTTGGTTGCACTGCCACCTCTCTCGGTCTATACATTGTTAGACAATCTGCCATAGGTTGCTCTGTTACCTCGCCTGGTCCATACATTCTTTGACAATCTACCATATGTTGCACTGCTACCTCTCCTGGTCTATAAATTCTTAGACAATGTGCCATAGGTTGCACTGCTTTCTCTGCCTGGTCCATACATTCTTAGACAATCTGCTCTAGCTTGCACTGCTACCTCTCCTGGTCCGTACTTTCTTAGACAATCTGCCATCGGCTGCATTGCTACCTTTCCTGGTCTATACATTCGTAGACAATGTGCCATTGGTTGCACTGCCACCTGTCGTGATCTATACATTCTTAGACAACTTGCCATAGGTTGCTCTGTTACCTCGCCTGGTCCATACATTCTTTGACAATCTACCATATGTTGCACTGCTACCTCTCCTGGTCTATAAATTCTTAGACAATGTGCCATTGGTTGCACTGCTACCTCTCCTGGTCTATACATTCTTAGACAATCTGCTATAGCTTGCACTGCTACCTCTCCTGGTCTATACATTCTTAAACAATCTGCCATAAGTTGCTCTGTAACCTCTACAGGTCTATACATTCTTAACCACTCTGCCATAGGTTGCAGCGTTACCTCTCCTGGTCCATACATTTTTAGACAATGTGCCATTGGTTGCACTGTTATCTCTTCTTGTCTATAAATTCTTAGACAATGTTCCATTGGTTACACTGCTTTCTCTCCTGGTCTATAGATTCTTTGACAATCTGCTATAGGTTGTACTGCTAACTCTCCTGGTCTATACATTATTAGACAATGTGCCATTGGTTGCATTGTTATCTCAACTGGTCCATACATTCTTGGACAATCTACCATATGTTGCACTGCTACCTCTTCTGGTCTATACATTTTTAGACAATCTACCATTTTTGAACTGCAACCTCTCCTGGTCTATAATTTCTTAGACAATGTGCCATTGGTTGCACTGTTACCTCTCCTGGTCTATACATTCTTAGACAATGTGCAATTTTTTGCATTCATCTCTCCGGGTCCATACATTCTTGGACAATGTGCCTTTGGTTGCACTGCCACCTCTCTCGGTCTATACATTGTTAGACAATCTGCCATAGGTTGCTCTGTTACCTCGCCTGGTCCATACATTTTTAGACAATCTACCATTTTTGAACTGCAACCTCTCCTGGTCTATAATTTCTTAGACAATGTGCCATTGATTGCACTGCTTTCTCTCCTGGTCCATACATTCTTAGACAATCTGCCATAGGTTTCTATGTTACCTCTCATGGTCCATACATTCTTAGACAATCTGCTCTAGCTTGCACTGCTACCTCTCGTGGTCTCTACATTCGTAGACAATGTGCCATTGGTTGCACTGCTACCTCTCCCGGTCAGTACATTCTTAGACAATCTGTCATCGGCTGCATTGCTACCTTTCCTGGTCTATACATTCTTAGACAATCTGTCATCGGCTGCATTGCTACCTCTCCTGGTCTATACCTTCTTAGACAATGTGCCATTGGTTGCACTGCTACCTCTCCTGGTCCGTACATTCTTAGACAATCTGCCATCGGCTGCATTGCTACCTTTCCTGGTCTATACATTCGTAGACAATGTGCCATTGGTTGCACTGCCACCTGTCGTGGTCTATACATTCTTAGACAACTTGCCATAGGTTGCACTGTTATCTCTCCTGGTCTATACATTCTTAGACAATGTGCCATTGGTTTCACTGTTTTCTCTCCTGGTCCATACATTCTTAGACAATCTGCCTTCGGCTGCACTGCTACCTTTCCTGGTCTATAAATTCTTAGACAATGTGCCATTGATTGCACTGTTATCTCAACTGGTCCATACATTCTTGGACAATCTACCATATATTGTACTGTTACCTCGCCTGGTCTATACATTTTTGAACAATCTACCATTTTTGCACTGCTACCTCTCCTGGTCTATACATTTTAGACAATCGGCCATAGGTTGCATTGTTACTTCTCCTGGTCCATACATTCTTAGCCAATCTGCCATAGGGTTACACTGCTACCTTTCCTGGTCTAGTCTATACATTATTAGACAATCTGCCATAGGTTGCACCTCTCCTGGTCTATACATTCTTAGACAATCTGCCATCGGCTGCACTGCTACCTCTCCTGGTCTATACATTCTTAGACAATCTGCCATAAGTTGCTCTGTTACCTCTACAGGTCTATACATTTTTAGACAATGTGCCATTGGTTGCACTGTTATCTCACCAGGTCCATACATTCTTGGACAATCTACCATATTTTGCACTGCTAACTCTCCTGGTCTATACATTTTTAGACAATCTGCAATGAGTTTCACTATTACCTCTCCTGGTGTATACATTCTTGAGACAAATTGCCATAAGTTGCTCTGTTACCTCTACAGGTCTATATATTCTTAGACAATCTGCCATAGGTTGCATTGTTACTTCTCCTTTTCCATACATTCTTAGCCAATCTACCATAGATTTCTCTGTCACCTCTCCTTGTCCATACATTCTTAGAAAATCTGCCGTAGCTTCCTCTGTTACCTCACTTTGTCCATACATTCTTGGACAATCTGCCATAGGTTGCTCTGTTACCTCTCCTGGTCCATACATTCTTAGACATACTACCATATGTTGCACTGCTACCTCTCCTGGTCTATAAATTCTTAGACAATGTGCCATTGGTTGCACTGCTACCTCTCCTGGTCTATACATTCTTAGACAATCTGCCATCGGCTGCACTGCTACCTCTCCTGGTCTATACATTCTTAGACAATCTGCCATAAGTTGCTCTGTTACCTCTACAGGTCTATACATTTTTAGACAATCTTCCATTGGTTGCACTGTTACCTCTCCTGGTCTATACATTCTTAGACAATGTGCAATTTTTTGCATTCATCTCTCCGGGTCCATACATTCTTGGACAATGTGCCATTGATTGCACTGCTTTCTCTGCCTGGTCCATACATTCTTAGACAATCTACCATAGGTTGCTCTGTTACCTCTCCTGGTCCATACATTCTTAGACAATCTACCATATGTTGCACTGTTACCTCTCCTGGTCTATACATTCTTAGACTATGCCATTTTTTGCAGTGTTATCTCTCATGGTCCATACATTCTTAGAAAATCTGCCATCGGCTGCACTGCTACCTTTCCTGATCTATAAATTCTTAGACAATGTGCCATTCGTTGCACTGCTACCTCTCCTGGTCTGTACATTCTTAGACAATGTGCCATTGGTTGCACTGTTATCTCACCAGGTCCATACATTCTTGGACAATCTACCATATTTTGCACTGCTACCTCTCCTGGTCTATACATTTTTAGACAATCTGCAATGAGTTTCACTGTTACCTCTCCTGGTCGATACATTCTTTAGACAATTTGCCATAAGTTGCTCTGTTACCTCTACAGGTCTATATATTCTTAGACAATCTGCCATATGTTGCATTGTTACTTCTCCTGGTCCATACATTCTTAGCCAATCTACCATAGGTTTCTCTGTCACCTCTCCTTGTCCATACATTCTTAGAGAATCTTTCATAGCTTCCTCTGTTACCTCACCTGGTCCATATATTCTTAGGCATTGTGCCATTTGTTGCACTGTTGCCTCATCTGGTCCATACATTCTTAGACAGTCTGCTGTACCTTCCTCGGTTACCTCACCCGGTCCAAACATTCTTAGACAATGTGCCATTGGTTTCACTGTTACCTCACCTGGTCCATACATTCTTAGACAATCTGCCATTGGTTGCACTGTTACCTCACCTGGTCCATCATTCTTAGCCAATCTGCTATAGCTTGCACTGCTACCTCTCCTGGTCTATACATTCTTAGACAATCTGCCATTAGGTTACTCTGTTACCTCACCTGGTACATCCATTCTTATTTATATGCCATTGGTTTCGCTTGCTCTTGCAATATGAAGGTTAACCTCGTCATTGATAGTTACTATTAAGGACAATGCTCTGCCAAGTTAACGGAAGCTACTTACCACTTTAACCCCTTTGAAATATACTTGAACGTTGGGCTCAACATAAGGATTTTGTGGAACTGGCTGATATAGAACCTAATTCTTTTTTTTTGTGTTAAAGTTAAGACTTAAGTTCACAGGTATTTGAGAATTTAGCAACATTCAATTTCATATCCCCTTCTGATAAAGCGTTTAGGGCATTCAGGCTCTAATTTCTTAGGGCATTCAGGCTCTAATTTCTTGCAATAATAAACCAAACGAGAGTGAATAGTGAATAGATAAGTCTTATATGATGTTTGTAAGGACCTTGGATTCAGCATGTGTCCTCTAGACATTGAGTAGATTATCATAAGTTCAGTATCTGAGACCGATTCAGTCTTCCTCTTCGAACCATCAGTCAGCATGGTGGAAAATATGAGGCCGAAAAGTGTTGGAGCTTGGACACAACCTTGTTTAATGCCCTTGGCCACAGGTAATACTTAAACTTTCCCAATTTTTTCGAACCCTGGCCTGCATACCATCATGGCATTCCCGTACCATATGTATGAACTTTCTGGGGGCATCCATAGTTTGCCGTAATCTTCAAAAGACCTCTACTGACAATTTAGAAAGCATTTCTGCCTACTTCAAACCAACAGACACCCATAGCTACTTTTTGTATTCATCCTCCCACTCCAAATCATGAAAAGACTCCATACCTTTTTCTCAACTCCTTAAACTACGTCGCCTCTGCCAGTCAGATGAAGACTTTGTATATAGGGCAAATGAAATGATTGACTTCTTCCACTCTAGATCTTATCTTGAGACTACACTTGGGCACTCAATCGGATCATCACAATCACACATGATGAGGCTTTCAAATCTCGTTCAAACAAAAAGGAGGGTCGAACGCAACTCATCTTTACCTACCACCCTCACAATGTGATTGCCCCAAAATATTCTTAAAGCAACGTCATGTTCTCTTTGCTGACACTAACAGGGTGTTTTCATCACAGTCACTAATTCTCTTCAGAAGGGCTACAAATCTATGTGATTTGGTTTACAGTCACCTTCAAGCTGACCCTTCTCGCTTTGGGACTAAGTTATGTTCAAGCAGCCCTGGTAGGACTTGCCCCTATGTACTGGAAATTGAACACATTGGCTTACTTAAGGGGACCATTGCCATCATAGAAGAGAGCTTAACATGTATTAATCCAAATGTGATCTATGTGATTTTTTGCGGAAGATGCCTCTTCTGTTTATAGATTAGGCCAGCGGTTCTCAACCTGTGGGTCGCTACCCCTTCGGGCGTCAAATGACCCTTGCACAGGGGTCGCATAAGACCATCTGAAAACACATAAATATGAAGTAGCCACGAAAATAATGTTACGGTTGGGGGTCACCATAACATAAGGAACTGTATCAAAGGGTCGCGGCATTGGGAAGGTTGAGAACATTTGGATTAGACGGGAAGAAGGCGATCTGATAGGTTCAGTGAACATCTTTGTGATTTGGAACACAAGGCCATGCACGGGGGCACATCTGAGTCTGATGTATCCATCACGGCTCTAATATAAAGCTGCTCTTATACACCAGCAAGATTGAAGAGTGAAGACGAATTAATTCATATTTTCGGCACGTCTTATTATTGGTCCTCGGTGCCATCAATTCTTTTACCGTGTTAGTACGCAGCACATAATGACGTAGGACGCGCGTTTTGGTTTCAATGAACTTTATAGAGAGAACTAACTTTTTATCAGAATCTTCAAACACATTGACATACGTTTTTCATATCTCTTAGTTGTTTCTTGTATTGTCTTGTCTGCTGACGAAGGCGTTTGGCTAGAAATGTCCTTTGATCACGGTTAACATGACCTTAATTGTAAACCGTCGCTGTCAGTTGAGGCTGATGCTGCATGCTGTCACGCTCTGATTCCCGGCTCGATGGTTATGTTGGGCAGTGCCTTATCTAATGTTGATTGCTCGGAGCATGCAAGTGTAAGGCTTTCTAGGAAAACCGGTCTGCGGCGCCACCCTCATTGTACCCAGCCTGTAATTTTGTGGCACTGCCATGCAAGTGTAAGGCTTTCTAGGAAAACCGGTCTGCGGCGCCACCCTCATTGTACCCAGCCTGTAATTTTGTGGCACTGCCAAGCCTTTTGTTGTGGTGTACCCGTTGTACCAATCATGTTGTGGTAGTGCACATGTTGTACCAAGCATGTTGTGGTAGTGCACATGTTGTACCAAGCCTGTGTTGCCAAGCCTTTTGTTGTAGTGTACCTGCTGTAGAGCACCCGTTGTACCAAGCCAGCCCTAGTGCACCTGCTGTAGAGCACCCGTTGTACCAAGCCAGTCGTAATGAACCTGCTGTAGAGCACCCGTTGTACCAAGCCAGCCATAGTGCAACTGCTGTAGAGCACCCGTTGTACCAAGCCAGATGTAGTGCACCTGCTGTAGAGCACTTGTTGTACCAAGACAGCCATAGTTCACTTGCCGTAGAGCGCCCGTGGTACCAAGCCAGCCCTAGTGCACCTGCTGTAGAGCACCCGTTGTACCAAGCCAGTCGTAATGAACCTGCTGTAGAGCACCCGTTGTACCAAGCCAGCCATAGTGCAACTGCTGTAGAGCACCCGTTGTACCAAGCCAGATGTAGTGCACCTGCTGTAGAGCACTTGTTGTACCAAGACAGCAATAGTTCACTTGCCGTAGAGCGCCCGTGGTACCAAGCCAGCCCTAGTGCACCTGCTGTAGAGCACCCGTTGTACCAAGCCAGTCGTAATGAACCTGCTGTAGAGCACCCGTTGTACCAAGCCAGCCATAGTGCAACTGCTGTAGAGCACCCGTTGTACCAAGCCAGATGTAGTGCACCTGCTGTAGAGCACTTGTTGTACCAAGACAGCAATAGTTCACTTGCCGTAGAGCGCCCGTGGTACCAAGCCAGCCCTAGTGCACCTGCTGTAGAGCACCCGTTGTACCAAGCCAGTCGTAATGAACCTGCTGTAGAGCACCCGTTGTACCAAGCCAGCCATAGTGCAACTGCTGTAGAGCACCCGTTGTACCAAGCCAGATGTAGTGCACCTGCTGTAGANGTACCAAGCCAGCCGTAGTTCACTTGCCGTAGAGCGCCCGTGGTACCAAGCCAGCCGTAGTTCACTTGCTGTAGAGCGCCCGTTGTACCAAGCCAGCCGTAGTTCACTTGCTGTAGAGCGCCCGTGGTACCAAGCCAGCCGTAGTTCACTTGCTGTAGAGCGCCCGTTGTACCAAGCCAGCCGTAGTTCACTTGCCGTAGAGCGCCTTTGGTACCAAGCCAGCCGTAGTTCACTTGCTGTAGAGCGCCCGTGGTACCAAGCCAGCCGTAGTGCACTTGCTGTAGAGCGCCCGTGGTACTATGCCTATTGGTGTAGTTAAGAGGTTGTTACACCAAGCGTGTTTATTTCACCGTGCTCCATTGTTGCACTTGAATGGGGACGATCTTTTAGTGGAGCTGGCTTGAAGAACCAAAAAATACACGGGCTGTCTTTCTTTTCCAAGACACACGTTTTCGGGAAATGCAGCGATTCGGTAAACGGTTAGCCAAGCATTAAAACCCAGGAACGTCATAGGGAGGGGGAGGGGGGGGGGCTTTTGCGGAGTGTTGAGTTATTTATTACTGAAGGTGCTACTGTTTATAGCAATTACATTAAAACCTTCAAATTCACGGGGGTGGGGGGGGGGACAACAACAACAAAGGCCCTACCCCAAATGACGTCCCTGATTAAATCGGGTAGAAATGTGAAGATCGTTCTTGTGTTTACCTGTGTTATGGTAAGAAAAACTGGAAGGACCGCCACGTCATTTTAAGATAGATTGGTTACAATGAACGATCCGTCAGCTTGTGTTATGTCAGTTGAGCTAGCTTTAAGATTCTCCATTAAAATTAGGTAGAGTTGTATACTCATGAAGTGGCTGGAGGCACGCTTAATTCGTGGCAAGAATTGACACTATATACCATCACATTGACAGATGTTAGTGTTTTTAGATTAATTCCCACATCACATTGACAGCTGGTAGAGTTATCACATTGACAGCTGGTAGAGTTTTAAATTGATTCCTACCATCATATTGACAGCTGGTGTTTTTTTTTAGATTGATTCCTACCATCATATTGACAGCTGGGAGTGTTTTTATATTTATTCCTACCATCATATTGACAGCTGGAAGTGTTTTTAGATTGATTCCTACCATCATATTGACAGCTGGAAGTGTTAATTTGATTTTCTAGCATCACATTGACAGATGCTAGGGGTTTTTAGATCGATACCTTCATGATATTGGCATCTGGTCGTGATTTAGTTTGATTATTACCATCACATATACAGCTGATTGTTTATTTAAAATGTATCACAATGTGTTGCTGGTGAGTCTTGGGAATTTTTTTATTAGTTCTTCTCTATGATCTAATTGATTCTTTATATTATTTTGTTATCATTGAATGTACTAATCATAGCACTCAATATACATTTGTACCAGTGAATGTACTTATTTTTGAATGCTAAATATACTTTTAGTATTGAGTTTAATTATCATAGTGCTGAGTACACTCTTAGTATTGACTGCAAAGAACATAGTACTGAATGAATGTAATCATTGTTGCACTGAGTGTACTTAATGTAATGTTCAATTTATCAGTACAGCTGTATTTTGACAGCACTAAATGTGTTTGTTACAGTTGCCATTACCTTCGAATATGTTCTGTTTCAGTTAATAGTTGGTAGTTCAATTAAAATGGATTCAATCAATCAGAGGTCATTAACCTTTGGTCCCAGTTAACCCTGTGCACTTTTATAAAGCTTGTGCACTCTCATGAGCTCTGTGCTCTCTCAAGAAGCATGTGCACTCTCATGAACCCTGTGCACTCTCATGAACCCTGTGCTCTCTCAAGAAGCATGTACCCTGAACCCTATGCTCTCATGAACCCTGTACACTATCATGAAGCTTGTGTACTCTCATACAGCTTGTGCAGCCTGTGCACTCTCATGAACCCTGTGCTCTCTCAAGAAGCATGTGCACTCTCACGAAGCATGTGCACTCACATTAAGTATGTGCACTCTCATGAAGTATGGGCACTTTCATGAAGCTTAAGCACTCTCATGAATCCTGTGCTCTCTCATGATGGGTGTGCACTCTCATAGTTTTCCTATCACATCTTCTTCTTCTTCTAAATCTTAAGGGCCCACGATCAATTTATTGATCATTTTGGCTCCTATGCATGTAGATGGGATTTGCAATGTTTCTGTTACTGGTGTTGATGAGGAAATCATGCACTAGGGGTTTGAAGGCTTGAGGCAATAGACACAAATGTGTCTAGTGTTGTCGCCTCAACTGTTCCTTTTGAAAGATGGTTCCAGTCCCTGATTGTCTTGGGCAGGAATGAGCAGCTCCTATACTGGCTTCTTGCTGGTATGAGCCTGAATTGCCTGTCATGGCCTCGTCGCTGTCTATGGGGGAGAGGGACGAGTTTCTGTTTAATACTGGAACAGTGGACCAGCCCATTATTTATCTTGTACATCATGGAGAGCCTGGATTGTCGTCGTCGTTTCTCCAATGGTGACCAGCCTAGTGTTTCTAGCATGCTGCCAACACTAGAGGTATTCCTGTAGCGGTTTAGGACAAAGCGTGCTGCTCGTCGCTGGACCGCCTCCAACCTGTCAATGCTCTTCTGGGTAAATGGGTCCCAGACTGAAGATGCATAATCTAAAATGGGACGGATAAAGGCTTTATATGCTCTTTCTTTCACACAGGTGTTGCCAATCTTTAGATTTCGCCTTAAGAACCCTAGGGTCTTGTTTGCTTGGTTACATACATTGTTAATATGCTCGTCCCAGCGGACCTCTCTTTAAATGGTAACACCCAGGTACTTTATGGAGGAAACTTGCTCAAGTATATGGCCGTGCAGTTTGTATTGGTAGTGTAGAGGAGTACAACTTCTAGAGATTGCTAGTGTCTGGCACTTGGCAGGGTGAAATTCCATGTCCCAGCTCATCTCCCACTCAGCTAAAAGATTGAGATCCTGTTGTAGCTGGTCCTGGTCAGATCTGTTGGCGATCGTCCTATACACTGCTGTGTCATCTGCGAACAGTCTTGCCTGTGATGTCAGTTTCTCGGGTAGGTCATTAATGTATGCTAGGAACAAACAGGGGCCCAGGACTGATCCCTGGGGGACCCCTGACTTCACATCGACAAAGGAGGAGCTTGTACCGCCCACCACTACTGCTTGGCGTCGGTGGCTGAGGAAGCTAGAGATCCATGTTTTAGTGGTGCCTTGAATCCCATATATCTGGAGTTTGTGTAGAAGCAAACTATGATTCACCCGGTCAAATGCTTTTGCGAAGTCCATTACTAGCACGTCAGTCTGCTTGTGGTTCTCCAGATTGGTCATCAGGTCTTCTACAAATTCGAGAAGCTGGGTCTCACATGATCTATTGACTCGGAAGCCATGTTGACAGTCATTGAGTATATTTTGGCTTTCAAGATGCTTCATGACTGTGCTTACGATTATGTGCTCCAACAGTTTGCATTCAATGACTCCCTGAACATTGGATCCATATTTAATTATTTAAACAAATTTTATTTCACTTTACTATTGGCTGAGATATTTTGAATTTGATATTTCAGATCAATGATAAAATTAAACAGAGCATGGGCAAAAAATAATCAACTAGTACTTTAGATGTATTAAATACTTTGATCATTTTTTACCGTTATCTGTAAGAACTTGAACAGTCTTTATCACTGCTTATGTCCGTATTTATAAAATGTAATTTGAAATGTTTCTCTCTTCAAATGTCCAGTCTTGTGGCTATGAAATTGATGACCTGGAAGACTGTCTCGTGGAAGATGACACGCCTTCACAGAACACATCACATTTCAATGGGTTTGAGTCAGTCACCAACAAAAGACTAGATACACACTCTAGTGATCGGACCAGGGCCAACAGTGGCCCTGTCAGGGGAGGGACTCAACTGTCCCTCATGTCCAGCAGGCTCTCAGTCCTGACATTGGGTCAGGAACTGAATGAAGTTATTGAACAAACTCCTGGAGTCAAGTTGGAAGAGGTAAGATTACCTGAATTAATTTATAATATTTAATAGAGCCATTGTTTATACATTTAGAAAAACAGGTAATTGTCTTAGGAAATAACCTTTGTTTTTAGGGTATATATGAGCTACCTGTTTTTTTGGTGTTTATATGAGCTACCAGGGGTTTGCTTGAACTACCATGGGTTTCCATGAACTACCTGTGTTGTTGGTGTTTCCATGAACTACCTGTGTTGTTGGTGTTTCCATGAACTACCTGTGTTGTTGGTGTTTCCATGAACTACCTGTGTTGTTGGTGTTTCCATGAACTACCTGTGTTGTTGGTGTTTCCATGAACTACCTGTGTTGTTAAAAGATAATAATTGAAGTACTGCATTCAAGCTGGATAAATGAAATAGTATAACAAGGTATGTTGTATGCAGCTTGAATCAACAACAAAGAAGATCTCTAAATTTTGTTTACTGTGCTCTGTTTCTTGTCTTATTTTCATTTGTCCTGTTCACTGAAAAGGCTCTAAGCCATAATCTTCTCATCTTATTGTCCTGTCTATTGATTCAAACTTCAACATACCTTGTTCTGTGTTGTTAAGGGTTATATGAGCTACCCTTGTTGTGGATATCGTCAACGAGACTTTGACCACTATGGATAGAGTTTGATATTTTCACAAAGTCATACCACATAAGAATGTGTTGGGTTTCATTCTGTGATGTTATCATTTCTCTTAGGCTGACTTGCCCAACCGAACATTGACGTTCAAGTTAACAAAAGGTCAGAACAGTTTAGACATCAGTGTGTCATTTCCTGAAAAGTATCCCATCAGAGTTGCCCCACAGTTGACTATTCTTCAGTCTAACCTGGATCCTGATGTTTATGTCCGCATCATGAAGGTACAAATTGTTTCTATTAAATCAAATGAGAGACGTCATGAAGTTAAAACTTTTTCTGTTATATCACGTGAGAGACAAGGGTAAGAAATATACTCAATGCTTTGGTTTCAAACTTTTTAAAAAACATTGATACAGTGAAAGCCTTGTTGCCTTCAGGCAGACACACAAAGTTTTAGGTTTTATGCTTGGTCAGACTAATAAGCCGCTAAAATGTGTAGGTTTTTTGTTTAGTTTCAGGCTAACAAAGTTTTTTTTTTGTGTAGTTTGTCCTGAAGCTGATTTGTTTTATTTACATTTGTATTTTGTCCTGAAGCTGATTTGTTTTATGAACACTTGTAGTTTTTCCTGAAGGTGACTTGTTTTATATACATTTGTAGTTTGTCCTAAACCTGATTTGATTTATGTCCACTTGTAGTTTGTCCTGAAGCTGACTTGTTTTATGAACACTTGTAGTTTGTCCTGAAACTGACTTGTTTTATGAACACTTGTAGTTTGTCCTGAAGCTGACTTGTTTTATGCACACTTGTAGTTTGTCCTGAACCTGATTTGTTTTATGCACACTTGTAGTTTGTCCTGAACCTGATTTGTTTTATGCACACTTGTAGTTTGTCCTAAATCTGATTTGATTTATGTCCACTTGTAGTTTGTCCTGAAGCTGATTTGATTTATGTCCACTTGTAGTTTGTCCTAAATCTGATTTGATTTATGTCCACTTGTAGTTTGTCCTAAATCTGATTTGATTTATGTCCACTTGTAGTTTGTCCTAAACCTGATTTGATTTATGTCCACTTGTAGTTTTTCCTAAACCTGATTTGATTTATGTCCACTTGTAGTTTGTCCTGAAGCTGATTTGATTTATGTCCACTTGTAGTTTGTCCTAAACCTGATTTGATATATGTCCACTTGTAGTTTGTCCTAAACCTGATTTGATTTATGTACACTTGTAGTTTGTCCTAAACCTGATTTGATTTATGTACACTTGTAGTTTGTTCTGAAGCCGACTTGTTTTCCCCACCAGGTGTTTAATGACACCAGTTCAATCCATGTCAAGAAGAATGTCAACTGCCTGGAGCCTTGCATCAAACAGATCATGTTGGTCATCGAGAAGTCTGGGACCCCCACCCTCACACAGGACATCCCATCAGCTGTAAGAGTTTACCACATATGCCATATGGTTCAGAGTAAAGGCCCTTCCAGACAACAATCAATTACAATGTCCAAAATGTATCAACCATTAATAAGTAAAACAATGGAATTCTTGAGTATGGTCATTTAATTTTGATTTTCCACCAGGTTGAGGACCGCAAGTCAATGCTAGACAAAAAATTCCATGTTGAAAAAGTCCGTCAACCAACCAGTCCTGTTGCTCAAAGCAATGTCTCCCCCATGTACCCAACTGGTGGCTTCCAAGATTTGTGCATTCCATTCCCCAGGACCTGTGGGGCCTCTTTCTGCTCTAATGGTAATGTCAATAAATCAATTCTATTTTTGTGTAATTCACTCTACAATCAGTTCACTTTGCCATAAAAATTTGTGTTTTTTTCTGCACACTCCACAAATGACATCCTACAATGTAACAACAATATTAGTGTATGATATAGTTATAAGTGTATGATATAGTTACATAGCTATAAATGTAATGATTGTTACATAGCTATAAGTGTATGATATAGTTACATAGATATAAGTGTATGATATAGTTACATAACTATAAGTGTATGAGATAGTAACATAGATATAAGTGTATGATATAGTTAAATAGATTTAATACAAGTGTGTGGTGTACCCCCAGATTTCCTTGTGACATTTGCGGTTCCTGCGGCCTTGAAAAAAGTCAATGAGGATTCAGAAGTAACCCCCAGGTGTGTATTAGTTTAGAAGTAACCCACAGGTGTGTATTACTTCAGAAGTAACCCTGAGGTGTGTATTAGCTCAGAAGTAACCCCCACGTGTGTATTAGTTCAGAAGTAACCCCCAGGTGTGTATTAGTTAAGAAGTAACTCCCAGTTGTGTATTAGTTCAAAAGTAAGCCCCAGGTGTGTATTAGTTCAGTAGTAACCACCAGGTGTCTATTAGTTAAGAAGTAACCACCAGGTGTCTATTAGTTTAGAAGTAACCCACAGGTGTGTATTGGTTCAGAAGTAACCCCCAGGTGTGTATTACTTAAGAAGTAACCCACAGGTGTGTATTACTTCAGAAGTAACCCACAAGTGTGTATTAGTTCAGAAGTAACCCACAGGTGTATATCAGCTCAGAAGTAGCTCCAAACCATTGAGTTGGATTGAACTGCTACGTACAAGTGTTAATCGCCATGTTTACCTGTGTGAGAATGAGGGTTTTCACACAGTTCCATAGATAGGTTTGAAATCACTAGATTTATTGATGGACTTATTTAGTCTTACTCCTTGATATTTTCGTGGTGTTGTCATGTTAAAATAATGTGTAATTTCTGGTTATATTTGTACTTGCAGGGCCTTGTCAGATCTGGTCTCCTACAGCTTGTCCCAGTCCCAGTGGATGCGCAACCAATCCAACTCTTTTGTTTCGCTCTCATTGTTTTATAGCAGTCCCCCCCCTCAACCCCCAGAGGGCATCAGTGTCAGCAGTTTTTATACAGAGAAGGTAATTGATTGTTTTGTAGCAGTCCCCCCCCCCTCAACCCCCAGAGGGCATCAGTGTCAGCAGTTTTTATACAGAGAAGGTAATTGATTGTTTTGTAGCAGTCCCCCCCCTCAACCCCCAGAGGGCATCAGTGTCAGCAGTTTTTATACAGAGAAGGTAATTGATTGTTTTGTAGCAGTCCCCCCCCCCTCAACCCCCAGAGGGCATCAGTGTCAGCAGTTTTTATACAGAGAAGGTAATTGATTGTTTTGTACCGGTCCCCATATTTTGTCTGGCCATATGAGAAGATCTCAGGTTAGACGATCCAATTTTATCTACAGTAGTTTGGTAAGCATACTTGCAAGAATTCAACCCCTTCAACCCTGCATCGGTTAAGTCCCTTTTATTCTGTATTGTGATTCTTGACCCAGCTCAGGTGGCCCATTCAACCATGTCGACGACCCGTCTCAGTTGCACGCCTTGCGTGAGCAGTTCACATCATGGGAAATATTTAAGCCACTTATTTCATTGGCCACTGTCAATGGGTCATTCAATGATAAATAACCCTACCGCAGATACAAGCTGTGTCTGACCGGGTGTGAATTCTTTTCCTCCGCAATATTCTCCGGGTGCACCTGGCATAACTACATGTGAGGCCCGTGGATTGAAGTGATAGGCCGGTGTTGCCTACCCGGTTTCCATATTGCAAGAAACCATCTCACCTTTAGCTGGATTTGAGGGTAATGCCTCAAGGCCTGATTCCGAGGAGTCCACCCAGTGCAATACAACCACCTACCAAAATATCAGCCTGCATCTCTCTAAGGTGTGCTGGTTCATGTGCAAAATCATTCAGCTGTGTGCAAAATTTTAGAGCATCAATTTTTTGTGTGAAAAATTTTACACCCCACAAACACACGCACATGAATATTACATAAACGAACTTAAGTGCACAAATTTTATATAAATATATAAATAAAGTATAATTAAATAATTATAATAAAAAATGTCACAATAGTTCAATCAAAGCTATGTTTATTTCTAATTTTTATCCCATCGTTGGATCAAGCAACTAAATTCCAACACAACCACCATCAATGGCCGCTAGTCATTTGATTGACTCATTTCTGGAGGTACTCTGGTGCTGTCTTTCAACGATATCCATCTTTTATACACATCGTCAAGGTTGATCTGATGTCCATCATTCTGAAACAATCTAATCTTCATAAGCATGTCTAAATGTAACTCTTCCAGCGTATTTCTAGATTTTATTTTTATATTGTTCATTAGGCTGAATCCACGCTAATAATCAGCGATTGATGCAAAAAATCTAACACAAATATCTAACAGAATTGCAATGTCGCCGAACTGTTCTTCCTCCTTTACTACAAATCAAACAATCTCGTCGAAAGTCTGCATCAACCCATATTTCATTTTTTCTACAAGCATAACCTTAAGTTAGGATACTGATCCTTAACTTTTGACAGAATGTCATTATAGTTTTCTACGAATTCCTTATGTCTAGAAACCAGTGCTGCAAATTCTTCTTTGGAAAAAATTAAAATCTGAAGTGTCAATTAATGCTGATAGCTCAAAGATTCGCCATTGCATCAACTCACTTGCAGGGAAACGAGAGATCAGGTGCAAACATAAACTTTCAAAGAATTTTAGGATGGAACTCATGTTTATATCCTCGTCATTTGCAGGCAATTCAGCAACCTCTTCAGACCAGTGCATATTTTTACGGAGCTTAGCGATCCTTGCTTTTACAAACATGTATGCATCGATGGGTGTAAGATTTTATTTATGTTTATGTAGCAGCTTGCATAATTCAGCAAGTTCACCAACAACTTCATTAAAGACAATCAGTGCAGTTTGAAACTACAGATCCCTTAGTTACTTCAAACAGTATTTATGAACTGGATCATTATACAGATCTACCTGCTCCTCATAGTATTCAGTCAGCACTTGTTTCTCAGCAATGCTCGTAAAGCAAAGGGCAGCAAAAGCCGTCTGATTTCATTTAATTCTAATGGCTACGGAATCACATTCCAACTGCGTAGCTAGTTCGGTAAACTGGGCATTCCATACTGTCAACCGTCTGAACAATGTGTACACTGTCCTAAAGAATGTTTCAATGTCTGCCATTTAACTTGTATGTTTGCAAGCATCATCGATGGCTAAATCTTCATGATAGCAACGAAATGTTATTCCAGAAGATGTGGATTACGTCGGTGAAGAATTGCTAAAAATCCATTGTTCTTGCCTAGCATAACCGATGCACCATCAGAGGTGAACATACCATTTCTGCATGTCCAATGAATTCTCTTGATAAAACTCTGTTATCGCTGATTCCACAGATTTACTGTCATATGCCGACAGAGACTAAATTCCAACAAACACTGTCTTGAAAACATTACCGGCACATGGTCAAAACTTTTCATATAAGATCAGCATTTTTGTCAGTGATATTATCAGTGCTCTAATCTACTGTTAATGTGTGGAGCTTTGCATTGCCAAGTTGGCTAATTATAGCATTCTTTACGATAGACTCAACAAACTCAAAAGCGTAATTCTTACTGCACTAGCTATGAGGGACTCGGAAATACTTAGCCATATGATTGTACACATATTGAACCGTATTCATATATGTGTTCATGTTGATAGCCAGAGGACGTTGTCAATCAAAATTTTAACCTAGTCTTTTTTAGCTCTTTTACGTTGTGCTGCTTCTTGTCTCATGCCTTAATCTGTGACATTTTATGTAAGCATTCGCAGGACACCTCCTGACTGTAAAGAACCAAGTTTCTGTACAGTATCTGTGTGTATTTTTTGCTTGATATGTCGTTAAAGATAATCCATCTTCCAAGCCTCCCACCTTTTCCCTGTGGAGGCATCACCATATGCATTAGCTTTGAAGCACATTTCACAGACATCATCAATTTCACAATATTAAAAATATCTCTCAGATTGACAGTCCACTCTGACGATGACTCTGGTAGTAGTGGTAGTGCTGCATGCACAAATTCATAGAGCCATCCCATTTTAAAATTTGATCTACACTTTTTCTTAGCAAGCGATGACGCTGAGAGTTCGCTTAACTGACACTTAGACATAAAGGCTAAAAAAATATTAAAACTAATTAGCTACTACATTTAAAATAAACCAGAGATATGCGATTTATTAACTTTATACACATTCACTTCCACAAAATTTACATGAATGACGGCGGTGGCTCGAGGCTAGCTTAATCCGGTATGTATCAGTATGTATGTAAATCAATAGTTCTACGTAAAAAGTAGAAGACAAAAATATAGACCAGAATCAAATGAAAAACATGGATGTATATGTTATAAAAACTGTATAATTCCGGCTGCAGAGTGAGGGCATATCTGTTCGAATTTATTTTTATACAAATTTTCTGCACGGATACTCAAAACTGCTGCGTGGCGTCTGTGAGACAGCTGCACGGCCACGCAGCTTTAAGGGAACATTGCTTAGGACGGCAAGTTTCTAGGACTCTACATCCCACAACATACAGCTGGGAAGTCCACATGCTCCCCTGCCCTCAGAACTTTTGAAGGGGAGGATCAATCTATCTTGATCGTCAATTGCAATTAATATTTTAAAAATATAAGCTCTACATATGTATCTTGCTACAAAGCAATATGAGATGGTAATGGAATGACAGGTCAATAATCCATAGGCAAAAACAAGATTAAAAGCATAGCAAAAGTTGACCTGATCCATGCCTATAAGCATTTGATTAGATACAATTGTAAGACTTTGATTTCTGTTAAGTTTTGTCAATAAATTATAATGAAATTAGTTGCACTCTTCTTTTAAATGACTTATTAGTGTATATAAATGAGGATAGGTTCCCTTGTGGTCTATGAATCTATCATTAAAACCCCTAGGCACAAGTAGATGATGATTCATACAAGAGTCATCTAATTATACAAGTCATTTCACCACACTATAAATCTTAGGAAATTATAGCTGAAATAGGATTTATATGTAAACAGAGTTTGGGAACTACTTCATTGGAGTCACTGTATTTGTTGGTGAAAAGGTTTTCTCTATATTCCTCACAGTCTTCCAAAAACCGTCATCATCGCTCTAGTCACCACCATCACAAGTCAAGGTCACGAGACAGCAGGGAGAACAAACCAGACAAGGAGAGAGAGTCAGACAGAGTCAGCAAGAAGATGCAGAAAGTTGGTTTCATCAAAGTCTATGATATTTCCTGTATCAATCCAGTCAACAAATACCTGGCTCAAAACTACAGGTAAGTTGTTTTCATCAAATTTCATGTATAAACCCAGTCAACCTGCCTCAAAATTACAGATAATTTGGTTTCATCATAGTCTTTGATATTTCCTGTATCAATCCAGTCTCCAGGTACCTGTGCCAACACGACAGGTAAATTGCTCTCATAATATTTCATGTATCAAACCCACCAATACAGAGAATATTTAGGGAGTCACAGACAGGACAGGAATATTTAAATGGCATGGTAGATCAGTGCAAGAAGAAATGAAATGTTTTATCAACAATGAAAAAAGCTGCATTTATTACTTCAAAGAGAAGCAAGTGGCCCTGGAGCTGCAGCATGCCGACCACTGCCTTAAAGTCAATGCTATAAAGGAAACATCACTACAATACTTTAGAAATGAATGGTCATGAGCATCTAACAATGCCAAATTATGCCTATAGCAAGTAGTGAGTGGTCATGAGTACCTAACAATGCTAAATTTTGCCTATAGCAAGTTATGAGTGGTGAGTGGTCATGATTATCTAACAATGCTAAATTTTGCCTATAGCAAGTTATAGTTTGAGCAAAAATGTCAATATAATATTTAATAGGGAAATTTAATGGGCATGAACTCAATTTTGATGGCACGTTTTGGTGATTTAAATTGATTGTCTTTCTAGGCTTGATCTGGACAAGTTGGGTGAAACTTGTAGACATAATGTTGATGTGGCTACTAAAATAGGAAGAAAAGATTTAATTCAGGTTAGTCTAGTAGGTGTGTCTTTGTTAAGATCCACATGTATAGCAATGGAAGTTCTGCATATCTTTGTGAAAAGAATGAATGTGCCTTTGTTAAGATCCACATGTGTATCAATGGAAGTTCTGCATTTATTTGTGAAAAGAATGAATGTGTCTTTGTTAAGATCCACATGTGTATCAATGGAAGTTCTGCATTTATTTGTGAAAAGAATGAATGTGTCTTTGTTAAGATCCACATGTGTATCAATGGAAGTTCTGCATTTATTTGTGAAAAGAATGAATGTGCCTTTGTTAAGATCCACATGTGTAGCAATGGAAGTTCTGCATTTATTTGTGAAAAGAATGAATGTGTCTTTGTTAAGATCCACATGTGTATCAATGGAAGTTCTGCATTTATTTGGGAAAAGAATGAATGTGTCTTTATTAAGATCCACATGTGTATCAATGGAAGTTCTGCATTTATTTGGGAAAAGAATGAATGTGTCTTTATTAAGATCCACATGTGTATCAATGGAAGTTCTGCATTTATTTGTGAAAAGAATGAATGTGCCTTTGTTAAGATCCACATGTGTATCATTGGAAGTTCTGCATTTATTTGGGAAAAGAATGAATGTGTCTTTATTAAGATCCACATGTGTATCAATGGAAGTTCTGCATTTATTTGTAAAAATAATGAATGTGTCTTTGTTAAGATCCACATGTGTATCAATGGAAGCTTTGCATATTTTTGTGAAAAGAATGAATGTGTCTTTGTTTAGATTAGAGACCGACCAAAATTGATTTTCTGATTTTGGCCGAAACCGAAACTAGGCCGAATGTCAAAAATAAATTTGGGGTGAAGCCAAAAGCTTAACGAGACTTTTGGCCAAAGCTGAAACAAAAAGCTTAACGAGACTTTCGGCCGAAACTGAAATATTTAGATAACGAGACTTTTGGCCAAAGCTGAAACAAAAAGCTTAACGAGACTTTCGGCCGAAACTGAAATATTTAGATATTTTGAAATTCGCGTACACATACATTCTGCATACATCCAAAATGATTGGGGAAAGTATCAATATTTTAATTGTTTTTATAAAAAATGAGATCATCGTGAATATTAATAAATAAACATCTAATGCAGGGGTCTCAAACTCGTGGCCCGCTAGCCATTTGTGGCCTGCAAGACGATATTTTATGGCCCGCTACATGACAGCAAAGTTTTATTTTATAGCATTTTATGAGACAAACATGGCAAAAGTATGGTTTTGAGAAAAGTTTTAAAAAGTCAGTTGGTGGTTAATGCACAACCATAATTGTGTAAATTGTAGCAATCAGACACAGTATCAAAGAATCCCTATTAAAATTGCCGCTAGTGTTTATGAGTGAGGGAAATTCCGAGCCTGTCAGCTTGTCGCTTTCAAAATTGGATTAGTCAAAAAGGCCTTTTCTACGATAAAAAAATCAAAATTCATTCTCCCTACAATAGCTTCTTCCTTCGCATAAATAAATATTAATAAATATGGCCTGCTCCTGCTTACCGTTTGAACACTTTTTAAAGCCTTCATGAAGAAGGATGGGGTGCTTTTCCTGTACTAAGTGATCCCAAATGGCTCATGAACTTGGCTTTTCTTGTTGACATTTGGCAGGAGCTGAATTTACTCAACAAGAAGTGACAAGACTAGGGATAGCTTGTCAGTGTTGCCTATGACAATGTCAGGGCATTCTGCACAAAACTTATGTTATGGTTCTAAGAGAAACCTCTGCCATTTCCCTAAATGATAAGTACTCATAGACTCTGGCACACCATTCAGTAATAAGTATACTGATAACATTGCAAAGCTACAGGAAGAATTTGATCACAATTTTGAGACTTCAAAACAAACACAGCCACTTTTCAGCTTTTTGCTGACCCCTTCTCCTTTAATGTGGAAGATGCTTCTCTCTTTCTCTCCCCCCCTCCTCCCTTTTTAAAAATTATTTTTGTTGTTGTCTTTTTTTGGCTTCAAATGGAGCTGATTGCTCTTCAATGCAATTCTACGTTCAGGGAAGTGAATGGAAAACCAAATAAGCATGGACAGTTTATGAGAGCATTGCCCTCCACCTTCACTGAGATTTCCAGGTTGTTCAAGGGGATCATGCGCCGTTTTTGGGAGTACCTATCTGTGTGAAAAGTTTTTTTCCACTATAAACTTTAACAAGTCAAAATTCAGGACCAACTTACTGATGAGCGTCTTCAAGCTATACTAAGGGTCTCAGTTGCTTCCTCAAGCCAAAGTTGCTCAGCTGTGTAAGAAGAAGCGCTGCCAGGTCTCTGGCAGCAGTGAGTAGGAGGAAGAAAGTGAAGCCTAGTACTTGAGAACCCGTAATGTTTTTATTTGTTATTAAGAAAGGTTGAGCAGATTGTAACAGTTGAACTTTAATGAATTTGTAATAGCATTTTTTTTGTGTGGAATACTTGATGCGGCCCAGTCTCAATCAGACTCTGCCTCCTGCGGCCCCCGGATGATTTGAGTTTGAGATCCCTGATCTAATGAATACTTTGGCTTTTACTATTTTAATATTTAAAAGCAATTTAAATTTCTTTAGGATAAAATTTGGAAAGGGGGGGGGGGGTGTTGTTGCAAAATTCATGCAAAATAAACCCTTCAGTGCCCTTTGTTTTTATAATATAATGACAACCTCAAACAATACCCTACAATAATTATTTTGTAAAAGCAATTTAAATTTCTTTAGGATAAAATTTGGAAAGGGGGGGGGGGTGTTGTTGCAAAATTCATGCAAAATAGACCCTTCAGTGCCCTTTGCTTTTATAATATAATGACAACCTAGAACATATACCTACAATAATTATTTTGGCTCTAATAGAGCCAATTGTCTCCTAAATATAAATTATTAAGGCTATTAAAATATCACCACAATGTTTCTCGGTTATCGTCAATCTAATGCTTTGTGTTTACATAAATAGCTGGCAAGATATTGCTGTATTAATATTTAGCCTAGAAACACACTAGTCTTTCCGTGCTGGTGATGTAATTATTTTGTTCGTTGACCAACCTCCCTCACCCCCATTGATGGGGCACATTTTTTTTTTAACCGGGTCTCTTAAAATTTTTGTTTTGACTGGTCTCGACAGAGAATTGCAAAAGACATCTAAATTGGTCGCCAAAATCATAAAAGTAAACAGGTCTGTGGTAGGCCTACTACATAATTATAATACGACCCCGTGATACATGCACACACATGTTATTTCGTCAATAACATTGTTTATGTGCATGACAATGATGAATTTCAAGAAATGAAAGGTATGAAAAAGCCTAAGTTTCCTTAATTTTTTTAATTTATTTTTTTTAATGACAGTAAGACGTCTAGCAATAATGAATATCAGTCTGTCTTCTGGTAGACCACCGAAAACCTCAGTCACTTTTGGCTAGATGGCCGAAAGTTTCAATCACTTAAACCGAAAGTTAACTTTTCAGCTTCGTCCGAATCCCAAACTAGGCCGAAAGTGATCAAATGGCAACTTTCGGCGCCGAAACCAAAGCCGAAATTCGGTCGGTCTCTAGTTTAGATGCACATGTGTGTCAGTGGAAGCTCTGCATACATTGTTGAACAGAATGAATGTGTCCCTGTTAAGATTCACATGTGTGTCAGTGGAAGTTCTGCATACATTGGTGAACAGAATGAATGTGTCCCTGTTAAGATTCACGTGTGTCAGTGGAAGTTCTGCATACATTGGTGAACAGAATGAATGTGTCTCTGTTAAGATTCACATGTGTGTCAGTGGAAGTTCTGCATGCATTGGTGAACAGAATGAATGTGTTTTTGTTAAGATTCACATGTATGTCAGTGGAAGTTCTGCATACATTGGTGAACAGAATGAATGTGTTTTTTGTTAAGATCCACATGTATGTCAGTGGAAGTTCTGCATACATTGGTGAACAGAATGAATGTGTCTTTGTTTAGATCCACATGTATGTCAGAGGAAGTTCTGCATACATTGGTGTACAGAATGAATGTCTTTGTTTAGATCCATGTATGTCAGAGGAAGTTCTGCATGCATTGGTGAACAGAATGAATTTATGTTAGCCTGCCAAAGATGATAACATTATATTATAATGATTTTAATGTGTAACCTGTTATTTCTCTTCATTCCCAGTTATGGCAGCTTGTCTGTCACATGACACAGCCCAGTTTGAAGCCATCCCCAAACATTGCACATGAGGCACCCTGGGCCTACTGTCCATTCGGTAGGCCACTTCTCAAACAAATGTAAGTGACTAAGTCATTTTTTGAGGTTGTTAAGAATGACATTCCATTTTCATTTTCCTGCTTCATCCTTTGGATTTAAATAAACATTCTAAAAAAAAAATCAATTATGTAGAGCCTATCGATGTCCAGATTTCATTAATGAGGGAATAATCATAGGGAAACGAAGTTAAGAACAATATGTTTCTAACATAACCTGTTTATTGTTTAGTCATTGACTTTTGAATTAGATTAAAAACAATGTCATTGACTACTGAATTACAGTAAAGTTAAAAATGTTAGTTGAGTTTTCATTTGTCAAAATTTCTGTATTGCTGCCCATGTCTAAACTTCAGTTTTTATGTAAGCGTTTCAATGGCTTGATTTAATATCTTAAATTAAGCGAGGCCGTGCTGTCCTGCTATTCATACCTGAAATGTCAGAATTTTATCAGTAAACCTTGAAACAAGAATCTTTCAGGAATTTATCAGACTCAAGTAAGTGATCCAACTATTGATGTTTTTTTTTTAAACCAGGCTGGATCACTCTGCCAAATCAAGAGATGTTCAAACCATGGCCATGTTGTGCTGTGTATTCTGGGACAGGGACAGACCCAAGAAGGATCGAATACCTTTTGATCGAACAAGTCAGTCCAAGAATGAGCCCCGCTCCACTTTTGAATACGCCGCAGCAAATGTAAGTCTCGGCCGCTCAGAACTAAAACTAGTGCATGTTCTGCATTGACATGACGGCATTGTGAGTAGGGAAAATAGGTTTATGTTTTAGTATCCTTTATGAATCTCAGTTTAAACTAACGATTGATTCAATAATTCAATGTATAGATGCCCTTACTTGCAATATTCAGTACGCTGTAGAAATCTTCAAACACAAATTATTAGAGCTTTCAAATTTTGTTGATTAGATTTACAAAGAAACAAAATCACTAACTCACACACACACAGACTCACTAACTCACACACACACACACACAGACTCACTAACTCACACACACACAGACTCACTAACTCACACACACACAGACTCACTAACTCACACACACACAGACTCACTAACTCACACACAAACAGACTCACTAACTCTCACACACACAGACTTACCAACTCACACACACAGACTCACATACACACAGACTCAATAACTCACACACACACAGACTCACTAACTCACACACACAGACTCACTAACTCACACACACACTGACTCACTAACTCACACACACACAGACTCACGAACTCACACACACAGATCACTAACTCACACACACACACAGACTCACTAAATCACACACACACAGACTCACTAACTCACACACACACAGACTCACTAACTCACACACACACACAGAATCACTAACTCACACACACACCAGAACTGTTTACTCTTACGATTTTTGCGTACAATGTACGATTTTCAGGTGTCTACATTATATATACTGTATGTTTATTTTTTACTATTAAGATAATGTATTGAATGATTTTGTGATGATAGTGTACGATTTTAAGTGTTTAAGGGTAAATAGGTCTGACACACACACTCACTAACTCACATACACAGACTCACCAACTAACACACATAGATTCACTAACTCACATACACAGACTCACCAACTCACACACACATAGACTCACTAACTCACACACACACAGACTCTCTAACTCTCACACACGCAGACTTACCAACTCACACACACACAGACTCACTAAACTCATTAACACACATACATGCGCACACACACAAACTCTTTAACTCACAAACACACACACACACAATTTCACTAACTCTCTCAAACACATACACACACAAACTCATTAACTCACATACAAGTACACAAACTCATTAAGTCACACTCATATACAGAAATTCATTAATTTGCATTCACGTGCACACACAGAAATTCATTAACATTAATCAACTCCTCTACTGGCTTCACCCAAAGACACTGTCTTGTTGAACTTTTGTCCCCTCTTGAATGCTTATCTCCAGGAGTCTCAAACTCATCCTTTGCCCTCCCCTCCCCCCTCATCCACAAAGTCACAGCTGTCGAAAGCAATGAGTAATAATTGACAGTGGTCTAAAGCAATGACTACTAATTGGCAGTGGTCTAAAGCAATAACTAATAATTGGCAGTGATCAAAGCAATAAGTACAAATTAACCGCTGTCTAACGCAATGACTATAAATTGACAGTCATCTAAAGCAATGACTATAAATTGACAGCTGTCTTAAGCAATGACTATAAATTGACAGTTGTCTAAAGCCATGACTATAAATTGACAGCTGTCTAAAGCAACGACTATAAATTGACAGTTGTCTAAAGCCATGACTATAAATTGACAGCTGTCTAAAGCAACGACTATAAATTGACAGCTGTCTAAAGCAATGACTATAAATTGATGGCCGTCTAAAGCAATGACTATAAATTGACAGCTGTCTAAAGCAATGACCAAAAGAAATAATTGATTTTATTTTATAGTTCTAGTATTCTACAATTAGTTGATTCAATGATGAAAGTCATCCAAAATACACAAGGACAAGGAAGAAGCTGATCAAATGACATTTGCTAAACTAGTCAATTGTAAAAACTTGAGTTTGAGACTCTTGGTTGTCTGTGATAAAGCATAGGGCACCTCACCTAACTTTTGCCTGTCTGTGATATGATTTGGCACAATGCTGGTAGCACTGCAGCTGTTTACTTTTTACTCTCTTCACTTTTTGAATATTGATGTTTTCTGTCTCTCTTTTTTGGCTGTGATAATTGATACTAAAATATTATTGTCAACTGTCAGAGAAATTCTGTTTCATATATTTCAGTTTGGCACCACTTTTCTAGGGCAGTGGTTCCCAACATTTACATATACTTGACACTATCTGCAAGTCGCCTTGATAACAATACTTTCCCCTATAGGGATGCATACTTAGTCCTTGGTTTTTTATGAAATAATTGGAAGCCAAGATTTTTGTTATGGTGTTATGAGTGGGAGGGGTGTTATGAATTATTTATTTGATAAGTATGGCAACCACTGCCCAACATCTCTGTTCCCACCTCTCATTCTTGTATTCTTGTAAAATCCATTTATTAACAGTGGCCAACACAAAATTTGGTGTCTCCAATGTTGGACGTGTTTCTAAGTATATTTGACCCGCTGATTCCAAAAAATGGCATCAAGTTTCCCCTATCAGCTCTAGTTTTTGAGATATTGAACTTGGTTATTTTTAAGCATAATTTATTCTATTAATGTTTGGATAAAACTGTGCTACGTGGACATGTGTTATTTTATAACAAAAGATCAGATTTACTGGAAAATTGGTATTATTATTCTACATCAATAAATCTCCTATTGTTAGACTTCTTAAAGCAAGATCTTCCAGGAAAATGCCTTATAAATTTCTTTAAAAAAATCTTAACAATATGTGCATTTTATCTACCGTACATTCGTATCTGGCTGACGCTGCATGCATATGTCTTGGTGAAATCTTTCACTTTACTCTTCGCTTAAGGTTGTCTGGACACCAGTCTAAGTAACTGCAAAAAACTTTTTTCACAAGAATACATAAAGACTGACCATGATTTAAGTTTGTTCATTGATTTCATGAAAGGTGGGTCAATTGTGCACTGTCTGATCTGTGGGTCATTTGTGCACTGTCTGATCTGTGGGTCATTTGTGCACAGTCTTATCTGTGGGTCATTTGTACACTGTCTTATCTGTGGGTCATTTGTGCTCTGTCTGCTCTGTGGAACATTTGTGCACTGTCTGATCTGTGGACCATTTGTGCACTGTCAGCTCTGTGGGTCATTTGTGCACTGTCTGCTCTGTGGACCATTTGTGCACTGTCTGATCTGTGGACCATTTGTGTACTGTCTGATCTGTGGACCATTAAAATTCCAGCTTTCATTTTTCCCTGTGATAAGTCCATATTAACTGTGCATTAAATGCACTCTTCAAAACCAATTTATCAGCCAGGCCTAGATTCTTATAATTATTTGCAGTAGAATTGATTCTACATTGTCTTACTAAAGCCTAGCCCCCTCACCAGAACAGTTTGATCAATTCAAAATTCAGGGATGCATTTTGGAACATACTGGAGTTTAGTTTTTCATCATTCTACACTTATTCGGATATCAAAGGAAGAGATGCTAGTGAAAAATTTAGGTTCCCTGACCTTAATGTGATTATGCAAAAATCTTTATTTTTAGATGTTACCAAATAGTATAGCTTATTATTATCATTTTAACCCTTTATTTGTTTAAACTACTTTGTTAAAGAGTGATTTTTTAAAAAATATCTGTCACTAAAAAGGATATCCTGTCATTTTGCCCCCTTCGAAAGTTCCCTTTTTTTCTGCGCTAAAATTATAGATGGGACAATATGAGGTGGGAGACATGTTGGTTTTTTCATGTTGCTTGACGTCAACAATTTTAAACAAATGTTATCCCCAGAAAAAAAACTAATTTTCAACAACATTGTTTCATGAGCAGCTGCCTCTACCTCAGCTCCCCCACGGGCTACACTTCAGACATGGGTTATATTCTGAAAGACCAGTGCTATTCAGAAAGTTTCTGATTGTTGAAAAGAAAAAATGAACAAGAAAAATGGCATCAAATAAGTTATTTTTTCAAACTCTGTACAGGCTTCCTACATGTCGAAAAAAAACTATATATGCAGCTTTTTTTAACAGGTCAGGCTGGGAAGCTTTGAACAATTACAAATTATAAAGCAGCAAAAAGTTGAATTTGTCCTATGAACTTAACATTTATTTATATGCCAGTGTGTATGAAAAGATAGGAACTACTTGTCTTCATACACATAAAAATGTTGATAATTTCACAAAATAATTTCCCATTCAAATAATAATGTTTTTTTATCATATCCTGATTCCACAAAAGTGACCTTATACAGAGCTCATTAAATTTGTATAAATTAACAATAGCTTAAAAGCTATAACTGACTGTTAATGTTAAATCTGATGCAATTTTTGGAATCAGCACCCCGAATAACAGTCCCCAAATCCAGGTACCAAGGGAAAAAAAAATGTTTGGCCTGTTGAATCCTATTTAATAGATGAAAAATGATGTCAAAGGAAATTTTGAAGAGCAAGTATGAAATAAAGTTGGTCCTGTTGCTAAATGCTAACATTGCCTGAGCCAGGACTAGGGATGTTGATATTGTATAGAAAGCAACCAAAGGTGGAATAAGAAAATTAGTTTGTCATTAGACTCATGTCAGATACAATAACTCAACAATCATCAGTTCATTAGGCATGTCAGATACAATAACTCAACAATCATCAGTTCATTAGGCATGTCAGATACAATTACTCAACAATCATCAGTTCATTAGACTCATGTCAGATACAATAACTCAACAATCATCCGTTCATTAGACTCATGTCAGATACAATAACTCAACAATCATCAGTTCATTAGACTCATGTCAGATACAATAACTCAACAATCATCATTTTATTAGACTCATGTCAGAAACTTTTACAATAACTCAACAAGCATCAGTTTATTAGACTCATGTCAGAAACTTTTACAATAACTCAACAATCATCATTTTATTAGACTCATGTCAGAAACTTTTACAATAACTCAACAAGCATCAGTTCATTAGCCTCACGTCAGACACTTTGATTAACACAGATGAAAAAAAAACTCCAATGATTAACCCCATTTTTGTCCTTCCTCTCATTTAACCACACAGCAGGTGCCAGATATTACGTTGGATAACAGTTCTGACTACAACGGTGGGTGGGAATTTCTTTGTAAGTTTTCCCTTTGCTTGGTCTGTCCTTGGCCAGGCAAAGCCCTGTCTTGTTCTCACCCATGTCTGATCCCATTTTGTTCTAAAGAAATTCTGAGAATGGGCAAGGATTGTTCCCCTTACAAAAATGTTTATTCCACACATATCTAGAAGTAAATTTAGTTTGAAACAAGCTATTGAAATATAGTTTATCTTGAACATGTTTCAGTAACTATTGAATGACTGCGTGGTTTGCCTCGCTGGTACACCCTTTGTAGGTTTAATAGCTGCTTCCAACATGTAGGTCAATGGCCTTGTAGAAACGGCTACTAAAATGAAATTATAGGAAATCTTAGGTTATTGTAGGATATCCTTGGTTATTGTAGGATATTGTTGGATATCCTATGTTATTTTAGGATTTCCTATGTTATTGTTGGATATCCTATGTTATTGTTGGATATCCTATGTTATTGTAGGATATTCTGTTATTATAGGATATCCTATGTTATTTGTTGCTTTTTTTTTTTTAAACCTTGCTGTGTTTATGTGCTTATGACTGACTTTCAGTGCTGCTTTGGAAGTCGGACATGCTGTCAACACATTTAACTTCTTCCTTATTTACGTTGAAATGATTTTATAATGTCTTCCTATTTAAAACAAAATACCATCCACACATTTTTTGTACGTTTCCCTATGTGCTAATGCATTTAGCAAATTCGTATACAATTCTTCTTAGTGATTTAGTCATTATTTTAATTGAACACCATGTTTGTCTCCCAACATAGGTTCTTCAGTGCCTTTGATCAATATTATTAATCAATGTACATTGCAATTTGGTGCACATATCAAACGTTTATCTTTCTCACTTAGGTTGCAACTATAATAAATGCCTTAGACTACTAATATTGTCAATATATCTTTGCTATGCTATATGTATTGCCACAAACTGTGTCACGTACATGCACCTAATCATTGAGTAACAATAACTAAATGTCCCTGGATATTTCTATACAAATCTGGCCATCATAATGAATCAACATGGGCAATAAATGAATGCAGTTTTATATCAAATGTTGAACAGTTTGTGAGGGACTTGCAGGCGTCCCTCACACTGCTCCATTTATGGATTCTACTTTCAATAGTCATGTAGCTGTGTGCCCTGTGTGGTTTCATTTAGTGTGCCGAGCGTCTGTGTCAGTGTGTGTGCCGAGTGTGTCAGTGTGTTTGCGCCAATCTAAGTGTACATGCTCTGAGTGTGTGTGTTAGTGTGAATGTGTTAGTGTGAATGTGTTAGTGGGAATGTGTTAGTGTGTGTCAGTGTGCCAATTATTTTGTGAGTGTGTCAAGTGTATGTGTGTGTGAGTATGCCTAGTGCCATGTGAGTGTATGAGTGTCCCCAGTGAGTGTGCAAGTGGTTGACGGCAAAACAGTTTTAAATCTAGTTTAAAAATCCAAGGAACCGTTATCTTGAGAACTATTGTTTTATTGACTCTAAGAGTGTGGTCAAAAGAAATAGAGAAAGAAACGCAGAGAAAAAGATTCACAGAAAGAGGACAGTATCTGAAAAAAATCAATATATAGTACAAGCTATTTAAATTGAAACACATTAAAGTATATATCACTAGCAATAGACTCTGTGGGAACTCTGGATAATTAAATTTACCTTATGGCAGTACATGTCATTATAATGATATGGCTGTTAAGATTCTGCAAACATAAACGACTTAGCGCATGACAGTTCGTACAACTCAAACACTACAAAGTATAATGGTTAGTTGGATGCTGGTGTACATGCTAAGTTTATTTGAAATTTAGCTCATTTCAGCATATATTACTAGAAGGAGGTAAATAGTAGCCGTTAGTTGTCAACGCACTCACACGCTGGTCTATATAAGACAAGGCCTGTGGCCGTACTTTAAACATAGGCGATATCATTTTCATGGGATCAATTCAATGAGCTTGACAAGTAATTAAGCTAAAACAAATTAACATAATCAGTAATGAATAGGAATCGCCCATAACAAGCATAATAAAATGTACTCTCCACAATATGATATGGATATTACATGGGTTTTACTTACTAGGCGGCCAGATAGAACCGTTGAAAGACTAAGAACTAACGTTGCTTGCTACAAGTCGTCTCTATTAATTCAAAAGGAGCGAGTCCCATTGGACTTGCCTGATATGGGAAAAATAGGTGGACAATGGTGGCAGCGTCTCGGGTCGGTCACGGTACAGAAACATGGCCGTGCATGTAGCATTGTGCTACTTTTAATTTTGATTGGTGTGTATGTTTTATAGTACAGCCTGGGGTTTAACCACAGCAATCAAAGTTGCACTCGGAGCGAGTGTTACCTCATTACTATTAAGTTTCACGTTGTCACATTTCTATGAGAACTTTTCACTGCCAGTCTCGTGGTTTGTTAAGTTATTTAATTTATTGTATATTTATGCTTGTATTATTTTCATGATACTGTATCTATAAATATCACAGACATCACATATTTGACATGAATAACTTTTTATCTTTTTATTTCTCTCCTCCTTCCCCATTAAATCATGCCACCCCAATTATTGGCTCCCCCTCCCACAAATGACAGACCTACAACCCCTACCACACGGTGTCCTCTATGACCAACCTGCTCAAAGGGTGGACATCTAGTAAGTCATTTTCTCCTACAGTGCTCTCCCCTTGCTTCGGCCACACTTTAACAGAGAAATCAAACACTCATGCCTTGTCCTTTTGACTGTTGTCAACAAAATTAATCCTTACGTGCTTAACCCAGATATTCGCAGATTTATTACTCAAGGAATTAGATACTTACAGAATTATTACTCATGGAATTAGATACCCGTGGAATTAGAAACTTAACAAATTTTATTATTTTTAAACTGAGCTAAAGTAAAACTGGATTATAAAAAAACAAAAATAATAATTATTGTATCATTACAATTACAAAGAAGTTTAAATTTTAGGTGAAGAAATAAACTCAAGAAGTGTTGAAGTATAGGTTAGGTGCACATTTTAATAGTTGCATTCTCAGATGTCAGAATCAAGAAATAAATCCTAAATTTTATCCTAAAGCAGACAAGTGGCTTTCACACTTTTATTTAGTTATATGCTTCAGTACATATTTTACAATATACTACTGCACTGCAACTGTAAGTTTGGCATGAAAATGAGCCATCTAAAAATTCTACTGCATGGTGGGATGATAATCAAAGGGTGGAGCACTCTGTTTGACCTCTTTTGAATGCTGTAATAATTACTGTCCCTCACAATAAGTGTTTTAAATAGACTTGTAGCCTTTCTCTTGTGGACTTGTTTCCATTAGCACTAGTCTCAGTGTTGTGCAACACTATTGATGTAGTTTTCAGAGTTGAGCTAGTCTCTTCATTTTCTTTTGGCACCACAAATCTCAGCTTGTCCCTCATGAGTACATTTCTCACATTTGCAATATTTATTGTTACTACTATTCATGATTTATTGTGTTAGCTATATTCCTGTAATTTTAAACAATATTTTGCTTTTTTTAGTTAGGACACATCACATTTCTAAAAGTTACATTGTCAGCATTTTGAGAGTTCCACTGTTGTCATCTGTATATCAATAACTGTTGTAAACAATTGTCACATAATGAAGCCAAGATTAGTTGAATGACACAGCCTAAAAACTTCTGTTGTACATGGCCTAAAAACTTCTGTTGTACATGGCCTAAAAACTTCTGTGTTACATGGCCTAAAACTTCTTTTGTTTCCAGTTTTTCTGAAGACATTTAAATAATTGGTTGTTTAGATTAGTTTTTGAAAGTCAACAACAGATCATGTACATTATTTCTGATGTTTCCTTCAACTTTCTTTGGCAGTAAAGTATTAGACTTTATTGACAACTAAATGACTAACATGAAGTAGTCGTTTATTTTTATTTCTAATATGACTGCTATAATTAAAGCTATTGAAAACTATTTCAAGTAAATATTTTAACATAAAAACTGACACGGCTTGTTTGAGAATAGCTATGTGCTAATGAACATAAACAATAGGTAGACAATGTAACAATTGTACTCTGTAGAAGGAATGTCAGAGTTTGCAGTTACACCTTGGGATTGGATGAAATCAACTGTCATGTGTCAGTCAGGCATGTGTGGGTTAGTAATACGGATGTCAGGGATCAGGAAATGATTGGCTTGGAGGACACAGGCATTCTGGAAATCTGGGGATTGGATGAAAAAGTTGTTCTGGAAATACAAGGATTGGAGGAAATATGTGAAAAAGTTGTTCTGGAAATACAAGGATTGGAGGAAATAAGTGTTCTTGAAATCTGGGGATTGGATGAAATAGTTGTTCTGGAAATACAAGGATTGGAGGAAATATGTGTAAAAGTTGTTCTGGAAATACAAGGATTGGAGGAAATATGTGAAAAAGTTGTTCTGGAAATACAACGATTGGAGGAAATATGTGTTTTGGATATCCAGGTATTGGAGGAAACAGGTGTTCTGGAAATCCAGGGCTTGGAGGAATTTGGAAATCCTGAGTCTGGGGGGTTTAATTACTTTTAAAAGAATTGTGAAATTAATTTCAGTCAGTACGAGTCATTTTCTCAGACCCTTACTTCTTTGTTGTAAAAGTAACTATTGAGTCCATCATTTGACTCTGGTGTTGTACACACCCCCATCTTGTAACTATTGAGTCCATCATTTGACTCTGGTGTTGTACATACCCCCATCTTGTAACTATTGAGTCCATCATTTGACTCTGGTGTTGTACACACCCCCATCTTGTAACTATTGAGTCCATCATTTGACTCTGGTGTTGTACACACCCCCATCTTGTAACTATTGAGTCCATCATTTGACTCTGGTGTTTTACACACCCCCATCTTGTAACTATTGAGTCCATCATTTGACTCTGGTGTTGTACACACCCCCATCTTGTAACTATTGAGTCCATCATTTGACTCTGGTGTTGTACACACCCCCATCTTGTAACTATTGAGTCCATCATTTGACTCTGGTGTTGTACACACCCCCATCTTGTAACTATTGAGTCCATCATTTGACTCCGGTGTTGTACACACCCCCATCTTGTAACCATTGAGTCCATCATTTGACTCTGGTGTTGTACACACCCCCATCTTGTAACTATTGAGTCCATCATTTGACTCTGGTGTTGTACACACCCCCATGTTATAACTATTGAGTCCATCATTTGACTCTGATGTTGTACACACCCCCATCTTGTAACTATTGAGTCCATCATTTGACTCTGGTGTTGTACACATCCCCATATTTAATTTGGACAGGCTTGGAATTGAGAACATTGTTATATTTTATTTTAAATCTTTGAATAATTTTTGAGTATGGCATCACTTTTGGGAAAGAGGAAAAAATCATTGTGAAAATGAAAAGACAATTTGCATTGGGAAAGTCACTATTGTAGATAATTTATATGGGGAAAGTCACCATTGTAGATAATGTGTATTGGGAAAGTCACCATTAATCACAAATAATAATGTTCAAGGAATTGAAAATCCATATAGTGCATAGACACTGGGGAGTTGTAGATTATGTTTGCATGTGGCAGGTAGGGGGTGGGGTTTTGGCAGAAAGTATGTACATTTATTAAAAAATTCTGCAGTAATTGTACTGGAATTCTGAACGTCCATAAATAGCCTGTTTATATCTCCAAGTCTAATGCTTTAAGACATCACATGATGTTTTCTAGGAACTATCGTTATAATTTGCCTTGTATTTTCACAAGTGGATTTGCCAGATATCCCTCTAGTAGTAGTGCAGTTATATTTACTGGACTTGTCAGGACGCCACCATTCTGTTTAATTGTATTGAATGTTACATGTGAGTCTGACATATTTTGTTCTGCTATGCCAGCAGTTCCTGATGTGTTTTGATTCCCAGTGCCCTTTCCAAATTTAGGTTTTCACCAGGCGCCCTGAATTAAATTCTAACAAGTACACTTTGAAATAGGGAAATTGTTAAAAACATAAAATGAAGGGTTGGGAAAAAAATTGTGTTAAAGTTTATAGTTTACTAAGCGTCATCTAGTGAAGACAAGCGTTGCTGTTCTCACCAGACCCCTCTAGATTTCAAGGATTTAAAGTTGGAACAAAATTATGAAAATGTTTTAATATTTCTCGGCAACCCAGGGCAGGTGGCAACCCAGGGCAAGCGGCAACCCAGGGCAGGCTGCGCTTAGGGAAAGTGGCTCCTGGGGCGAAGACTGAATATGGCTTTAAAAAAAAGCAGTAGCCTGTATTGGACCAGTAAAAAGCCAATGCCCTGATGTGATCATAAAGATCAATTTTTTTTTTTAATTAAGGGGTGGGGGTGGAAAGATCATCTTACCTACACATAAGAGGGGGGGGGGGATATCTTAAAAAAGATACATTTGCTTTTTTTTTTTTTTTTTTTAAGGTTTTTTTTGGTTGGATGGTCCCNGTCAGTGTTTGAGACGATAAGTTTTCGTCAAGTCAGTCTCAAGTCAGTGTTTGAGACGATAAGTTTTCGTCAAGTCAGTCTCAAGTCAGTGTTTGAGACGATAAGTTTTCGTCAAGTCAGTCTCAAGTCAGTGTTTGAGACGATAAGTTTTCGTCAAGTCAGTCTCAAGTCAGTGTTTGAGACGATAAGTTTTCGTCAAGTCAGTCTCAAGTCAGTGTTTGAGACGATAAGTTTTCGTCAAGTCAGTCTCAAGTCAGTGTTTGAGACGATAAGTTTTCGTCAAGTCAGTCTCAAGTCAGTGTTTGAGACGATAAGTTTTCGTCAAGTCAGTCTCAAGTCAGTGTTTGAGACGATAAGTTTTCGTCAAGTCAGTCTCAAGTCAGTGTTTGAGACGATAAGTTTTCGTCAAGTCAGTCTCAAGTCAGTGTTTGAGACTCTCTAAAATTGAGGAAAGCAGCTTCAAAATTCCCACTGTTCATTTTTATAAACCATGGAAACGGATAGCTTGACCCAGTTGTTTTTCTAAGCTTAGTTAACTTCGTATAAAACTGAGGATCAAAACTATGAAAGCAATTGTATCAATTATAATGCATAGCTTGTTGGAACAGTTCAGACAAAAAATAGTTCAACCGATATTAAGGGATACCGGTAGACTTTTCAAACTGAACGGTGAAAAGATGTTTCCAATGATGCGATGTTGAGTGTCACGTCTACTGTTCATTTCAGAGTTTCTCTGGACAACTGAACAGGGACAGTAGTTTTTTTATCAAAAAATGTATTTTATAAGACTAGTTTTTCTGTCTCAAGTACTGCACATATCACATTTACTGATGTCTGTCTCAAGTACTGCACATATCACATTTACTGATGTCTGACTCAAGTACTGCACATATCACATTTACTGATGTCTGTCTCAAGTGGTGCACATATCACATTTACTGATGTCTGACTCAAGTGGTGCACATATCACATTTACTGATGTCTGACTCAAGTGGTGCACATATCACATTTACTGATGTCTGACTCAAGTGGTGCACATATCACATTTACTGATGTCTGATTCAAGTACTGCACATATCACATTTACTGATGTCTGACTCAAATACTACACATATCACATTTGCTGATGTCTGCTCAAGTTCTGTACCATAAAGTGTTGCTCTTTGCAAATGTCATACAAAAATGTAAACAACAAATAGATTGTGAGTGCTTCCGGCTCCGTGTCATATGTTCTACCTTTGGTTTGCCACTGTCAGGCTGTTCATCTCCCATAATGAGACAAGTGCCGCACCTAATGAGACAAGTGCCGCAGCCAACGAGACAAGTGCCACACCTAACGAGACATGTGATGCACCTAATGAGACGAGTGCCGCACCTAATGAGACAAGTGCCGCACCTAATGAGACAAGTGATGCACCTAACAAGACAAGTGATGCACCTAACAAGACAAGTGATGCACCTAAAGAGACAATTCCCACACCTAATGAGACAAGTGCCACACCTAATGAGACAAGTGCCACACCTAATGAGACAAGTGCCGCACCTAATGAGACAAGTGCCACACCTAATGAGACAAGTGCCACATCTAACAAGACAAGTGATGCACCTAATGAGACAAGAGCCACATTATTGTTCTGTTCACTACGTGGATTCAAGACAAGTGATGCACCTAACGAGACAAGTCACACACCTAATGAGACAAGTGCCACACCTAATGAGACAAGTGCCACACCTAATGAGACAAGTGCCGCACCTAATGAGACAAGTGCCACACCTAATGAGACAAGTGCCACATTTAACAAGACACGTGATGCACCTAATGAGACAAGTGCCACATTTAACAAGACAAGTGATGCACCTAATGAGACAAGTGCCACACCTAATGAGACAAGTGCCGCACCTAATGAGACAAGTGATGCACCTAATGAGACAAGTGCCGCACCTAATGAGACAAGTGATGCACCCAATGAGACAAGTGCCGCACCTAATGAGACAAGTCCCACACCTTACTGCTTTTTATGTGTATTATGATATGAAAGGGGGCTGAAGAAACACATTTGATTTTAATTGCTTGAGAGCATCAGATTTACCAATGCAATAATGTACATGTCTGCATTCGTGCTATCACGCATGGACTACTGCAATGCTCTTATGGTGGGTCTTCCAGCTACGCTCCTGGATAAAATTAAAAAAGCACATAATAATGCGGCTCGCATTGTGCTTTGCAAATGCAAATTTAACCATGCTAAAACACTTCTGAGAGAGTTGCATGGGCTGCTGGTCAGCGCTCGCATAGAGTACAAAATTGCAACTCTGTGCTACCGCTGCTTGCATGACCTGGCACTGTCCTATCTCAAAGAGCTGCTGACGCCTTATTTACCCACTAGACAACTCCGCTCATATGATAGTGGCAAACTCTAAATACCACGTGTTCGCCTTGAGACTTACAAGGGGCGTACTTTCGCATTTGGTAGCCCAACAATTTGGAACACCCTTCCTGTCGCTCTCAGAAACAGCCAGTCACTGGAGTCTTTCAAAACTGATTTGAAGACATATCTATTTTGCAAATACCTGCTGGAATGATGTTGTCTATCTAGCTATTATCTTGTGGATGTTTATTGGCCTGTGTTGTTTATGGTTGTTAGGCATGAAAGACTTAGAATGGGTTTTCTTGTATATAGTTTTGGCAATGTTGCATTTTGTATTTCAATGTGGTCTATTATAGATTGTTTCATTTCTCTTTTAATAAACTAGACTCTGTACCGCGCTTCAAGCCTTTGGGGATGAAGTGTGATTTTCAAATAAACTTTATTATCATTATTATCAAAAAGGTGTATGATATTTTAGACATAGCTTGAGACAGTGTCATTCAGAATGTTGTATGAAATGGTCTGATAATGGGAACCTACCTCCCCCCTTTCCTTCCCCTTTAGTTCTTTATTTAATTAATAAATCTGCCACTGTACACTTATAATATCATATAATATAATTTAACTGATAAAACTACCACTGTACACTTATAATAACAGCTATTTTCTGATCACCATGAGCCATGTATTCATATTTAGTTAGACTAGTTAAAAATGTTAATTGCTGTGTGTGTTCACTTTCTTTGCTTGGCATTCAATAGCCAAAATAGTTTTGCCACACAGTACTTAAGCCTTCTGTAAGGAGACAAGAGTAGTAATAGTTGTCATAATTAAGTGCACCTTTCAAGTTAACTGTCCATGATATAAATCCTGTAAGGGCCTCTAGTAAACCAAAGAATATAAGCTTAAATTATTGTATCCCTCAAGTTCTTGCAGAGTGAAAATATCAAGTAAATCTCTTTATTTAAATACAGTTGAATATAATGTTATTAAAAAGCAAGATGATTTTTTTAAAGATCCTTAAAAGAAGATTTTTAAAAACTCAGTTGAAAAAAAATAAAAACATTTGAGTTAAGTAATTTATCAAGAAGGCTTAATTGTACTTTTAAATTGATTTTTTGTTTTTTTGTACCTGTACAATGATATTAACCTTTAATTTACTCAGGTGTGACTCAGTGAGTACATACGGTATTTTATTCAGTCAGCTGTTAGAACACCAGTTGTTATTTTGCTGATGATGTTGCATGGCCAAGAAATGTCTGTCTTCTTGCCACTTTGGCACACAAGACAATGTTATGTAACTTTTTTAATAGCATATACCTGATGAATTCAGAGCTAATTTCACATTTCATATTATTGCAGACTGTTTCATGAGGTTTGTTATAACGTTCAATTCATAATTCTTTGTCCTACTTAGTTAGAACCTTACAGAGAGATTTATCTTTTAAAATTATTGGTCTGCTAACAGAAAATAAGTTGATAACATGATTTTTAACACTAAAATTTTGATTGACAGCCAGGAGGTTTGGAATAAGAACTTTTTTCACACTGTTAACATTTTTGTACAATAATTTGTACCCATTTATTTGTCAGCAAAAGAATGATTATAAGACATTCCCAACTGGCTGAAAAAAATCATGGCTTTGACTTTACAAAGTACATTTTAAAATCTACTTTAAAGGAAAATATTTAAACCATATGGTACACAAGAAAGGGAAAAAAAAGAAAGATTTACCAGACAAAAAATTAAGAAACAGATTGTCTTTTATTTGTAGTCTTTTTTTAGACCTTGTATTTCCTATAGTATCAGCTTGTCAAGTTGATGTTTTTTTTTTTAAAGTCCTATTGTAATATTATATGAATGTTTTAAACTTGACTGCAAGGGGCACAAACTGCTTGGAAACTTGTGATGACATCGAGGATAACCTCAGCAGTTGGGGGAAGCTGATTTAGCTTGCGACCAATCTTTAACCTATTTAACTGACTTATTACCCCCGTTCTTCATCAACTTTAGTCAACAAGACAGGCTCTGCTACAGCAGCTTCGCTGCCGCCGCACACTCAGCAGCAGATCTCCCCGTCGCCATTTCCTCTCCTCTCCCCTGTCCCGCCTCCTCCGCCCTCCTCATCACCATCATCATTGCTTGCATCCGGCTCAGCTCGAGGCAAAGGTCGGACCATGGCAGAGGTTGCATCTCAGCCTAATTTGGCAGCACTGTTCCGTGCAGGTTGGTATCCGACACATCCCTGATGCTTATTGTTTACTAGGCCGGTGGCCATCTTGTTCTTGTTTTCAATGGGATATGGATCTAAGCAGGGACAAGGGACACAATCATTGGCTGTGTATCAGAACCCCCAACCCTCTTCCTTAAATGGACATTGTTGTTTTTTTTTTGTTTTTTTAATCATTCCTTGCATTGCGTCTGAATTATGTGCACTTCAAATTATCACTAAAGCAAAATATTTTTTTACAAATATAAAGCTTTATAAAGCTTTGGCAAAAAGTTTATGTATCAATAATTTTTGCATTAAATTGCTTTTAATTTTGAGTCAGTGACGCTATTTTTAACTTTAACAACCCTGGTTATCTAACAACAGATCCATGTCACTTGATTTATTCTAACATAATCAATCATTATTTGATTTCTATATTCTGATAACCATAACCTTGATATGCACCAGAAGTTAAATGCAAATTAAATTTTTAATCAAAATATTTCTTATTAGGATGCCATGGCAACTTAAAGAGTTTACTTATCAAATTCTTTATCTCTAAAAAAAATATCTTTCCAATCTAATGAAAAAAATTACAATAAATTTTTGTTTGTTATTTTTCTATTTCCTTTTGCATAGTTCCACTTGAAAAAATATTGACAACAATTTATAATTATGTCAATAAATCTCTGCAAATCATGTTGATGTATCTCCTGCAAATCTGTAAACATGAAGTAAATGTTGCTATAATACGGTACAAAGATGCTTGTACTTGTGCTGCAGAGATGGCTTAGAATGCAGGGATATGTTCATTGCTTTGTTTAAATTGAACCAAAGTGATAAGTTAAAGAGCTGGTTTAGACTTAAAGCACAGTGACACAGTGATAAGAAAGTGGGCTTTTTTCAATTATACTAAAGTGATAAGTTAAAAAGTGAGCTTGATAATATCACAATAGCTTTGATTTTGAAACTCTTCAAAAGTAGAGATAACTTTTAACTTAACAATTATTTCATTGTGTACTCTGGTTTGACTGAGCTGCCCTCGTCATCTGAGAGTTTTTCTATAAATGAAATGCCATTGGTTATGTTACCCACATAGGACAGTCATTAACTCTCTTAACAAATGTTATTGGTGTTGACATCCCATGACTGGTATGTCTATTGATGGTTTTGTTGTGTGTTTAGTACATGTGAGCAGAGCTAGTTTACCAATAGTCTTGGAATCTAATTCACGTTTTCTAAAGTTCCTGCATTCTTGATGTTGTTTGCTTGTGTTATAACTCAATGCCAATAATGCTTGCTGTTAAGCAAATAAACAGTCAATTAATATTTAGATTGTTGGAATATCCGTGATTTCATCTCTTCAGTTATGCTGTGGGCATTTTGTATTTATTTTAAAAACGTTGTTAGTTTTAAAACAAATTTGGCAGATTCTTGAATTGCATACTAAGATTATGTTTCAATATGGTATTTATCACATCCACCATTCTTGAACTTCACATGAACTTAACTAAATAAATTTATGGCTAGATATCTTGATTTAATTTAATATGCATAAAATTGATTTTAAATTATTGGTAATGCTTAATTTGTTTTAATAATTGTTTAAATGAGCAGTTCACGCATCAAAAATACTATTGTAAACGCTATTCTTGTCATAGTGTGCTTACTTGTCATAGATTTTGATATAATATCTTCCACCTCCTCTTTAAAGGCCGCAGCAAATCTGGCAAATCGGCAGGTAACGACCATGCAGTGTTCTCATTTTGTAACAGTTGATAACAATCTTAGAGTGTTCCCATGTTGTATTAGCCGTTGTTGATGTTGAGTTGGGCTTCAAAAGCTGTGGAAAGTCTTCTATAGTCAAGTCAATCCAGGTGTCTATCATTGTACAGTTTAGTTATGTCTCCATGGCAGGTTTGATCCCTATTCAGAGAATTTCTTTTTTTAAGAAATAGCCTAATAACAACAGTCTTAAGTCTAAATTTAATCAAGCAGTGTGAGCTCATGCAGGCCTGACTAATGGGAACCAACCACCACAAAAATGGAGGCTTTTTCCAAGGGCAAGCTACTGTTTTACTAAAATCTGAATTTGTTCATTCTCAAAAGATTTTTCTCTACTACCTGTACTTATTTGTTGGATAATACTATAATAGTCTTTAGATTTATTATATTTTAAATGGCAAACCACATCTCTATCTTAATAAATATTTCCTAAAACAGACCTTTGACCAGCTTCAGAAGCCCAACTGATCCAACTATTAACTTATAGTTACTGCTTCCTGCTGCATGAATGAAATACAAAATTCAGCAGTCCATTTCTTTAACCAGAGTTCTTTTTTTGTTAATAGTAATTTATTTGTAATCATTTTCTTCTTTAACATAAAGGTAAAAATGGTTCAGATCCTTTTCTTTTTTTAAATCCTCCTCTAAATAACATTTAACAATCACTTTGCCATTAATCACATGCTACCTGTACCATTGACAAATAGTCACTTTACCATTAATCACATACCACCAGTACCATTAACAAATAGTCACTTTACCATTAACACATACTACCTGTACCATTGACAAATACTCACTTTTAAAATAGCAATTTAAAGTATGTACGTAAATGTAGTTCAAATCAATTCAGTCCACAAAGTAAAAATTTATTTGGTAGCTTCTTGTGCAACCATGGTATGTAGGACTTTACACTTCATCTAGCAAATCTCCTGAATACCAAGAAATAAGTAATATCCCTCACATTATACTAAAAGTCTTTATAAAATGCCCTTGTGTCTCCTGCAGACCTCCTCTTAACATGTAGCCTTATGTTACTGTACTCTTCTCAGCTTAAAGCCAATACTTGAACACACTAACATACAGGCTTGATTCAGTATTTCTATATCCTGATGCTTCTATTGTGTTAATTGTCAGACCTATCTAACATTACCTTATCTAAAACTCCCTTCATTTAATCAATGTAAACTCTTATTATTAATTCTAATTAAGTAGGTTGGACTGATAGGAGCGTATATGAGACATTTGCACAAGACTGTTGGTTAAAATTAAAATGCAGAAGATAAGTGGTGGGCTAAAAGAAAACTGGATATTTGTTAATCATTCAAATGTATGATGTTTTCTGAATCAATGCTCTACTTTGTTTCCAGAGAAGCAAATGAATTTAAAATTAATGTCTTTAATGTTAGTATTAAACAAGTAAACTACCTTTCTTTTTAAATATATGTTGAAGTCTTGGACAGTGTTTCTGGGAACAGATGATGAACTGTAGAAAACACAGCAGTCAACTAGAACAGTGATTGGCAGCCTTTGGATCATGAAGGTTCATTATTGACCCTGGGATCTACATACCTCTATAAATTTTTAGTTAGGTGGCAGCCATAGACAGGTTGCACCCATAGACAGGTTGCACAGCACTGATCTAAGACATATTATAGCTTATAATTATATTTAATCATTATACTATATTTTATTATAGCACTATCAGAGTCCCTAGATTACTAAGCCACAACACATAGTCAAATACTTCGCCAAAAAAGTCAAATACTTCGCCAAAAAATCTGGTTTGTAAATTTCAGAGGTAGATTTTTAAAAAAACAATTAAAAATATTCCCCAGCACATTCTCTATTTAAAAGATTTTGAGCCCGCATGTGGTAGATACATAGATATATTAAAAATATTTTGAGCCCGCATGTGATAGATGCATAAATCTATTAAAAAGATTCTTTGCCTGCATATTGTAGATAGAATTATATTAGTTTTTGGTTTGTTTCTTTTTCTTATGATTAAAGTTTACATTAGTTTTCTTTTCTCCTTAAATGTTTATTTTGTTATTATTGTTTATCAAATATGAAGACTGATTTAACAAGTTTGGTTTTATCTTGACATGGGTGAGAATGGTTTACTACATGACTTGTCCTTGCTTGTTATCGTTTGACATTCTAAACACTTGTTAACCTTTTAAGATTCACTTAACATATCATTTAAAGATTTGCCTAATTGTCATGTTTGGAATTTTAGTGTTTATTTGAATGTTTTGAAAATTGTTCTGCATTGCGTATTTGTTCTGTTGAGTAGCGCTTAGTGAGTGCTTCAAAACATTGAGGTAAAGATTTGTCATTGCTCTAGAATGAAAGAAATGCATTTAGCTGTGACATAAATTATCATAACTGCCAGTGCTCTGGTTGGTCCATTAAATATATTGTCCTTTTCTTGAATAGCTGTGATAAAAAGTAAGCGATCTTTCAGCTGGTCTGAATCTTGTGATGAGTTTACCAGGGTGGAAGACAACAAGGATCCCAGAGAACGCGAAATGGAGAGGGAGAAAACTCTTCACTACAACAACAGCCAGTAAGTAACCCTTCCAAGTATTCTTTCCCCAAACACAGCAAGGATTGTTCAATCAAAACAGCACAATTAAAATAGTTTTTTTTCAAGATATGAGATTTATTTTTATTCTCTTAATTTTACTCATTTAATTTGAATGTAGACTAACCTACATTTTGCTATTTAACTTTTAAGAAGAATTACAAAAAAATCTCATCTAAAAATTAAATGAGATGGGGTAATAAACTTTTCTATGATAAGTGATTGAGAACAGGTCTTTTTTGTGTTAACCAAGTATTCTAACTGCTGATGGCAAAACCAAGGTTAGCTGTAAGTTTAGGCAAAAATCAACTATGTATCTTGCCAAATTGCATTGATATTTGCGATTCCAATAAAGTGAAACCACTCCAAGATTGTGAATGATTTCCCCAAGTGACAAATTACCAAATTTCTTAATATAAGGAAACTCACCAGCTGTCCATACATAGGTGGTTGGTTTGGTCATTGTGTGAACTTTGATATTCTGTTCTCTCCCCATTACCCCAACAAATGTTACATTCAAATTTTCTAAAACTGCCTTCTTAAAAATCATTTTTATTTTTCCCTCAGGATGCTGGACCCCGAGTTGAGGCCTCAGTATGAACAAATAAAAAAGGCTTATGCTAATATTCTGTTCAAGTGGGGCTTGCTGAACGAGAGGGCCCACATTCTCAAACACACAGACAGCACAGACACAGAGCATCGGGTCATAGGTGGGTCCACTGGTTTAGGTGCATGAATCTTGTCATAGACTTTACTCATTGACTTGTGCTCACCGGTTATGACCTGATTGACCTGATGCGGCTTACTGGGGCCCTCCCCAGATGTGACTAACTGGGACCCTCCCCAGATGTGACTTACTGGGGCCCTCCCCAGATGCAACTTACCGGGGCCCTCACCAGATGTGACTTACTGGGGCCCTCCCCAGACTTACTGGGGCCCTCCCCAGATGTGACTTACTGGGGCCTTCCCCAGATGCGACTTACTGGGGTCCTCCCCAGACTTACTGGGGCCCTCCCCAGACTTACTGGGGCCCTCCCCAGATGTGACTTACTGGGGTCCTTGCCAGATGTGACTTACTGGGGCCCTCCCCAGATGGGACTTACTGGGGCCCTCCCCAGATGTGACTTACTGGGGCCCTCCCCAGATGTGACTTACTGGGGCCCTCCCCAGATGCGGGGGCCCTCCCCAGATGCAACCTAATTTTATACTGACACACTCTTTCTTTCTTAATTCACCATAGAAACAAATGGAAGCATTTCTCAGACTTCAAGCAATAACCACCAAGTTGGTGAGATACAGCATGGTATTCTATGTTATTACATTGTGTACCATAATATTCTGTCTTGTTTCATAGGTTATTGGTATCTATATGCATACTGGTACCAAGTGAACAAATATTTTCTTGGCCAGAAGCCATCAATGTAATTGTTTTCTTAACCATTATTTCTGGCTGTATTTATCTTGAGTTTTGTCTAATTGATCCAATGGGGTGGGTGAGCTCAAAGTTCAGGTATTTCAATGGAAAAAAAGGGCAGTCATGTAAACCATAGAAATGTGTCTTCTCATTAGTTCCACAAAGTTTTAGACATGTTTGTTGTACAACATAATAAGAATAAACAATGCTGGATAAAGTCAAACGTGCATGCCTTTCACAAACAATTGGGAATGGCTCAGTGGTTTAGCCAGGGTCAAAAGAAAAAAAGCTGCATTTCTCCACATACAAAGAAAAAAGCACCTCCACCCCCCCCCTTTCCTACACCGCTGATATTGTTAAATCGCCGTACCTGTCATCAGCAAAGTTTAACTTTAAAAAAATATTTATTTCTCCAGAATGTCGTGTTTCTTGTTTTAACTGTTCAGAGGATGTTAGAGGTGCCCAATGCCACAGGTGCAAGTATCCAGCTTTGAGGTGTTCCATATGTCACATAGGCGTCAGAGGTTAGTCACATAGGGGTCATAGGTTAGTCACATAGGGGTCAGAGGTTAGTCACATTAACAGAGTTGAGTTTTGAAAGCTGTTTACTAAGTGGATTTTTTTTTTCGTATTTTTCACATTGTGTGTTTTTAATTTTGTAATATATTTACAGTGTACAAATTTGAGTACTGTCATGGCACTTAAGCCACAGGAACAGTGATAAAATTTTCTGTACTGTGTACCTGGTTTTATTGTTTTTCTATTTAGAATCTTGTCCACAATGTTGGGCCTGGTTTGCCCTGGTTCATCAAAATGATGATTTGCACATGAGTTACATGAGTCCAAAATGGCCTCGTTGATCAGAACCTTTGTTTAATGATCATCTCATCAAGGTCAAATGGGGCTAATGCCAATTGTTTTGTTCAACATCACCCTTAGTCAGTGTAGGAGGGATTCATGGACCAAGTCTACAAATGGCAACTGGGATCTTAACAGCTAGTCGCTACCTAAGTACTCTAAGATAGTAGATTTATTATGGGAATTAGCACAAGTCACATTTGGGAGCGTTTAGAATTATTTTTTTTTGTAATAAACTTTATTACTATCAATGAGTACAAGACCCTGTCAACAACTGCCATTTCACTTTGACTTACTTTCAAAATGCACAGCATCATAATTCCTAAGTTCCCATTTTGAACTTCTCTATAGGCCTGTCCATTATTTGCCTGGCGTGTGGTGATGGTGGCCACACCTCCCATATGATGACCTGGTTCAGCCAACAGAGCGTCTGTCCAACTGGCTGTGGATGCGTCTGCTTGCAGGAGAACACTTTCAGGAGTTTAACAGACCAGGGCTCGTAGCGCCAATTGTCCAACAAACCGTTGGGTAAGGTGTGGACTAGAAGGGATCCAGTGGTAGAAAAACTGGCACTAATTTGGACTGCGTGAAACTATTTTCAAGAGGATGTAATGTTTATTTATGTTTCAATTTCCTCAAAGTTCAGCTCAGGTGTTGACAAGACAGTACCAGTACTCAAGGATCTTGTTGAAAAGACAGTACCAGTACTCAGGATCTTGTTTTGTCAATAGATTTACTTATCTAGTCCAGAGATGTCATTGTGTTGTTACATTGAAATAGTCTTTTGATCATATTTTTATGAACTAGTCATAACAAAATCAAAATAATAGCATTTCAGGCCGGGCATAATTCATTTAGAGGAATTGTTAACCATTAGGCATAACATAGAAAAAAAACTAAAACATTAAAATGTTTAAGTTCAGTGAAACCTTGACAGAATGCTTTAATTGGCAGCAACTAAATCAGATAACATTTATAATGTTGGGATTTTAACCCAAAAAAACAGGAAGGAGGTGATTTTGTTTTGAAAATTGGATGTTTTATCTCTTGGGGTTAGTTAGCTATGAAATTATTGAAATATTGTAATCAAATTCATGCACAAATGAATTTATGATATTTCAGGAGCCATGCTATGATCACATAATTTCTGAATTCGCTTTATCACAAGTGCAGGTTCCATAATTTCAGCATTAATTTTTACTTGAATCTCAATAAATGACTAGGAGAAAGAGCTTCTTGTGACATTCATGCAATACTAATGAAATGTCATGACATTCATGCTACACTAATGAAATTTCAGGACATTCATGCTACACTAATGAAATGTCAGGACATTCATGCCACACTAATGAAATGTTAGGACATTCATGCCACACTAATGAAATGTCAGGACATTCATTCTTCACTAATGAAATGTCAGTACTTAAGCAATATTTTTTGAATATCCCAAAAATTACTGGTAACCTGTCTTCATTTCTTAAAAGTTGCATTTAGGTGCCAACCATGTATTAGACCAGTGGTCCCCAAATAGCGGTCCGTGGACCTTCACCTGTCCGCATGCCTAACGCTGCCGGTCCCCATAACATAAATATTTATTGTCAAATAGAAATAAAAGTATAAAAATAAATCATGCACCGGTCCCTGGTAAAATTTCAAAACTTGTTCACCTGTCCGCCAAACTTAACGTTTGGGAGCCACTGTATTAGACAATATGAATTAATTTTTTTTTTAGAGGGTTCGGGTGCTTGGTAGGAGCTTTTGCTTACAGTTATAAGGAGAAGTCTCAACTAATTCACACATAATAAAGGATTTATGGGCCAATAGGAATTTGAAAATCTTTGGGTTAATATTTACTTGAATATTTCTGGGTAGAAATAAAAGTTGCCTAAAACTCAAATGCGTGGACTTGGAATATTTAAATGTCAAATAGAAATGAAAAGCAGATGTAAAAATCAATATGAAAATCTCCTTTACTTTTATTTTACAACCATTCAGTTCAACCCTGTGATATTAATTCATTGATGAAATGAATGGCTCTGGTACAAGTACAATGACATCAGAGCCTAGAAATACTTGAATGAAGCTGCTTTGGTGGATTGTTGAATAATTATAATTCAAATAACCAGGAGGCCAATGTTATTTTATTTTCAACTTTCTCACTGTTAATTTCTTGTTGATATTTTTGAAATATATTTGACAAATGGATTTAAAGAATGACAAATATTATTGAGTCAAACAATTTACTTGTTGAGGTTTTTTGTTGTTTTTTTTATATTTATTTTGTTGATGTCATTTGCTTGTTACAAACAGTATTGAAATTAAAAATAATAAACCCAAGAATGTAATTTGGGATAAATTTTAGGGCATTGGAAAACATCAAATATTTGATTCAAATAAGCTAATTCAGGTTTTAAATCTTTTTAACACATACTTTTTTTAGCTTACCTGTTGGAGGGCTGCGGTACTTCTTTTAGCTAACCTGTTGGAGGGCTGCGGTACTTCTTTTAGCTAACCTGTTGGAGGGCTGCGGTACTTCTTTTAGCTAACCTGTTGGAGGGCTGCGGTACTTCTTTTAGCCAACCTGTTGGAGGGCTGCGGTACTTCTTTTAGCTAACCTGTTGGAGGGCTGCGGTACTTCTTTTAGCTAACCTGTTTGAGGGCTGCGGTTCCGACTTATCTTTTAGTTTAGCTAACCTGTTGGGGTGCTGCGGTTCTGACTTATCTTTTAGTTTAGCTAACCTGTTGGAGTGCTGCGGTTCTGACTTATCTTTTAGTTTAGCTAACCTGTTGGGTTGCTGCGGTTCCGATTAATCAAATTATTTAGATGTAACTTTATGTACAGGGGCGCTCCTCTCTGTGCTTATATTTTGAGACAGACAAAAGCACAATATTGAGACGGACAAAAAGCACAACGTTGAGACAGACAAAAGCACACCGTTGAGACAGACGAAAGCACAACATTGATAGACAAAAGTACAACATTGAGACAGACAAAAGCACATTGTTGAGATAAACGCACATTGTTGAGACAGACAATAGTACAACATTGAGACAGGCAAAAGCACATTGTTGAGACAGAAAAAAGCACAACGTTGATACAGACAAAAGCACAACACTGAGACACACAAAAGCACATTGTTAAGACAGACAAAACCACATTGTTGAGACAGGCAAAAAGTACAACGTTGAGACAGACAAAAGCACAACGTTGCGACAGACAAAGGCACAAAGTTGCGACAGACAAAAGCACAACGTTGAGACAGACAAAAGTACAATGTTGAGACAGACAAAAGGAGAACATTGAGACAGACAAAAGCACACTGGTGAGACGATGGTGCAAAGTGATGTCAATAATCCTAACACTTTCAGGTTCACAGATGATAATGAAATGTTTTATTAATGATATCGAGAGTTCTTCTGTAATCCTCACTGGCTCTATGTATCTCTAGCTATATACCCACGTCTCCTACTTGAATGTCTTAACTTCGGAGGTCTCTACTCACAAAACTGTCCTAGCGTCCTCAAACATCTACCTTTCATTCAATTTTTCTAACTCGGCCTGCACAACTCAAACTGTAAGGCGGACTGTAAGACTTTTTGAAACACTTGTGCGGGCCGAAAGGACATAGGACAAGGGGGGTAAGCTATTAAGAAAACAATAATAAATAATATTTCGTTACGTCGCGGGCCGCAAAGTGGGAGCTGGCGGGCCGTATGTTGTGTAGGCCTGTTCTAACTCTTAGGTGGGTCTGGTATGCCGCAACCTATGAACCTATCCTTGACCCCCCTCCCTCCTTTTTTTCCCCTGCTAATTTTGGAACTTGCATCGTTAAACCCAATATTTGCATATTGAATGATATTGTACCCACTGGCAATCACGAAACAGTATTGTGAAAAAGACAATCTCGGCATGCGAGAAATTTTAACTCTAACCTCCTAGCACCTCCCTTCCCAAAATAAGAGCAATTTCCAGCTTACCTATAAGTAGAAGTTAGCTGAATGACGATGGCGTACCCTGCCCCATTCAGTTTCTTCTTATCCTTACAATGCTAAGCTGCTAACAGTACCTGCAAATTAATCGGCCGAATAAATTTAAACATGAAACTGCTGAACGTCTCACAGCAAGTTCACGAAACTGAGGCGCAAAAAAAAAAAAAAAAAAAAAAGGGGAAAAATTTAAAATAAAAAAATAAAAAAAAAAAAAAAAAAAAAAAGGGGGATTTTTTTAATTTTAAAATTTAAAAAAAAAAAAAAAAAGAGTGGATTAATTCTTTTAAAATGTTCCTGGGAGCCATCTTCACTGCCAATGAAAGCCAGTCTCACCACCAGAAGGGAGAAATTGTGAAACCGCTAAACTGAAGAGAAAAAAATCGTTTAAATATTAGTACTGGTACCTAATTGTTACTAAAAAAATATTACTATAATATTGATTTCATTAAAAATTATGAAGGGGGTCGCATTTATTCATTCAAACCGTTGTATTTGACTTTAATGTTTATCAAGACTTAAATCTCTATGAAGTAGGAACCATTAGTTTTGGATACATCCTTTGCTCAATTGTGCGAATTTTATAGTTAGTTACACTTACAATGAGATTTTTTTCCGGATTTGTTGTTTTGGCATTGGTGACGTATATGGAGGGTACCCCATATATTACGTGCTAACAAAATCAAATTTGTAATTTCCCTTCCCCCCCTGTTGCAACACTCCCCCTTTTATAGGTTGTTGGGATGTGGTAAAAATTATAATTTGTACGAACAAATTATAATTTTTACCACATCCCAACAACCTATTTAAAATTATGTAGTTCAGTGTTTCTCAAAGTTGGAATTTCCAGAGGGGAGGTAAATTCTCAAGTTTGTAAACTTACTTCTTCAGTTTAACTAAAACAAACTACCGTAAATGACACCCGAAGTCGAATAGCTTGAGTCTAATGGTACCCGGGTGCGAGTGGCGGCGCTGCGTGTCTGGGTCCATTTTGACTCAGTGCTATTCGTTTGTCATTTCTGGTAGTTTATTTTAGTTAAACTGAAGAATTAAGTTTACAAACATATAGTCCATTCAATTATCTTTCATTTGATACCTCATTTTGTCTTACAATACCAAAAATAAAATTTTAAATAGTTTTTTAATCCCAACCTCTCACTTCTGCTACCCGGGTACGGATAGCCACTTCGATTTAAAAAATTGTTATTTAAATCTTTAAACTTGTGAAGTTGCACAAAATAAATGAAAAAAAAAAAAACGATATATGCGAACAACAAGAAGTAAGACATTGACTTATTATCTGGAGCTGCCAGTGCGATATTTATAATCGAACACACTATACGCCTTTAACAAGATTAACCTTAAATATAGTATAGGCCTACAGTTACAGATCATCAAATGTATCCAGCGTAGCGATATTTCATAGATTTCACTAATTGTAATCGTTCAAAGGCACCAGATATAATATTAATCGTTTGAAACTGTTTTAAGACTAGACAATTGAGTCATTTTAATTGTTACAAATATACACCGGTAGTCTTTATATTGCTTAACACATTTTGCCTCGCCGCCCCCCCCGAGAGGTGCCTGAAGGAAACCCTGCCCCTGAGACAGCTCCACTCGACTGATTATGCAAGTGAGGCGTCGTCACTGAAGAAACACCTGGTCGGCGCTGCTCTCACAGCACCTGCAGTCGAACTTTCTATGGGCTGGATATATTTTAACGCTCCCCAAAAAAACAGCCCTTCCCATCCCGGGCTGCCAGATAGGCCAACTAATTTTTTTCATCAGCACACGTTTTATTTTTAAAATTACTATTTGCTGCGATGCATGTGTCCAATCCAAATATGTACTCGGCAAGCGATTTTTCTGCCTCAGTGATAATGCCCTCCCCTGTTGCAGAGGCGTAGCGAGGGAGGGGGGGGGACAGATGTCCCCGGGCGCAAGCTAGTTAGGGGCCCCAAAATGTGCTTTGATATTAGTAAAAATAATTGGTTTGAGAGTTGAAAGAAAGAAAAGGGGGCGCTTTAAAATGGATCTTGTCCCCGGGCGCCTAACACCCTCGCTACGCCTCTGCCCTGTCCTTCCATGTACGTATAATATAAATATGCAAAATACGCTAAATTACTGCTATTTGAAACTCCCAATTGCCCCCGCGAGACCGTAGTTTGCATAATCCAGTTTTTCTTTATCCTGTTGTTGAGTCAGATGAAATTTAAAAAATGTTATGCTATTTTCATACAATACTCTAGACCTATCTATTAGTCACGTGATCTCAAATATTTAAACTATTGAGAAACTAACATTTCAGGCCTATCAATTATTCCAGATATCTAATTAAATAAACATCTTTCTATTTTTGAATGTACAAAATGTAACAGCTGATTTTTATTTTGGCAATCTCCTTGTAACAATGGTAGCAGTGCTTTCTCCTTGTAACAATGGTAGCAGTGCTATCTCCTTGGTACTAATGTCACAATTTCTTTTGAAGGAAAAAGAAAACAATTTTTTTTTGTACACTTTTAATCATAGGTTTTTTTTTAAACAATTGAAATTCACACAGGAATGGAGAGAAAAAAAAGGTCCCTATTATTAATGAACATAGTCAGCCTGATTACTTGTTATTTTTCATGTAAAGCAATCCCTCTTAACAAAAGCAATTATTCTAATCATGACTTCGAAAAAAAAATTAACCAGAATTTAAAAAAACAACAAAAAAAACTATGATTCAGTAGGCATATAATAGAATTATGTCTGTTTACAGTTTTTTTAAAAAAAAGTATGAGTAGCAAGGCAGTGTAAAATCATCACACAGTGAAAATGGTTTTCAATGATGGCACATTCAGATGAAGGGGATTTTAATTTATGTTGCAGGTGTTTCAAATTAATTTCCAAATTATTATCGTTAACTGGCATTATGAATATAATTAAAGAATTTTCCAAATGTAAAATAACCAAGAATGCTAATTTGAACCTGGTCTCACTTAAAAATTGTTCTATGGAAATGCGATTTTTACCACTACAATGTGTGTGGAAGCACATCTGAGACCATTTCTAAAAATAAATAAACAGTTGATTGAACAATGCGCCTAGGCAAGCAAATCATTTCCTAGTTATTACACAAAATCATATGTTCCCAAACAGGGTGTAAATTCTATCAACAAAATGTGTCGGTCTATCTCAAGCAGATGCCATCATAGGCATCCATTGACGACTTTCAAGTTCATCTCAATAGCATCCAAGACAGGAAAAATGAACTTGGCGAAAAATTTTATAAACGAAAACCATTCATTCATCTGATGGCTCTCCAACATAAAGAGAGGTGAAAGTGAAATTGTCAGTGTGACATTTGAATAAGCTTTTGGTGCGTGTGTGTGTATGCTAGTGGGCTGTAGACCAATGTTACAGCGTGTTTTTATATCAGACACTGCTGCCTTTATTAGCAAAGCACTACAATAAATTAAAAAATGTAAATTGTTTGGCTGTCAATAGGTTGTGTCATCTGTAAGCCAGAGGCACTATTAGCTATTGATAAAATGACAAACAAAAATATTTCAGGACAGAATTATTCTATGGCCCTTTATTCGCACACTTCAAAATTCTGCAGATAGCTTAGTATCTAAATCTAGTATTTGCAAATGTAGATGCTTATTAAAAACAAGTCTGTTATTCTACTTCAATGATATTATCACTCAAACCAATTGTTCATGACATATTTACTCACAATGGATACTTGGTAACTAAAAATAAACACATAATTCCCATTTGCAAAACATCTTACAAAATCATCTCAGTTGTTATTGTATGTTCTTGTTGTTTTAAACAATAAGACATAGAGCTTAAGACTGGGAAAACTATTTACATTTATGTGTGGCTAACATTATTGGTGTTGACACTGCATGCGCGGGTTGCCGCCGTGACCATCCTCATCGTCGTCGTCGTGGTATGCCTCTGACCTGGCACCGTGGCTGCTGAATCCCTTGCTGCCATCAAAGTCGACAAGGTTCACCTCCTCCACGTTTTCACCGGTGGGAATTTCTGTTCGAGGTCGTGGTGGAAGCAAAGTTTCCAAGACCTTTTGAGAAAAGCAAATTATAATTTATGAATCCCTAAAATGCCTAAGAGTACTTTAAATGAGTGACAAAGGCTGCATTCTAAAATTTCACTGCAGTAACCTGTAACACAAAACCATGAATATGCCTGAATTTTCTGTTAAGATACATCATAAAAGCTCTAATAATTTCATACTTAACCCACAAAACTCCATATTGGCCTATCACCTGCCCTTATGAATTCTTCTATGAAGCCTCTCCTAAAATTAATGTTATAAGGGCAAATCGCAATAACTAATAAAATAATATTTATTTCTTATTTATTGATAAGTTTTCTACAGCCGGATCTAGAAACAGCAAGGCCACAGCCATCTTGTTGAAAATGGGTCACCATCCTTCCGTTTTCAATATGATAACAAGGGATTTTTCAATACCTTGTTTTTGATATCAATTGTAGATTTTTTAGTTTAGCAAGGGGTCATTTTGTATTACTTAAAAAGCCAATGGCGATAATTTTTAGAGGAAAAAAATAAAATTTACATTTACAATTGTTTCTAAGATTCCACCATTTTGATTCAAATTTAAAGAATTTAATAATTGTTATATTATTATGACACCCGCATATGGGCGGGTTTAGAAATTCCAAATCTAAAAATACTATTAACCCTCGAACTGTGGTCGGCCAAAGAATCTGCCGATATTCTCGTTCTGTACTGTGGCTGCCGAAAAAATTGGCAGATTAAAAACATGGTCCGATAGAAACTTGCAATCCAATATATAATTATAGCCACTTCCTTTTATTAATAACTAGCCGATATACCCGGCGTGGCCCGGGATTGCATAGGACCCCATCCTAGTTGGACCCCCGATCCCATTTCTGACACCGATCTCGGCGGAGTCCCATTTGCCGATGTGATCCTGATCTGCTGGGATCCTGATCCCATTGGTATAAAGATTATGATGGGATCCCGACCCCTTTGTTTCTATTCCGAATATAAAAAATTACTCAGCATTACTGAGAAAAAAGTAAACTCCGGGACAGTATAGAAATGAATAGAACTAACTAACATTTCAGTATTCCCTTAGAACCCACTACATATCCCTTTGGAAAAAATTAGAACTTTCTGGAAAATTCTAGATTAAATTTAATAACCACTCGAAACATGTGTAAAAACTACTTATCTAATTTTTTTTCAAATACAATAAAAATCTTCAACAAATGTCATAATTATAATCCTTTTTCTTTTAAGTTACTCAAGGAGCCCCCGGGGGGCCCATTACATAACTGTACCGATAAGTTAAAGCTGAGCTAGGGGGCCCTATAAAATCAGACAGATAAATAATGAAGTTAAAATTTAAAATTTGTCCCATTAAAATCTACTAAAAATGGCACAGATATAGCTTTTTAACATTATGGAAGTTTCTGGAAAATTCTAGATTGGGTATTATTAGTTTTAAATCCACCGATATATCAACACAGCCAATGAAGGGTATTGGTACAACGCTAGGCCTATATCCATCAATTCACATAGAAACTATAGTGTTGTCTAAGCCTATTGAGATTTATAAAGCTTATATAATGAAAAGTTAACTGCCCCCCCCCCCCCCCCCCCCCCATGGATATTATGAGTTCAGTACCCTTTGGTATTTGAATATGGATAATAAATTATATGTGTACTAAGTTTGGTCAAGATCCATCTACTCATGTAGGAGTATTTGTTTCTAATTATTTTTATATAGCTCATAATAATATAAGGAAAAAACAAATTCGGGGCCCCCGGCCCCAAACGGAATGTTATAAAAAGTTCATAACCCCTTAAGATTTCTTTCTGGATCATGATGGATCTATGTGCCAAGTTTGGTCAAGATCTTTCAATCCTTGTAAAAGTCTTTGTGGAACAAACAAATCCCGCCACAAACAAACAAACTTTCACTTATATATATATATTTATCTATATAACTTGATAACTTAGCAATAAGTACTTCTTAATTGGAGTTTTATATCATCGTTTTTTTTTAAAAGCTAAATTGGATGCAACCATGGATGGGCCTTAAGTGCGAGAATTAATAGAAATATTTATGGAAGCTTTTTAGGAGAGGATTTAAGTGATACTGATTTTAACATTCCTCCATGATATCTCACTTCAGATTCTTCTTCTCGTGAATCTGATACTAGTCTTAGTGATAAGGAAGTAGGCAAACTGTTAGACTTCGAGCCAGGCCCGGGGGTTGGGCAATGACTGACTGAATTTTAGTCACAGAAGCTACAGATTATAGATCAGAACTAATAAATTTTATAGTTAAACAACCCAAATCAGTGCCACAGTTCCCTTTTAAGTATTTACTAGTCAATAATAACTATTTTGCCTGAGATTTTGTATGTTTTACTTGGTTTTAGCTGTGGTCCCTGTTTCTTATTTTTTTCAGTAGTAAATTACTTAAATTACCAAAATTGCTTTCAGAGGTTTAATTGTAATCAAAACCTTAGCATACTATACATTTTCTGAAAGATAAATGAATTGGCTACAAAATTTCGATTAGTGTTTTAAATGTATCTATAAAAATTAATGATGTTATAAGCACTTGAAAGCAAGACACTTTGTCGATTATTTTTTTTCTTTGAGCACTCCAAGGTCAAGGAGCAAAATTTTTTTTTACAAGGTGGGCAATATAGCCAACTTTATCCCCATCCAGTTACCTTTCTAAAATGTATAAACTTATTGGGGTCTTGAATCAATTTTTCTATGTCATTTAATGCAATGTCAAAAGGGACTCAAAAAGCCCTGAAAAGCTGCCACACTACAGAATGATGCATGCCACAGTTTGTGGGTTAAAATAGGGCAGCTTCTTCCTGATTCAAAATAGCGGGCTATTTCTCAATAACATTAACAATCTTGTTATAAAAAATCATAAAATGGTTAAGCTTTTATTGACAACTAACAAATATATTTTATGTTTGATATCAGATTTTTGAGCCATTTTTAACTGACAAATTGGGTTTTGTACTATACTAATACTATTAATATTTATAACCAGACGTGAGCAATCACACATACAGAATAAAGTGTTTTGAATTTCGGATTATAAAATACGAAAACAGGTGGAAAGAAAACTAAGGTAAATATTTCCTATGTTCATTTTTTTTTTTAAAATTTGAATGGAGCTGAAATTCTTGAAAAGAGTTTTGTTAAAACTAACTTGCAGGACTAGAATGTTGAAAGTGATTTTGAAGATTGTTTTTAGACTTAGACAATCATGGCAGTAGCAGTTCAATAGAGAAAAATAGGGTATAAATGAATTAAATATGCATTATAGAAAGAAATATAAAGTTCACTAAGGAAGCTATTTATTTTTCTAAAATTTCTAATAACCCAAATAATTTTATATTTTCTCAAACGAAAGAATATTGTTTTGTGTGTCTGAAAATGTACTTAGATGATAAAAAGAATCAACAGTCAGTTTGGGTGTGAATTGACGAAAGATAAACTGTAGCACAATTGTACACACTGTTTTCAATGGTCAATGTCAGATTCCTAAATGATTCCTCGTCGAATTTACTCTCAGAACATCTATATTTATATGGATCTCTGGTTTTATTTTCCATTAGTTTTGGGTATTTTAGTTAAACATAAAGTTACTTAAGTGACTGTTCATGGGTTAAACATTTCCAACTTCAATTATAAATAACAATAAGTGTTCATTTTCTGTTAAATCTTACCTTGAGTTGATCCTCTGAAGCAAAGTTATTGTCAGGAAAATTGATAATAAACTTTATGTACAAATTACCCTTTTCAAAAGGGTTTCTATGACGAGGCATACCTTCACCCTCTACCATCTTTAACTTATCTGAAAAGAAACAAACAACAGGTTAGCTTGATTGTTTTTTTAAAATAAACTTTTACCATTAACTTATTAGAGCAATTGTTGTTACTTTATTAATTGAATATAATAACAAAACAAATATATAAATAGACTGAAAACTTTGTCATGATGATGTGTAGAGCAGTTGATTTCCATTGTCAATGTTTAGTTAGTTTCTTCAAATATCAATAAATTAATTTTGTTCAATTTCCCAAGTTAAATATTGAACTACCAGTATGTAATAAGTAAGATAAACAAAACAATTGAAACAGTGGTTCCCTAGCTGTGCTGTAATGCACTGGCGACCAACAGCAGCAAACTTTATTTTAATTTGACATAAGCACCTTAGGAAAACCTGAATGTACCAAGTGTGCAATAAGTTGCAAATGGGTTAGGAAACAATGTAAATGATTACCTGGTATAATGACCTCTCCAGGTTGGTTTTGTATGACAAGCTCCCTGCCATCCAAATGTTTAACAATAAACTTAAAGCCACACAGAGCCTCTGTCAAAGATATATTGTGTTCCATAACAAGATCAGCATCTTTCCTTGTGAAAACATCATGTTCTTTCTGCTGTAAAACAATTATCACATCTCCAGCCTCCATACCAGGCTGCAACAAGAGAGGGACAGTTACATTAAAGCTAAGTGTCACACAAAAATGTTATTTACATTATATCACAGACTTTATTGTTCTTTGATTATAAAACTATATTTAAACATTTGCATTTATTATAAAGGTAGCTATGTTAGATCTGACCCAGCTTGCAGCAACTTGTGGAGTGCTCACTAAAAGCTCAATTTATAAAAAACTTCTTTAAATAAAACTAATGCAAAATTTTCACAACTATAATGCATTTATCAAGAGAACTGTAAAAATTTACCTGTTGGTCTCCTTCACCCCGGAAAGGGATTTTTTGTCCATCTCTCATTCCCTTGTCCACATGCACCTCCAATATTTTTGTCTCGTTACATACTTTTTTCCCCTTACACTCAGCACACCGATCTTTCTCCCTAATAACTTCACCTGAAATGAAATCACAGAGTAAAAATAATAAGGCCCAGATCTTATTAAAGTTGAAATATGCTATTTTAAAGTCGCTTTTCAACTAATTTAATGCATCTTTTGAGTGAATTTTAACACTTTATGACATGTGATTGTAAAAAAAAAAAGATAATAAACTATAATGCTTCATTTTGTTAAAATATGAACATTTGTTAATATCATTCACAACGGAATTTCTTCTCTGAATATTAACCCGAACTGCCATAATACTTAAGTACTGCACAAGGAACAGATATGGTAATGAGCATTGTCCATAGATTTTTAAAGAGTGAGAATACAAAAACATTCCATACTAAATAATAATGCACTTGGTAATTTATGTGTGTTCTATCACTTATTCAATCATACTAGATGAGAAAATGAAAAATATTGTAGCATGAAACAATTTCACTATTGGATTCTCAAAGGACACTAATAACACAATTGAATTACTAATATAGAAGAAGAAGAAAAAGTTGTATTAATTGTCGTACCCTCTCCATGACATTCTGAACATATACTCTGTAACTGCTGCACCATCCCTGGTCCCAATTGTCGCAACTGAACTTGCACACCACGACCATTGCATTTTTTACAGCGCATGCTAGCTCCACTTTTACCGCCCATACTGAAATGCAATTAAAGTATTAATTTGTATGAAAAGTATAAATCTGTTTGCTGATCAACTTTGGTTGAAAAGATAAAATTCATATTGAAATCAGACTAAGATGTTATGATGACATTAAAAAATAAACATGTAACAGTGACAAAAAGTAGACTTGACTGCTCAGTGTACCCTGTTTACATTTTACAAATTGCAGATGTTACGTCCTTGGTTTACAACATAAAAATGTCTGCAACCTGCGGCTCCAGAGCAAGATGCAGACCTTTCAATGAATCATTCATCAAACATTTTTTTCTATACCGATACTGCTTTATAATGTCATCTAAAGAATGAAGTGTCAAAGAGGCAAATACTCTATTCCTGAGAATTAGTTGTATGTTCTGCATTATCAACATTCCATTTAGAATACTCTGCAGATTCCTTGGTTAACCATTCATAAAAGATGTCCAACTTGGGTTATTATAATTAACATGAAATGCACACAAAAATCTTTAGCAAAATAAGAAATGATAAATCCGTAATTAAATATTTTAAAAGATTAATATATAGAGTGAGATGCTGAAAATATGGATAGCACGTTGAGAAAAAAATTCTGTGTACCATGAATGGCAACGTAATTTATAGTAAAACATTCTTAATTCTAAATGTGACATTTTGTGTGTGATCTTAGGTACAGTCCTGTTAGCATATTTTGTAGGTTCTGATCAATGTAGTATTTTTATTTAGATACTTTCTAGTTTTCTATAAAAAAAAAAGGTATTTTAAGCTATACAGTTATTTAATAACTAATTTACCGAACACCATGGAATTAAAAAATCCAAATACACGATGATCAAGACAGGTTCAAACCAAAATTAGTCAGGATTAAAGACTACTGCACTTAATATTTTAAAAAACTTACCCATTACACTTTTTACATATAACAGTTTTACTTAGTTGTAGTTTTGATGTTCTTCCATTGTATAGGTCCTCTAAAGAGACTCTGAAAAAGATTACATGGTTTAACATATAAAAGACAAATTCTTTCTTTAAAAAGAAACAAAATTCCTTTTTTGTTTAACTTCTGTTTTTAATTTTTATTTTTTAAAAACTTCATTACAATACAATAAAGACCTAAAAGTTAGTCATGAATTTAATTTCAAAGATTACTTATTTAAACAGTGAGTTTTATCTTTAAGGGTACTCACCTCAATGGATGTAGAGTATCCTCTCCTCTCCTTTTCCCCCTTTGTACTTGGCCACCAGGAAACCCAAAGAAACCTCCAAACAAATCCTCAAACATACTGCCACCAAATCCACCACCAAAACCGCCACCTGAAAATAAATTTATCTTATTAGCATTTCACAAAGTTTCATAATTTAACGCTATTCAATATTCTGTTTAAAATGTAATTTGTCTCCATAACTATAAAAACAACATTATCATCATCAATGGCACTACAACCCATGTTGGGCCCTGGCCTGCTCCACCACATCCTTCCATTCGGAGCGATCCAAGGCTTTCCGTCTCCATGCTCGAACCCCCAACTGGCGTAAATCTGTCTCCACATCATCAATCCACCTCATCCTTGGGCGACCGATGAGTAAAAACAACACATTTTCAAAAACCTAATTTTTCCATTGAAATCAAGTCTACACTGTGCAGTTTTGGTAAACTTGTATTTCTTTTGCTTTGTTAATCCAGATTATGCATACTGTAATTTTAAGTTTATGTATGCGATTCTTCTGTAGCGCATGACTAATTGTTTTCTTTGCAAATTTGGAAACAGAGAATTATTTTTTTTAGTCCCTTTAAAGACTTCAGTGGAAGGGGAAAAGTAACTCCATACTGTTATGTAACTGCATGATGATAATCAAGCTGTTCTTTGCTTATACATATTTTCTCATTTAAAAAAATTGTACCCGTTTGAATTTAATTATCCAGTAGTAAATTCAAATTATTTATTTTGTTATAAATTCAAATTAAAGCTGGTTCTTCTAGTTAATTTAAACATAAGCGTCATCTTTTGTTATTTAATCATAAGAGTCATTTTATTACAAAGCAAAGTTTTATGGTAACTGCAATGATGCTCACAGGCCTGTTCCCAAAAATCCTGTGACTAACCTGGGCCAGCACCCCCTTCTTTGATGCCATCTAGGCCGTGTCTATCATAAATTTCTCTCTTGTCTGGATTTGATAAGACTTCATATGCAAAACTGATTTCTTTAAACTGTGGATACACAAGAAAAATAAATCAGCCATTAATACATGTTTCTTTCTCAGAAGTAAAGCCTTTTTCTTAAGCGCTAAAAGATACCTAAACAGCTAAATTAGTTAGCAAAGAAAACAATTATTACATAATTTTAGCATATCATCAGTCAGTGACAATGCTTATTTGCAGCATTAATTGTGCATACTAAACTTGTTTTTTAAACTCTAATTTCTTAGAAAACACTCATTTATCACACATTACCTTTTCTCCAGCATCTGGATTTTTGTCAGGGTGAAATTCTTTTGCTAATTTCCTATAAGCCTGAAATTTTCAAAAATTGTATAAATATAGTGGATATTAAACAAGAAGTACGTCAATACAATCCTAACATATTGGAATTAGGTCATTACTCCAGACCTGATTACCATGGTACTCCAAAAATATTACAATATCCTTTCAGATAGTACTTTACATTTCAAAATCATACCTCATTTTTATACTAAATAAACAAAAGTACAGTACAGCAGTATAATTTACACAGTTGCGTGGGCGGGGGTGCAGTCTCTATATGAGAGGGGCTGCAATTATTTGGACAACTTCAGTTTATTAGTTGAAGGGGCTGGAAAAATTATTGGGCTGCGCCAACCCTAGTAACACAACTGAATGAGTGCAAAAAGTATTTGCTAACTAAAGGTCACCTCCCATGCAGATTATGAAGATGGGGCGGGGGAGCAGAAATCTAGGACACCAGTTGATGTCATCTGGACAAAAGAATTTTAAAAATTTCATTTGGAACAGTGTTTGAAAATTCAAAATGCAGGGATGCACCTGAATTTAGTTTTTGCATCGTTGTACACTTATTCAGAGAGCCCCTGAAAAAAATATTTGTGGAAAATTAGGTCCCTTTAACTAGCTGTATTTATATAAATCCTTTACTTTTAGTAGTTACTAAATTTTTATTAGAGATTACTTATTTCAAACTTTTTTTTAAAAAATCAGACCAAAAGAGGAGTGGGTACACCAAAATGGCGCATAACGCCACAAAAGAGTGATGTATATATATTTCAAATGTACATTAATGCCTAGTTAAATAATAATCCAATGGAATACAAAAATATGATATTTTGTGTTACACCCAACGAGCCCCAAAATGTAACATGACTCCATACCTAGATGCATGAAATAAATTTATTGAACACCAAATTTTATGCAGTTTAAATTTTAGACGTGTCCACATGAACACGGAGGTCCTCGCTAGAGCAAACCCACCCTGATGCAGTCTCAATTCCGTTGGATGGGACACAAGGCCAGTATGGAAGACAACCGGCTCCCTAAACAGATATTCTTTGGAGAACTCTCGATAGGCAAGCGCTCCCAAGGAGGTAAAAAAAAAAAGAGTTACAAAGACTCACTGAAAGTGGCACTAAAGACCTTTAGCATCAACCCCATTGAATGGGTGCTGACAGCCCAGAACAGAGCCATGTGGAGATCAGCTGTCAAGAAGGGGGCTCAATATCATGAAGCCAGTAGGATAGCCACAGCTGAGACACGCAGGCTAGCCCGAAAGAGCAAACTTAGATCATCGAATACAGCAACTATCCCCTGCCCGCGGTGCCAGAGATTATTTCGAGCACTGATCGGACTAGCAAGCCACCTACGAATTCACCCAAACAGGATGACTAGATGATCCTAGTCGAATTTGGCGGACGAACAACACAATTATTATGTATATTTGTGCACATTTTTATTAGAGGTATATCATGTCTGGCTTGCGTATGCTCATCCTTGCAACCTGCACAATTGTAAGGGCACTCAGTTCAAATTTGACCACCCCCACTTCCCCTTTTGATGGCAGAAGTTGAATATACTTATATATTATTTAATATTACATTATTACCATATTTACATCAAAATATTTGATATTTTGTGTTCTAAAATAAACAGAAGGAATTTTAACAATAATATTTTAATTTAATGTTTAAAAAACATGGTATAGTCCATATTATAAATTCTTGTGTGCACACATTGTCATGGGCTACCACCATTCACAGTCAATTGCAGATGTCAGTTCTATTGTTTAGTACTATTCTCTGTTTCATTCATCAGAGTTTCATGTGTGCAAATAATATGAAAGCATGAATTTTATAGTGAAAGATGCCTTATATTTAAAGGGGAATCTAAAAATACAGGTCGATTGAAAAATTAAAACAAATCTATGCAAATGTAGGCCAAGATGTCTACCTAAATATAAGGCCGGAAACGGAACTCAAATATATGTCGAAAGAACTCATTTAATAATAAATAGACACATCGGAAAATTAAAAACTCTGATTTTTCGGCACAGATTTCCATTTCCGATACACAAAAAGTAGTAGTCTCAGCTATTTCTGAGAACAGTGCCCATGGTGGCATTTGCTTGTTTATTCAATTTTTGTGCAAGAGTCATTCCCCTTTGTTTATTTGACTGTCGGAGGAAGTGCTGATGACGTGTTTTGTATTAAATTTTAATTGGTTGATTATTTATAATTTTGAATTATCGTTGGTTGGCTAATTATCATTTTTTATTTGCGCCACCATCTTTTCAACATGTTGGCCTAATGCCGGCAGTTGTGCTCCAATCATCTGTGCATATTTTTTTTATTTGGAACCTGCAGTAAAGTGTGTAAAAGTGTGAGACTGTAAGTTGGGTTTTCATTATTTCTTTGTTTAGAATTATTTTTGGCTTCTTTTTTTTTTGCCATTTTGGGGTTTTTATGTTCATTTTCAAATTCCATGTGTTTTTTACGGCTGATTACTAGTGGTAGGCATACCGATACTCCCTTGCGCATTCATTCTGCGCATGAGGAAAAAAAACGCAAAAATTGAAGTGGCCATCTTACAATCGCTTCTACAGTGACCTCGGATTTATGCGTTTTACGTCACAGTTTCCTATTTGTACATTTGTTTTGTCATCGATGACGTTTAATATTTGTCTTCCGGTGACGCACATGTTTTTCGAGCGACTGGATTGAGCTCTGTTCTTTTTTTGTGACACTTTGACCATACGGTAAGCTATAAATATGTATTAATACTCCGTTTCAGCAATTGCACACCCTTTAAACCTAAAGAATCGAGTTAAGCATCCAAATAAGATGGGAAATAAATTTGACATTGCCAATTTACCATTTTCAAGGTGTAATAAATATCCTTCTAATTGTCATGACCCCACCAGCACCGGAAAAAAAAAAATGGTTGATTTTTATTTTTGCACCGGGAAGATTAAAGGGGCTCTAGATACTTCTTAATAAGATAGTTTTAACACATTAGTAATCTTTGAACATCGAAATAAATCTAATACAATTAGTAAAATGTATTATGAAATATCAAAGAAACTTATATGATGATTAGAATTTTAAAAAATTACATTGATTGAAATTGAAGCTTGCTTTTTTTTTTTTGGAAAGGTGGAGAATCGTATATATATTATTATTATTATTATATAGTATAATAATATAAAAAATTATTATTCAATATACAATTATAAAAATATTTAATCTATGAATAAATAAAATATGAAATATAATTTAGGAATAATCTTTTTATAGTAAAAAAATTTATTATTATTATATAGTATAATAATATAAAAAATTATTATTCAATATACAATTATAAAAATATTTAATCTATGAATAAATAAAATATGAAATATAATTTAGGAATAATCTTTTTATAGTAAAAAAAAATATAATTTAACATTTTGGAAATATCAATAATAATTATTAGTATTAATCAATTTAAACAAAATTAAAAGTAAAGTTATTGCTATAATTTCTAAGAATTTGATTTTGTTTTTTTTTTCCCAGCTATAGGAGAATGTCTGAGTCTGTTACCCTTCAGGATTTTGATCGTTTGGTGGCAAGTTTTGCCCAAGATGCAGCCACTGGCATGTATAGGAATGGCTATGCATTCTATTTGTATACCAGCTGTGCCAACAAGAAAGAGGGCATGATGGCTGCAGTGTCTGCACTTGATGAGGTCTTTATTAAGAAAGATCTCAACTATGTGTCAAATAAGAAAGGAATACGTACTCGGTGTAACAGATTGTTTACTGATATCTTATCTTTAAAAAAGAATTTAAAATTAAAATGGATGAAAATCCAAGATCTTTTGTTTCAGCCTTTTCAAGTTCCAGTTGCCAAGGAAAAAAAGATTGTGCCTTCCAGCTCTTCTGATGCTGCAACTCCATTAACAGATGAAATGTTTCTTCCACAGGTAGCTCAGCAAGAATTAAAGGCTCCACCAAAACTTAAGAAGTTGCGCACTGATTGTAATCAATGCCACTCCATAAGGCAAAGGTGTATAGCCAGGTGTCAGTTTTTTGAAAATAAGGTGAAGGTTGTTAAATGTAAATTAAATGCTAAGTCACTTCACAGGTCCCCTGAGACGAAAGTTTTGACTCAGACCATAAAGAGGAAGACGCAGAGGGTTGAGACACTAAAGCGGGAGAAGACAGCACTGAAGACCAAGGTGCTGCACTTGGAACGACAACTGGGAGCGTCAACAACCAAGATGGAGAAGTGCAGTCTTCTGAGCAGAAGGAACCGCATCCTGCAGAAGAAGGTCACCAAACTACAGGAGGAGGTGTTTCAGCTGAAGGCTACAGTAAAGGCAACGACGGAGGACAGGATAGAGGCACTCTTGAAGGTGGATGAACTGATGGAGGCGTCTGAGAAGGTTAAAGTAATCACTACCACATCTGCAAAATCCACAGGCACCCATGGTAAAGCTCGTAGGCAAAGATATACCTATAATACCCCCATGAGGAAATGTATATATAATTGCATTTTGAACCAGGTGCCTGTGGATAAAGCTGGAATAGTGATTGACTTTATTGTCCGAGAGCTGGCTGGACAGACCTTGTCAGACGTCCCCTGTGCATCCACAGCTGCATCCATGACCTATGAGCTGGGAATCCTCTCTGACCTTCAAGTCGGTGAAGCATTGTTTCAGGCTAATAATGTTACATTATCCTGAGACTCTACACCACTTGACGGTCAGCATATTAACGCTTGTAACATTTCAGCTGATGGGCAGAACCTGACTCTCCAGACAGCAGGAATAGCAGGTGGTAAGACAGAGGATTACCTAGAGCAAGTCATGAATGCGCTTCAGGATGTTGCCTCCGTCTATTCGACTTTCCATAAAATTCAACAGCAAATGGTGCTGTATACTTTTAATCTCTCTCTCCAGGCAACGCTAAGCGATCGAGCTCGGGTGAATAAGTGTGTGTCTCAGCAACTGGAAGAGACCCTAGGCAAGAAGCTAGTGCAGCTGAAGTGCCACTTACACCCTCTGGACGGCATGGCCACCCAGGCCAGGAAGGAGCTCAGAGCTTTAGACGTTGAGTGGGAGATTAAGGGTAATGTTTTTGGAAGTGAAGGCTGCGCAGCTAATTTGGTTTATGCTGTGTCTAAATTGAGGTAAATATAAAAAATTATTATTTTGTATATTCTATTCAAAATTTGGTTTTTAAGTGTTATGTTTTTTAATTGATTATAAATTTGAAATACTAAAATATTTTCTTTACATTTACAGATACAAAATGAAATCAGGAGACCCATCAGGGTTTAAGGCCTTCCTTGAGAGATCTAAGCTAAACCCAGGAGTCATAGTACGCTATGTGGGGAACAGACTCCATGTTCTGTTCCACCTAGCAGGGATCATTGTCCACCTGAAGGATATGCTATCCCAGTACTTGACTAAGTACTCAACTGCTATGGGGTTGCGATCGGTCATTATGAAGGATCTCGACAACCCCAACATTTTTTTGCAGTTGAGAGCTTTAGGTAAATATATATGTATTTTAAAATATTGTAGTGGTGAAATGTTAAACAATATCTCATGTAGTTTATCAATATTATACATGTGTGTATTGTTTCCTAAATTTTATTATATTTTATATGTTAGGTCTCTTCGGGAAGGTCTTGACTGGCCCCTGGATGACCACATTCTATAAGAATCCTGGTGGATTAAAGCATTTGGAAATGGTATGTGTTCATTGTAATTGTCTATAGCGATTAACCACCATTATAATTTTTAAAAATATTATGTGCCCATTAAAAAAGTCCATTATTTTCTTTTTATCACAGACTCCACTCATCAAAACATGCATGGTCACGTTGAAGGAGATTGCAGACAACCCAGCCTTGGTCCTCACCATCGACCATGATGTGTTCAACCACCAGCTGGAGGTGGATGATGTCCTGCTGAAGCTGAGGAGCAACTCCGAGGAAACATCAGAACGGTTTTTTTTTACAATCTCCTTACTAGCAAAATGTTTTTTAAATGTTTTAAGTAGGCAGCTGGGGGATTATACTGATGGTGAGCTGGCGGACCCCCAACCAGACCTGATGGCAAAGACTTCATCTGCTCCAGTTCACAACATCTTCTGTGAGCGTGTGTTGGGCATGGTGGATGCCCAGGTTAAGAGGGCACCCAACGCATCCATGGCTTTTGTTGATGCCAAGGTGAAGTCTCTTGCCAATAAGACAATGGAATGGTTGGTAGGGAAACCCAGTTCGGAACAGGTTAGGATGATTTCTTTTGCAATTAACTTTGCACGTAGGCAGGTTAAAGTTCTTAAGAGTAGGGATAAGTTAATGAGACAGGTGGTTATTTTTAGACAGACAGAATTAGCGCAGAAAAGGGATAAGACAGATAGAAATAAATTAGAAAGAAACATTAGAAACTGTCTGGAAACTGGTTTGGGGTTGGATGATGATGTTTTCTCTAGTCTTCTCCCAGGTACTAAAGAAAATTTTAATGAAATGTTTCAGAACCCTGTAGACTGCCTGCCCTTACCTATCAGGCATGTTTGGCATGTAGATGGAGAAGACAAGGTCTTTGAGGGGGAAGTAGTTGCAGTGGTAACTAAAAACAAAAAGAAGTGTTGTCGTGTAGTTTATAGTTTAGATGATATTCAGATTATTCCTGTTACTTTTTTAATTGCAGATGCCATAATGGGAGATTTTCATTTCAGTTAGATAATTTCAAAATTTGTTGCTGTTTGCTTTTGTATATGGGTACATTAAAAAACATTTTGCTAATTTTTTCCTTTTCAGCATGCATTGTTCACATTTAATTTTAAAGTTACTGTTAATAATTTTTAGATTTTGTTAAGATTAGAATTGATTACTTTTTTTAATACTTTTCCCATTTGTATTCAGGTTATTTTGTTCACTTTTCATGCTTTTTATAGATTTCATTGTGTAAATACTTAAAAACAGTATGAACCTTTTTTTTTGTTGTTGTTTAATTTTGAAGGGATATTTTTTTTAATACCTCCTTTATTCCATATTTCTGTTTCAGGCTCATATAACTTTTTATTCTAGTGTTTTTAATGCTGTTTGAATTAATTTAGAAAATTATAATTTGTAGACATGTATATAATGTATATGTATTTTTTTATCTTTTGTCTTGATAACTTTTTTAATACTTTTCAAACTTTTCTTTTTCAGACTGTTAACTTCTCTTTTAATCTTTTTATTAGTTACGGTACTGTTTGTATTTATTTAGAAAGTTATTTTGTGTAAATATTTAATGTAAGAACCATTTTGAATTTTACTTTTTTAAAATACTTTTCACATGTTTATTTTCAGGCTGTTATCTTTTCTTTTAATGGTTGTATTATTACTGTTTGCATTTCTTTATAAAATTATTTTGAGTAAATATGTTTATGTAAGAATTTTCATTTCTTTTCAATACTTTTCAATTTTTTATTTTCAGGCTGTTGTCTTAACCTTAATCTAGTATTAATTACTGTTTGCATCAATTAAGAAAATTATTTTGTGTAAACACATAAATATGTATGTACTATTGATTTGCTTCTCACTTGAATTTTTTTTTTGAACTATTCCATTTGTCTTTTTCAGGACGTTTATTTTCTTTAAAAAAAAGGTAACTATTAAATTTCATATTACAGTACAAGTATTAATTATAATTAAGACATTGATTAAATATTTGTTGGGTATCATTACTTTATAATTATATGTATGAACGTCTGACTTTTTATTTTGGAATACATTTTAAAAAATTAATCCCCCCCCCCCCCTCCTTTTTATTTTATTTTCAGAATATTTCAAATTCTTCATTTCATCATTTCATACAGATAAGTGTTCATATTATTAGTATTAGTTAAACATTTATTGTCTGTAATTTATTTACAAACTGACTTTGCAACATTTTTTTTTGTTACAGTGTAACTGTTTTGACTCAGTATTTGAATACTTTATTAATATTTCTATTTTTATATTTAGGTCGTTATATTTGAATAATTTATTAATAACAGTTCTATACTTCTTTTCAGGACGTATTAAGTAGAAGCACTGTTTTATCTCATGCAATTAGTTTATATTAATATTATGGTTTTATTTTATAAAAATAAAATTAAATTTTTCATTATTTTTCTTTTCAGGTATTTTTAAATCCCTTACAGAACATAAAATGCCTATAATCAAATTATAATTTTTATGTGATATTCTTATTACTTGAAAATGGAATAAACATGCAATTTTTTTTGTTTTTCATGTAAAGAAATAATAATTTTTCCAAAAAAAAAAGGGTTTCTTTTACCAATTTTTTTTCACTTTCTCTGCAAAAATATTTTTTCAAAATAAATGTATCTTCTATAATGTGCAACTTTTGTTTTCATTGTGTTTTACATTGCATTGAGAGTGTGTGCTGAAAATTTGGTACCCTTATCTTTAAAAATAAAAAAGTTATGGGTCAAAAAGTGGAAAAAATTGAAAAGTGGGTCACAAATTTTTTGGGTCAAATATATAGTATAGCATAAAAAATTTGACAAAAAAAATCATAACTCCAGTTCTATAAAAGATAGAAAGATAAAGTTGGTGTTGTTATAAAGCTTATGGCTAGCCCTTTAAAATGATGTATCATTCATGGCAATCGGACAATATTTAAATTTTGTGTCAAAGTACCTACTAGTGGCTTTAGGCGGTGAGGGGTCTGGGGAGGGGTTTCCCCTCCCCAGTCGTTTCATAACTTGTTTTGCACTACATTTTGGCCGCCATCTTGGTTGACACTTCACAAGGAGTGTCTACTAAGATGGTGGCCATGATAGGAAGCCCCGGGCATCATCCTCATAATTTACGGTAGTCTCCCTTGTTTCATCGAAGTAACTACAATAAATACATGTTATAGTTATAGTAGCCACTGAGCCATTTTTAAGTTTATTTCTGTAGAAATAATAAAAAGCACTAAAATAAGGGATTACCCAGCCCCTTCTCAGTAGTAAGGCAGGCATGACAGTAAAAACAGGATGAGGATCCAAATAAATATAAAACTCCAACAAAAGAAAAATCCCTTTGTGATTTTGCCTTACCAAAATAACAAACGAGGGGCTGTCTGAGTCATTTTGGGAATTCCCTGCATTACTACACAAATTATATAGAATGAGAATGCCTCAAGAGTCAAGAGGCACTACTGCGGCTGGGACGACCCCCACGGTGATTGTGAACTAGTCTGATAATATAGGTCGACCGATAAAAAAAAAAGACAAATAAAAATAAATTTAAGTTCTTTTACCGCAAGTATTAAATGAAGAATCTGTGTATAAAATACCAAAAACAGATTGAATATTAAAATAAAAGCTTTATACCTTCTTAAGGTCAGTTTCTGTGGCATTTCGGCTAACACCAAGAAGTTCATATAATTTGTTGTCAGCCATCTTGCACGAGGACGATAATGACGTCACACCAAAAAAGAGCGCCCCCTTATTTACTTAAGTTGACTTCCGCTAAATTCCTTCTCTTCTATTAAAAATGTTTTATGACCTTTCTGAAATAAAACATTTTCTAGACGTTGGGGTAGTCATATATTTGAATTATTTTGAATATAATTGCTATTGTGACCAGGTGTAATTAAATAATAATTAAGTAAAACTAATGAAGAACTGTTTATTAAAGAAATTCTTAAACCAGCAACACCAACTTACATACAAGACTGGATAGTTTACCATTGGTTCGTATCGTAAGCGCTAGCGGCGTGGGCTAGTGACTAGTGCATTTAATTATATTGACTCATGATAATGACATAAGGGGCTTCAGGGGACCATCCATAAATGACGTCACGCAAATTTTACCTCCCCCCCCCCCCAATTTCCCCCCATCGTCACAAAAAGTTAGACCACCGTCCAGAGGCGCAGCGAGGGTGTTTGGCGCCCGGGGACAAGATCCATTTTAAAGCGCCCCCTTTTCTTTTTTTTTCTACTCTCAATCCCATTATTCTTACAAATTATATAATATCAAAGCACTTTTTGGCGCCCCTAACTAGCTTGCGCCCGGGGGCATCTGTCCCCCCTGCCCCCCTCGCTACGCCTCTGCCACCGTCCACCAAACTCAAATATAACGCCCACAAACCTCTGCATCCCCCCCCCTTCCATCTTTTTTTCTGTCCACTACTGTCCTTTACAACCCTTAAAAAAAATGCGTCTTCCTTATAGCCTTATATATCGAATTACGTCAGAAACATTTCCCTAGAACAGGGTTTCTTTAAGCAGGGTTCAAAACACCCTCTGAGGGGCGGAAGACCCAGAAAATTGCATTTGCTGCCATTGCTAGTTGTTGGTGCCTTAAGAAAAAATATATTAAAAATCACTTTTATGTATTTTAGCAGCAGTAAATATTTTTCTGGTGAATTTTGTTTGCACATTATTGTATTGGGATTTTGTTTCTTCTTGTTTCTAGAAATTTAAATAGAGAAAGAAAACAACAATAAATAAATTACGTATTACCGTATCTATGAAATATTTTTATTAAAATATAATTTATACAAGGGGGGGGGGCGCATGTTTTGAAATCGAGAAGGGATGCAGGGCTGCGAACTTGGTTGAAATCCCTGCCCTAGAGCATTTTCTAAGATCACCCCCCCCCTCCCCGTTAACCATGTTTAGTTTCATTCCACTTCATGTGGTAAGCCTAATTCTATGACTCCCGTCTTCACATTTCAACAGTTTCACGATTTTCAAAATTACTATACCCCGACTAGAGGGCAAATTTCGACTGGCCACCTCAAAAAAAAACAAAAAAAAACTGAGTGCCACTGAACTAGGAGATTGGGGGGGGGGGGGTGAATTGAGTGGTACTGCATTAGAGGGCAGAAATAAGTGACAGAGCCGTAATGGACAGAATTGAGTGACACATCTCTAGTGGACATGTCTGGATGGTACCTGCATTAGAGGGCAGACATAAGTGACACAACACTATGGGACAGAACTGAGGGACACAACACTATGGGAACAGAATTGAGCGGTACAGTACTAGGTGACAAAACTGAGTAGTACAAGCACCGTACTTGGGGACAGAAGTGAGTTGCACATCCCATGGGGACACAATTGAGTGGCACAGTACTAGGGATTGTAGAGATCAGAACTAAATGGCGCAGACACAGTATTAGGGAATGTAGAGAGCAGAACTAAATGGCGTAGACACGGTACTAGGGAATGTAGAGAGCAGAACTAAATGGTACAGACACAGTACTGGGGAGTGTAGAAAACAGAACTAAATGGTACAGACACAGTACTACTGTATATTATCATTTCCAGATTTTTTTTAAAAATGGAGAACCCGTGATCAAATAAACCCTCGTCCCTGGATAAAAACAAATACTAATTATAAACCGAATGAAACAATAAAAGGGTGGGGTTTTTTTCTTCTTAAATAGTTTCTTACCCGGTACTTGTATGAACAATGATACTAAGGTTAATTGAGTGACTTGTTACTTGTTGCTTCATTTTCCATTTCTTACCGAGTAATAGATAACTAGCTAGGCCTAGTAATAAGTTGCTTGTAGATGTATTTTTATTGTTACAAATTGAACATAATTAAACCATGTTGATTAATCACACACAAAAAAACAATAGGCAATTATATATTGTGAAATATTTATAACTAATTACAAATAAATGAAATTTTGTCTTGAAGCAAGATGTAGCTTGGGTTACAGTCTTAATATAACAACAGTAAACTATATTGCCACATTTTGCGACAGTATGCGTAAAAAGCCAACGTCAGTGCGAAGGTTGGTATTGTTTCTTTCTTACCAGATCAGAAATGTTCGGGGCAGTCTTTGCAAGAGCACAACGAAGATGATCTTCCACAACAAGTCTACTTCTATATTTAGACTTGATTACCAACAAGCTGAAAGACCCTGTTTCACAAAGATATGTTTTTGGAAATGGAAGGAAAAGGTGCAACACAGTCTTAGACAGAACATGATATGACTGCAAACACTTGATCCAGACATTTGTAAACGGCATTAGAAATCAGCTCTCCCTGCACAGCTGTCAATAAGTTCAATGAAATCCTCTTGTGCTGACTCGGGAACATCTTCAACTTTGACTGTGAATGGACTTCTGGCAAGTGCAAATGGGGTGTCAGGGAGATTAGGAAAGTACGATGAAATTTCGTCTCCAAGCATGTGCATGTGTTCCTTCACAGACTTTATCATCGTAATCCCTTTGGTTCAATGCCATGTTCCTCAAAGAAACCAGATAAGATAGGCAATATGTACATTTTATTTTCCTACAATTTTTATTTTCCAAAGCTGAAATTAAAATTTAAATGATTGCATCTTTCCAGACAAATTGAGGCATGTTGTATTTGGTACTGGCAGTGATATATTTAACTCATTCAAGAGGACAAAGATCTCAACCAATTAAGAAATTTTCTGCAGTTCACTTTTATCACTAAAAAGAGCTTCGAACTGCGGTCTTCCTTTCTGATTTAAAATGTCTTGGGTTAAGCTCAAAACAAGCTTTACAATTTTTTTCTTTTGACACTCACTTTAGTGTGAAAAGCAGAGCGTTGTTCAGCTCATCCATCTCGTTGCACAGTAGCGAAAACAGTCGACTGTTTAAAGTGCTTGACTTTACAAAATTGACAGAACTTATGACAGTACTTATGACAGAACTTATGACGCTTTTCGTTACTTCTTGTCACTCTTGTGGCAGCGTCTTCGTTGCTAATATTTGCCGATGAATCAATCAGTGAGTTTCGATTACTTTTGTTGACTCATTCAGTAACAAACGTTGAAATCCAGATTGACACCCTCTATGACATCCTAAGCATAGCTAGAGCACCATCTGTGCAAACGCAACAACACTTTTTCCCAAGAGAGCTTATGATCTTTCAGAAATCAACCAACTGTGTCAAATCCATCACGTGCAGTGGTTGTCGTTTCAAGAGGTTTGCAAAAAAGAAACTCATGTTAAAGTCGCCATCATTAATATACCTCACGTAAACTAGGAACTGTGAACGGCTTGCAACGTCTGTTGATTCATCAAGTTGGATACTAAATATTGGAAGTGGAGCAGATTTAATTTCCTGGATTACCTGATCAAGAATATCCCCAGACATGTCATCTGTTCTTCTGCGGACAGTGTCATTAGATCAGGAAATCGCACTCAGTTTCGTAACAAATGCGTCTCCAATCATAATGAAAATTTGTGACATGTCTGTTTTTTTAACCGGACCAAATCAATCGGTTTCTAAGACATCGGAAATATGTGTTTTCCAATGGTCTTGGGTGACCCCCGTGAAACGGTCACGCGACCCCCAAAGGGGTCGCGACCCACAGGTTGAGAACCACTGCTTTAGGCTATCTAGATGCGTGGAGATAGGTTATTTGCTATCTAGATGTGTGGAGAGAGAGGTTATTTGCTATCTAAATACTTGGAGAGATTGTCTTTGCAATCTAGAAAACCAGCTGATAATCCTAAATAAAATGAAAAACAGACCTTCTGATTTCGTCCTGCGCAGTCTACATCGCGCAATTGACGCCATCGTCATCGTCACACTGTGACGGACGGATGCCAGACAAATAAAAAGACCCGCAAAATGGGATATGATCACCTGTACAAAAAACCTGGACACTTAAAATGAGCTTTACATCCTATACAGGTCACACATTTGAATGAAACATCTGTCACGAAATATTTACCAGCAAAATTTGTTAACAATTTGTAACAATGGGTTACAATTAGAAATGTCAATATCAATAGGCTAAATGTATCCATTTAAATATATATATAAGGCATAAATGTAAATGTCTTACTGATTTGATTTTGAAAGCAAAAAATACACTACATCACTCATTCATTAAAAAAAAAATAATTGGGTGGGGGTGCATTTCGGCGCATACATGAATTAAGTTTTTAATCATTCTACAAATAATCTGAGAACAATGGAAGAGATGCTAGTGAACATTTATTCCTTTGGAAACGCTTGTGATTATACAAATACTTTATTCTTGGAAGTTACCAAAGTTGTAACTATTCTTATGTTTAATTTACTTCGTTAAGTTAATGATATGCTTTTAAATCATTCAAAAAGAAACAATAAACAAAACATAGATCCAGTCATACTGCCCCCTTCGCACTGTCCCTTGGTGCTTACAAGACGCACAGTGGAACTACATTGTTGGTCTCGGCATCATATCATCATTTACGCTTCAATGGGCAGCTGCTGTTACTGCCTGTTGTCTGCCTCACACTTAAAACAGCACAGAAGAATATGCAAATAATGTAAGAAAAAAGAATCCGAAATTTATATATAAATTTACTTTACTGAACAGGTGTGTCTTAGTCTTAGTATCAAGAACGCCACTACAATATTCTCACTACTGCACTAACATTATAATGAATTTACTTTGATCATTAATTCACGAGACATTTGTAAATGCGGGGTGTTAGCCTGGTTGGTCGTTTGGTGAGGACTGTGACTGTGGGTAGCTATAGCATATAATATAATGACTATAATACGATGTATTTGACTATAAATGATAAATTGATTAGTGGCTTATGCATAAATTAATGATAAGAGTTAAGTTAAGGATGGCTAATGGTGGTGCTGTGCTCAGGGGCCGAAGGAGGTATGGAATTTTGAAACTGTAATGAAGTTTGTAATGAAACTGAAAAAATAGTTGGGCCTATATAACTATATACTCGCTTCACCTTGAGTGCACCCCTTAAATTAATAGGAAAAAAAGTAAAATAAGCTAATAAATGCAGTGCTTCGACAGGGAAAGCACTCTGAAACACAAGTTTCACAAGATTGCAATAATTGTTATTGTTACTGTGGGAACTGTAGCTATTTACCATCATTGTAAGGCCTGTAATGGCGATAATAAACCATCGTTTGGGGTAAAACAATTACACCAAGCTTCTTATAATTCATTATATTTGTAGTTTTTTCACGTTTTGTTTTAACTTTCTGAGTTCTCCTTATATACCATAATATCATTGTGATTGTGAATACCAAAAGAAAGGTGCTTGAAGTTGCAGTTGTACTTGTAGAGTCCCTTCCCTTAACTTAGACTTAAGCCTTAACTTTTGTCAATTTTTGATCTCGTACTCGTACTAGACGTAGCCTACTGGTACCAAATAAAGTAAAAATAAAGTTGTACAGTCGTAAAATTACAGACAAGACATTACAATTACAATAAAATAATTTGTTGATCTCGTACTGAAGTCATAATAGTACAATTTGTTGTTTTAAGTTTAAGACAAAATAAAAGTGAAAAGGCTTCAAAAGGATTTAATAATTATGCTAATACTAATACTTTAGTAATACTATTACTTTATTTGAATTGTCCTATAAAATCCTTTGAATTTTAAGAATGAAATTAATTTGATTATTTTTTAAAAGCTAACTATGAAACAAAAAATGCTATTCCATTTTCAATGACGACAATGAACATACATAATTGACATAATATATGAGGGGGATAAAATCAGATATTACCCTAATGTTTGAATAATATATAATATATATGTGGTTTGTCTAATAATACTAATATATAGGCCTATATATGAAGTAATACATTTAGTTTTAGCCTAAGCCTAATGAACATATTATTTTTAATTAATTATTATATAGCTAGGCATACCAAATTATTTGGCAAATATGTCTACAAAGAAGAGTAATATAAAAAATTATAATTATAAAGGCCTTTATTAATGAGTATAGCCTAAGCCTTTCTATTTCTAACTATTTATATACTAAAGTAACCACAAGAGATAAAGAAATCAATTTTTTAAAACAAAATCACCTGTATTTAATTTGCTTTCAAAATGCAGCGGAAGACACTTTCTCCAGTTTTGTAAATCACGTTTTTATATTTTCAAATCAATTCAAATTTTTGGTACTAGTTTTAGAAAAAAGTTTCTTTTGCTAAATTGTCAGGTTGAAAAAAATCAAACAATCCATGGATTTCTGATTTTGGGGGGGTTGGATTTTGGGTGGTGGGGGGGGTGTAAATCAAAGAGTCTTATAAAAGGTGCCATAAGATCATTATTTGGTCATTTAAATGAAGAAAGTTACTTGGTTAGAAATTCCAAATAAACATTTTAAGTTCCTGCATTTGTTTAGAAATTCATTTAACAAAAGGTTGACTCAAACTCCATGTGGATATGGATAATTTGTGAGAAAAGTGGAGGGGAGAGAGAGCTGTGGCATACCTTGACATAATGCTCCCTGGGGTGAACTCCCAAAAGTGTACACAGGCCTATATATAAAATCCAAAGTCTCTCCCCTATAGGTACACCACTTGAAAAGAGCAAAATTTTGACTGCCTATGACCCACTGCAGGTCTGGCACTGGGAATGGGTAGGTACAAGAAAATCAGAAAGAAGGCCTTGAGGAAAATCGGGGGGTGAGGGGGGGGTGGGGGGGGGGTTGACATCATGAGTTTATGGCACAATGAGTTTATGACACAGGGTGGCACCAACCCTAATAATAAAATCGGGGGGTGAGGGGGGGGGTGGGGGGGGGGTTGACATCATGAGTTTATGGCACAATGAGTTTATGACACAGGGTGGCACCAACCCTAATAAAGCAGCCAGTTAATTACAATTAACTAGATATAGATAAATTAGTGTTAGGTAAAATTGTATATTTGAAGTATAAATAATATAAATATAAGATTATTTTTTGGTCTAGGGTAGGCATAGAACTAATGATTCAGGCCTTATTATTATTATTTAAATACATATAATATATATTAAAATAACAAATCAATCATTCAGTTCATTATCATTGTAAGTACAAATGTTGCCTAACCATTAACAATTTTTTTTTTTCAGCTATGATTCCAGCAAAGGGTGTAAACTAAGATGCTTTAAAGATGATGATCATGAATGAAAAAGATATTTAAACAGAGTTGCTTTTTTCAGCACTTCATATTTTTTCAAATAAATGAGCCCTTTCACAATAGTTGATATCTTTTAAACAATTGTTGACAGAACAACCTCAACATCATGTTCCAATACCTTTGTTTAAAAATAAATTCAGAGAATCAACTACCTCAAAAAATGTACAGCTCACTAACATCACTGGAATCAAGTTTTGATAAACATAATCTTCCATCATCATACAAAACATCACTGGCATCAAGTTTTGATAAACATAATCTTCCATCATCTTATAAAACATTAAAAGAAAAAAAGAAAAACTGCACGAAATTACTGAAGAACAATTCCTCCGTTACTTTATTCCCCTCATTACAAGAAAGGAGTTTTGATTTAGTTCCGATGCCCAAGATGACCTCACATGCAAAGAGAAGAAAGTCTAAAAGCTTAACCCGCACCTTCTCTACTACTGATAATTTGGACAAACTTGCCATTCCACCAGCTCGACATCGTTTGTTTCCAGTTCATCAACACATGATTAACACAAGACTGAAAAAATTACCATTATTAGCAGCTATCAAGCCTGACAATGAACAAACTGAGAAGGCACGATTTATGAGAGCCAATTATAATTATAATCCATATTTTTGCTATAAAGGCTACAGCAATAAAGAAGAAATGGAAAAGTTCAGAATTCCATCTGATCAATACATTTCACTGGTGGGTCACTTTTCTTAGTTATTTTAATATATCGATAATGATATTTCCACTTTTTGTTTGTTTTTAAAAGTAGAAATTTTAAAAGATTCACAAATTGTTTCAAACTAAAGATGGCAAAGCTTTTTAAGAATATCTCTGCACCTCTTTCTCGGCTCCTTTCATGTGAAATGAATGTGAATGTTTTAAAATTCCTCTTGGGCATATTAGAAAGGTTTTATTTTATATATTTAAAAAAAACAATGAATTCGTTAGTTTTAATATTCCACATGTGGCAACAGACAAAAGTCATTTTTAAAAACCTTATTAATAATATTCTCCTTTTTCATCAACAGGCTATTTTAATATTGGAAAATACTTTAGCCCACTTTGGAAGCTATGAGCAGTTTGATGAAATTACTGGAGGGTCCATTTTGACACGCTCAGAGGTTTACAGATTTGTTAAAAAGTAAGTCCAAAGAATGATAGTATAAAAGAATATTAACAGTTCCAGCCAGTAAACAGAGCAATTAAAACTCTTACTAACAATAATGCCCATAGTTTCCATTCAGCTCAGGATAGATAACACAATCTAGTTAAGTCTGAAAATTGATGAAAATCATTAGCCAAATATAATATTGAGATACCAAAATAAATTTTATGATCTCTTACCACATAACACAGAAATTTTTCAAAGATGGACTCTAAATGACATCATTCAGGGATTGGTTTCTTTTTTGCTTTGAAAAAGTTAAAATTCTTTAGCTATTTTTTTCTCTAGCTTTTCCTCCTAGTATTTTACACAATAATTCTGACTCTGAAGTTGTGATATAAATATGTCAATAAGCTATAAGTTGAACATGACGGAAAAATTAAAAGTTTAAAAATAAATATGACAAAACATCTGCCATCAGATACTTGATGAATGAAGACTTGGATGATGAAATTCAGATCAACCTAAGAGATGATTTATTGAGTCGAGGGTCAATTTATAGGGCAAAAGATCGATACGTTTTAAGTGTGCGCTGTGTCAATCTGCGAGAATGCTGTGCAGAAGGCTTGCTGAGACATGAGATAGGTTTGATATCACTTAATTTAATAGAAACTTGGTTTTCTTTGATCATACATTAAAAACATCATCTCCTTGTAGATACATTTTTAGACTACTATCACAGACATATTATAAGCTTCATTCAAATTTTAAAATGAATAGAAAAATAAGAAAAACAATTGTAAAGATGAAATCCAAATTTTCAAAATGATCCCTTAAAGATTAAAACATGATTTGTCCTCTTTCCAGGCAAATAATTTTCTAGCATCTTGATATTATGATCTTCCAAATTACCACAATCACATCTCATGTTCATCTTTTAAATGAAACCAAAAATATTTGCTACATGTACTATTAAGAATGTAGCACATTTTTAAAGAATGAAAAGTAAATTTAATTATACCATTAAAAGAAATTACAACACAATATGTAGTCTGTAATTATCATCTTATGAACTTGCTCTGCTATATCTATCCAATTTTTTTGGTTATAAGTTATACATAAAAAAATTGCAGGTGTCTGTTCCAAGCATCATGGAAATTGCATTACATGTGGTTCCTAAAATTAGAATTGCACTATAATGTGTCTTAATAGGCAGTGTCCAAATAGATAATTACATGAACACATTTCATCATCAAGATGTGTCTAATCTTTGACATTGAGTATCCAAATTAGTTTTACTTACTTACTAATGCCTTTCTACCCCGTTTGGGGCATAGGCCGTCTACAAGAATTTTCCACTCATCACGGTCCTGTGCTTTCCTCTCCAATTGCTTTCAAGTGTATCCTATATTTTGCGTGTCTGCCTCTAGCTCGCGTCTCCATGTATTCTTAGGCTTTCCTCTCTTTCTTTTTCCCTGTGGGTTCCATGTTAGGCATTGTCTGGTGGTGCTGTCGGGGGTTTTCGGAGCGTATGCCCTATCCACCTCCATCTTTTCTTTATGATATTTTCATCAATGGGCACCTGGTATGTTCTTTCTAGTAGATCTTTGTTGGTGATAGTTTTTGGCCATTTGATTTTTAGGATATTTCTAAGGCATGTGTTTATGAATGTCTGCACTTTCTGCATAAGGCTCACCATTGTTTTCCCAGAAAGAAAATTATTATTAAAGAAAATGGGAGTCAAAGAAGCTGAAACTAAAAACCAAAGTCAGAATCTTTAATACAAATGTCAAAACAGTCCTACTATATGGTGCAGAAACTTGGAAAACAATAGTGAGCCTTATGCAGAAAGTGCAGACATTCATGAACAAATTAGTTTTACATGCATAAATTTCTACTTGACAATAATTCTAAAAAATAATCACTTCTCATCAAAAAGGGGAGAGTCAGGAGAAATGGGCCACCAAATGAACATCAGTCAAAGAATGCAGCTGGTGTTGACAAATAGAAAGTTATAACCATAACCTTTGGCTTATTAATAGTCAGTCCAAATGTGCACTTAAAAACTTAATTTGCAATTTGATAGATTTTGTGAAATTCAAAAGAAACTGATCACTATGTAGGTTGAGAGAAATGGACATAGCGAAGGGAGAAATGGTCAGCTAACTAAAGGTGGTTAAAACAAATTAATATTTTACCTATTTTCTATTAATTTTCTCTCTGTTGAGCTGTAATGCACCATTCAATATGTAATGTAATTAAAAAGATAAGCAAAACCATTTTACATTTTATGTATATTTATTGAACATAATGATGTAGACAAAATGTAATTTGAGCAAAACAAAACACAGATTTATTTAACATTTAAAGAACTCAGATTTTCTTTAAAGAAAAAACATCTTTAGTCCTAGCTGTCCCAGTTTTTTGTAGTTTTGTAAGTTTGCATTTTATGTCTTTAATATAGGCACATAGGCAATGACTCCTACGGGTGATCTTATAAATTTGCCAGTCGCTTTCTCACTTTTTCTTAAAAATTCTACTTCCGCATCTCCATCTTCATCCACTTTCTTCCTCACAACAGCAACATAAAACAACACAGGCTTTTTTTACACTATACTCACACAGCACACAATCATCTTTCATAACTTCTTCAACACCACTCATTTCAACACAATTCAAGTCTTCACAGGCTGAAATAAAGTCATCTAAATCATCAATGCCTCTCAGGTCAAAGTCAGTGTCCATGTCAGAGTCACTATCGTCACTTGTCCTAATTGTGTAGCAGCTGCACGCATCGACTCTCCCCCTTTAACGGCATCAACTGCATTTCACATATCTTCCAAGGGTATTCGACCATTATCTGTTTTTCTTGTGTATTTTCTGCAAGAAAAAAATATGGGAAACTTTAAATTCTCATCCCATGGGAAATTAAAAATGTTTTTTTAAAACAAAAGATTTAAAAATTAAGATGATTTAATTTCTACAGTACAAACATTATCATACATACATATATATTTAGCAAAACATTTTCTAAAATTACGTTTTGCTACAATAAATCATGACTGATAATTCACAATCTTTATTTAAAATTTATTAACTACAGTCATGCTCAATAAATTACTAGTTTTAATTACTTCAAGATTATGCAGTAATGAAGTATAAAGAAAATAAACAGTGGGGACCCATTTTTTTGGCAAGTTTCACCCCACTAGGGCGTTGATGCAGAATTTAAAACAAACAATTTAAGTTCGTGGTGCAAATAATCAAATTTAATATGAAGTACTATAACTAACTAAATATTGAACATTAAACTATATTTACCTTTATTCTTGATGAACCAGTTAAATTTCTACTCGTGATTCTTTTGTTTCATAGCTGACCAGTGGCGTAGCGAGGGTGTTTGGCGCCCGGGGACAAGATTCGCGCCTGGGGACAAGATCCATTTTAAAGCGCCCCCTTTTCTTTTTTTAAACTCTAAAACCCATTATTTTACCAATAATATAATATCAAATCACATTTTGGCGCCACTAACTAGCTTGCGCCGGGGACATCTGTCTCCCCTGCCCCCCCATCGCTACGCCTCTGCAGCTGACCATATAATCTGGAAACTCTTAGAAAACACAAAAAATAAAAAAAGAAGTAATTTATGCATTCATTTCGTTCCAATAGATTCGATTTTATAGGGGGTGGTCCATTTCTCCCGACTCTCCCCTACAAACCACACTAATTCTCTCAAACATTCTTTTTTCATCCATAGTTAAAGTAAATTATTTCCTTAATTTTATTTATTGATTTACTTAACAGCATTTAAGTCGTATGTTTACTGTAAATTAGCCACTGTTTAGTGCCCAAATAAAATGATATATTTTCAAAAAAAAAAAATATGGAAAAAAAAATTACAAAAAAAAAATATGGAAAAAAAAATTAATTAAATAACTCATTCTATTATCAACTTCACGACTCATTCAAATGAGGTTATTTCCATATTTACTACATATATCTACATTTTATTTGAGTTTCAAACTTATGTGCCAGATTTTAGCTAACTCTTTTGATACATTTAGAGAATATATTATAACTTGCATTACATATAATGTACCAAAATAATTCCCAAAAACATTTGATTATTTTATGAAGCTTTAAATTATATTTATTCCCTGATCACTGTATAACTCAAGGGCATTAATGACACATTATTTTTTTTAGTGGGAGGGATAAATGTAAGCATATTATTATAATGGTAAGGAATGGCCTGTAAAATATCCCAATTGAGAATTAAACAAATTTTGATGGCATTTCAATGAAAAAGATGTTATTTTACAAAATTTGTGATGAAAAATTAACAGTTTTGGCATACTTTTTTTTACCATAGTAATTTAATAAAATAACATAGCCCCTTTTTAATTAAAAATAGTAATATCCTTTAAGTGTTATTTAGTCATGCAAATTTTGAATATTTCACCTTTTTAACATTCTTGTCATATGGAGTTATCTTAGACTTTTACAAATGATGATGATATTTTATTGGAGGTTATAAGACAGGGACTTTCAACCTTCCTCATGTTACATCACTCTAACACAAATTACATGTGGTAACTTTTCTGCAATAATCAATGAAGTATTCAAGTATGCTTTTTTTTTTTTTTTTGGGGGGGGGGGGGGGTGTTAATGAGTAAACGCTTACTAAGGGTTATAAAAAAATTTTTTTTATCAATGAAGTATTCAAGTATGCTTTTTTTTTTTTTTTTGGGGGGGGGGGGTTGTCAATGAGTAACAGCTTACTAGAGCTTATAAGAAAATTTTTTTAAAGTAATACTATTGGCACTTTAGTTTAGATGTTGATGGTACTTACTCTGCATGTAAAATGTTCCCAAAAAACTTGTTGAAATATCTACATTATTATTTTATATCGAAGTCTTATGACATATTTGTTAACTTTTCAAGACCCCCAAGTTCAAAACTGTTGATATAAGTTAGGAATGCCAAAGCTTAAAAAATAGTTAAAGGTATTCAACAGTAATAGATAAGGATAAAATTAAAATACTATTTTCCAACTTTACAGGCACTCACTACATGCGCAGCTGCAATACCTGTCTTCAGCCTTGGAATGATCCAAATGTGAGAGGAAATTTTGGTATTGGCCCTTTGAATCCTACAGAGGAAGGTCTGGCATGCCTGCATAGTGTTATGTTTAGGTAATATGTTGATCTAAATAAGCTTTTTAAATGTTTGTGTAATAAAGAAGGGGTTTTAATTGGTGTCTTGTGAGGTTCAATTAACGGGTTACATCAGGCCCAGATTAACCATTAAGCAATTTAAGCACATGCTTTAGGGCATCAGGAGAAAAGGGGCAACACTAGACTTATAAACAAAAATCCATAAATATTTTAGTACTCATAACATTGGATATATTTTCAATACTAAATTATGTGCATCATAATCTCTTTATATAATCATCTGAAAGTGGCATGTATTTCAGGCTTATAAAAAGCTTGCCAAATGACATAAATTCCCACAAGCATCTCTCATTTATCTCTCCATTAAATATAGAATGATGAACCAAATTGCATCCTTTCATTTTGAATTTATGAATAATTTTCTGGTGAAGGATCCCCTCCCCCATTTTCACTCAGAAGCCCTTGATTTCTGCCCCCCCCCACCCCGACATCAAGATAACATAATGGCACCTTTTATCTGTAGAAAAAAATGCACTGTATTGAAGCAGGGTTCCCAACTTAAGGAAAGTCCATAAAAAAACTTTGATCTAACATAACTAATTTTCTGTAAAACTTTTAAGAACTTTAGGATGTCCATAAAAAGAAAACAAAAGAAATTATACTTAAAACTTTTTAAGTGATGCAAAACAGGAAATCGAAGCATTTGTAATTTTTTTCTTGTTTTTTTCCAATGTGTATGATCATAATCAGGAGGCTTTAGACACTGATGAAAGGCCATAACCTATATGTAGGATTTTGTGCTATATGCTTTAAAGCTTTAAACTTGATAAAGAAATAGGCACTGATATTTTGTTTATTGCGCCATGGTTAAAAAAAAATTTCTTTAAAAATAAATCTAATGAGGAGGCACCATGAGTCCAGGATCATTAACTGCTTTGGACATCTAAAAGCCTTACTTTGGCCACGGTTACAATGGACAAACAGTGTTTTTCTATGGGGCTACAATAGACAAATCATGTTTCTTTACATCGGTTACAATGAATAATAGTGTGACTAATGGTGTTTCTCTACATGGGTTAAAATGGACAAATGGTGTCTCTAAAGGGGTGAAATGGACAAATGGTGTGTCCCTACTGGGGTTACAGTAAAAAATAGTGCTTCACTACATGGGTTACAATGGAATATGGTGTTAATAAGGCATCCCCAGGGATTGTAACTGCAAGTGGTGTTATATAGAGGGTCTCTACGGGGCTTATAAAGGTAAAGGTTTTAATATGGGGTCTGAGTGGGAATGAAAAGTGTTTCAAAGAAGAAGTTTTTGACACGACAACTAGGGCCCAATTATTTTGGGGGATAGGCCCCCATAATACTTTATCCCACTTTGGACAAATATGCCCTGTAACCACTATGTCAAAAATGATTGTTAAAAAAAAACTTGCTCTATAATTAGATATATTCTTTAAACATTTGATAAGCTTTAGCTTAAATATCAGATAAATGGATTAGGTACAGGTCGACTTTGACCCAAATTGACATGATAATTACTTAGTAGATTTTATGCCATGGGCAGATTTAAGAATACATAGTATGCAGAGATGTAGGCAAAAATCATCTATCAATAATGGTGAGGTGAATTTTCTTGTCAATTAATTTATAATTTATAATTTTAGGAATAAACCATTTTTAATGCATGCTGCACTGCTCTACTATACCACATACAAGGCCTCTCAAATGTCATTTAGAGATATTTTTCATGATCTGGGCAAATATGTTACTAGTCCTGATGTCCGATGGGACTATTGTCTGAGAGCTAAACGGGGACAGGTGGATACATCACGTCGTGGTAAGTATAACTTTATTTGACTAATCTTTGTGATAGAACTGCATCTCAAGGACATGGACCCATGTCATATAGTTGGTGACATGTAGCATGGGACCAGGATGAGTTTGATGTTAATGAAGGACTACATACTTAATTGAAAGAGTTAACACATGGCTTGCTAGTTATAAACAACAAAATATTTATTTTCTATTTAAACTAAGGATTTAATGCTTCTATACAACCTTACAACCTGATATTCTTATATAAAGCGATCATGGGACTGGTGCCAGCCATCCCAGCAGGCATGTACCTCACCCCACGGAAGCCGGGTAGACTGATCAGAGCAAAACGCTCACTGAACACTGACTTCACCACTGACATCCCCATAAACAATTACACCAGAAACAATAGCAAATGCTTCAAAGTGCCTCAGTGCAATATCAACAATCTTTATTCCCACGCACAATAATAGCATGGAACCACCTGAATGATGCCACTGTGAACTCGACATTGGTCGAAAGCTTCAAGGCTGCCCTGGCATCAGCTAGGAGCTGTTAGAATAGCAACATCATATCCCCAACCGTTGCAAAGATGCCAGTACATGGATGCAGCAATGAAACATTACCAGAACCAGAACTTCTAAAACAAATCAATGGACATATATGACATGTATGAAATGACGATGCTAGAAGGAACATTTTAAAATGCACAACTAAACAACTAGTACTTAAACTCTATAACTATCTTTGTCAATAACTCTACAACTCTGGATAACTCTAGATAAACAACACATGATAGGCTGACAAATTGACTCTGCTAAAAAGGTATCTTAGTTATATATGTCCTCTCTGTCTCCATCTAATATCTCGAAACAATCATCATGCTCTACAACTGCTATTGTTATAGACTACCACACTTGTTTATTCACACATAATTATACAACTATCAACCGATCAAGATTCAAAACTTATATCCTGTTTCCTAGTGCTACTAAGCTCCATCAAGCATGGTATCACAACCTTTTGTTGTCTAATGCCTTGAAATGCATTCAATGGACTGCTGTGGACTGTCTTGTTGAATAACTGAATTTATTTTAAGTTTAAGGTGTGGACCATAACAAAGGGAGATAAGTAGGTTTGAAAAGCATGACTTGTGCATGAGAAATCAAAGCAACAAACTGGTTGTCAAAAACTTTGTCTCAATGGACGAACTGGGATCAGCAATGAAAATAACAGAATGATATAAACAGTTATTAAAAAAAAATATTAGCTATGAAAATTAAAAAAACTATGGGTACTGGGTTTTTAAAACTTTACCCCTAATGGCTTTACTCCATATTTAACCCATAATTCAATGGAGATAAGATTAACTAGTAATTTAAAGATTTGTAGATATCATGTTATTACCCTTTCAGGGCCATCTTAACAGAATTGAGGGCCCCTGAGCATAGTAATGCACTGGGTCCCTGATTCCTCTCTGTAAGAAATCTAAGAATACATTGTGAATATTGAATCTAAGGCACCTGGACAGTGTCCTGATTGGCCCATTCATTAAGATGGCACTGGTCCCACTATGATTTTATTTTTAAATTTGTGATGGGTCTGCAACTAAAACAATATCTTAACATTTGTGATAAACTGATATTACTTTGTTGGATTATTTGGATGCAAATAATAATAATAAGAATAATAAAGTTTATTTGAAAAACACGCTTCGTCCCCAAAAGCTCGAAGCGCGGTAAAAAGTCAACCATATTAAAAAGAGAAATAAAAGCAATAAAAAATTTACCACATTTAAAAAACAGACGCAACAATATAAAACTAATAGGAGCATACCAAGTCAAAGTCTTTCATCCCATTTCAACCATAAGCCAATATACATTAACTGAAAAAAGGTGGTAGATAGCATCATAAATAGCGTATCACTTATCATTCACACTTGTCCTCCATATTCGCAGGAATTCCCCTTCCTGGTATATATGGAAGCTGTTATGCCATAAGTTAAAACTTAAACTAGGTGTTTTGCTTTCACCCCCTTCTTCTAACTTTTGAAGTTTAAAATATTATGTATGTATGTTAATTATAACTTATTTATTATAATTAACATATAACTGTAATTAAAATGTCAAAATAATTTCTCACTTCATATTCTGTAGGAAGTTTTTCAAAAGATCAAGTGTATTTAGAAGGAGCATTACAGTTGCTTAAAAGAAGAACAACTATTGACTTTGAAATGTTAGTTAGGCTCGGTAAGGTTTCTTATCAGGATCTCAGCCGAAAATGTGTTATTGATGCGGCACGACTGCAGAAGACACGTATCCCGAAATTCATGGAAGACATTCAACTTTATCACAATCAGCTTAACCGGGTTGTCAGAATCAATGGTCTCAATGATTCTTTGTTGGCCATGGTCGAGTAAAGTCTTAGGTTTTACTCATTTAAATTGTAGGATTTTTACATTAAATAATTTTAGTGCTGAAAGTATGAATAAATAAACCTTGCTGCTTTGTACTGTCACAGATGACCAGAATCTGAAATATTTATAAATACTTGTGAAATAATTGTCTCATGTTAGAATTGAAGCTGATGTCTGAAAAACTTTTTGAATGTATAAAAGTGCATCAATGAGACTAGCTTGCAGATAGTTGAGATAGAATTATGATCATGTAGTACAATAAAAATGTGTGTCAATATCACATGAAGTGACTCATAAGCTAAAAAGTCAATGTGCTGAGGCATCTAAGCCAGTTAGTTTCCTGTTTTTAAAGAATTGTGTGAATGCATTTTGAAGCAATTTTATGTAGCACCATCAGGTTAAATGCAATAAGTTAAATAATTTTGTAGTGTGTAAGAATTTTCAATCAAGTTGAATATAATATTTTGTATAATAAGGGATAAAGTCTGGGGTACAGCTTATAGATAATATATCAAACCGTTGTTGATCATTTAAGTGAGCATTTGGCTGAACAATTTCAAAATCTGTGGAGCTGCTTCATGACTTGCTTTGACTTTCACATGAATTATTTACATCAAATGGGATAGGGCACTATATATCTTTTATTGACACTAAATTAAATCTACATAATTTCGTGTGTTTAAGGATGGCGCTATATTGACCCATTTATAGCATTATTTAATCCAGTTGAGTTTGGTTCTCACTCTCTTGATCAATATCAAATTTATAGCATTATTTAATCACAGCTGAGCTTGGTTCTCTCTTGATCCGTATCAAATTTATAGCATTATTTAATCACAGCTGAACTTGGTTCTCTCTTGATCCGTATCAAATTTATAGCATTATTTAATCACAGCTGAGCTTGATTCTCTCTTGATCCATTTACAAATTCATAGCATTTAATCCCTGGTGATCTTGGCTCTGTCTTAGATAATATTTATCAATATTGATTTTATCCCTATGGCAACATGCTTGTATTACTAATTTGATTGTTTTATTATTTTTAAAGAATTTATACGATTTTTAATAACTGTGGCAGCATTATAAATTATTTTGATTCACTTTTCTGTTAATAATATATCTAAAATGTTGACGGACCTATCATCCTCTATTTTATTGTATAACTGAATTATATTTATTTAACTTTTAAACTAGTCATTTTCATCCATCAAAGAACAGAAGAAATACATTAAATTCAGGAATAAATTGAATATTACTACATTTCTGTGTGAATATTGTCTTTTTCTCTCATTTCCAAAGTTTGTCAAGTAATGGATACAAAGAATGGTAATTCATAAATTTTAATTTTATTTGAGCCATTTTCCTATAGATTTAAGTGCTAATAAATAAAAGGAAATGTTACTTTTAAAGCAGCTAATGAAATTTTATTTTTAAATCAGCTAATGAAATTTTATTTTTAAATCAGCTAATGAAATAAAAAACAATATTTTAAATAAGCAGCTACCTCTTGTTTATTTTGGATGAAATAAGTCCAGAAAAACCTGATAGCTTCTTGGCTTTTTTACTAATATCAGGGTTTAGTTTCAAACCCATGGTGGGAACATGATATCTTCCTGGTTTTCAGCCAAGGTCGGGACGATCTGCAGAACAAATAAGAGAGCCACAAGGCCAAGAGAACAGCAAGGGTAGACTTTAAAGAGAGACTACCCTAGTACTCCAGTACTTCTGGGGGAACCTATAATAATAATAAAAAGATTCTTTACAATGACAACAGAAAATATCCTCATGAATATGTGATTCCTTGTCTCAATAATTATAGTTAGTTCATCTCAAAGGTTGAGCCAGATTTTTTCCTGCATAAGCTATATATATACTACTATGCTATATCTAACAACTGTCCACTTTTTTTTTGTATCTCATTTTTCATTGTTACAAAATAATTAAACCTGACAGAGGTTTATTAGAAACATTTTGCAATGTGTTAATAAGCCACAGGAAATGGCGGTTAACAATTTAAGATGGCACAAACTAATCTAACAAACTTAAAGCTTTGCGCTAGTGGGACGTTAATATTGCTGACACTAATTTCATCACTTAAACTCTATAAAATCATTTTTTTGCTTCAAAATTATTTTTAAAAATTTTTTGTTGGCATTCTATCCCAATGAATTGAAATCTTGATAAATTGAGTCAATCACATTTTTATATAAAACTGGAAGTGACCTTCAACTTAAGGCTTATGAGAACATGTATAAGAATACATGTCTAGCCAGAGAAAATTAAATTCATCACATTCATCCGAAGTGAAAACTAAAAAAAACCCATGAAGAGTGAGATAATTTAATGATAATCTAGTCAAACTGTCACATTCAGGTGGGTACATGTACACTTTATTAACCACAAATGAAGTGAGTGAGAAACGCTTTGAGTAAAATAAATTACAATAGCCATGACTTCATTCAGCTGTTAAATGTAAAACTTTAATCAAAAGTTTAATTCAAAATATTTTGTTAAGGAGGGATACAAAATTTGATAACTCTTCATAAATTGTAAAGAAACTTTGTCACCCCTTATAATATCAAGTAAAATATTTTAAATCACATTTTAAAAAAAAACTGAATAAAAAATGAGAGAATTTTTTTTAAAGCAGGCTAGTTAAAACATTTTTTTAACAAATGAGGGTTGCTATTAGTATTTGATTTATCTCTTGACCAACCCCTTTAAAGGTCATTATATTATAATGACAAATTTATTTTAAAAAAAGGAAATCAAGCACATCTTGGGCATGGAAATAATAGATTGCAGTAGCTAAGACTAAGAATATAGACACACATAAAATATTAAAAATTAGAATTTACTTTACCACTGTGTGCAATTTAAAGCATTTCATTCCAGTTTATAGAAATGTTACTTAAAAAAGCAACATGTCAATGACTTGGGAGAACATTCCATTTTCAATTTGTTAGCTCTTAAAATGTATTGTTTCATCAGCCAACACTTTCAATCTTTTGAATAACTGTATAGTGTGGTGCTGTAGTCACAGGCCTCATTCAAATATTACTTAAGTATCTAAAAATAACTTCTATGATTTAGGCAAAAATGGCAATTTTAATAAATAATTTAGAAACACATGGGAATTAAGGGGAAATGGTAAAAAAAAAAGGTAACATTTTTAGAAAGTGACAAATTATAAAACAATCTCTTTATTAAAAGTACCAAACGCAATTAATACTTTAAAAGGAAAAAAAATGAGATGGTTTAATTAGTTTCTGTGTGGAAGCTTTGATAAGCAGGCCATAATTAAGATGGTGTTTTCACTGCTGTTACTGTTAACTTTGATCATCTTGCTGTATGACTATAAGTAGAAACTCTTTATCTGTGGAACATTGAATAGGACAATTATATCACTAACATTGATTATGACAGGTAAACAAATAGAGTTCATGTTCACTGACAAAAGGGAGCAATCTTTATTCAATTAGAAATAATTGCAAGTAGCATAAGTCATTTTCTCAACATTTTAAGATGAACGCTTTTTGTAAGGAAAAGGGAAATATTTTTTTAAATATTTCAGAGCAATTCAATTTTTACCAATCAACTGCTACCTTAGTTTGAAAAGAACATTTCCAGAAGCTTAATCTTATCATTAGCTCTGCCTAGTTCAACAAAATAAAAAAAAAAAATTACCTGGTGCACACATGATTTCATTCTTTTTAGAACGAATGCGCAAAAATTTGAGGTCATTAGTTGGGTCAATATCTCTGACTATACTGCGGGCTTTGGAGGTCAAACTGTGGATGAGGCTTGCATACTGCACAGTGGTAGAATTGTCAAGTGTTGTCTTAATAGGAATACCTGAAAATTCATATTTGAGCTTAGAATATATTGGTCTAATTTTTATTTAAATATCAACTGGGCAGACAGATTAACAAATTCAAAACTGTGGTAAGATACCAACATTCTACCCATAGAATATTACATTAAATAGAGTGTTTGTTGATTTGAAATATACACAAGCAATATTATGCAAGCTCATCAGGTAGATACTAATGTGGAAACTACAAGTAGTAAGAGGGTGTGGGAGAACCAAGATCATGTGGATCAGAATAATTAGACAGTCAAAGCCTATGATAACAGCATGAAGAGACATTATGCTGATAAACTGACATGGCAAAATATAGAAAGGATAAAGCTGCACTTTTGCATATTTAAAGATTTTTTTAATATCCCCATAATTAAACATTAATGCTTTTATCAAGTAAAGTGTTATAAAAATTATGAAACTGAACAGATATCTTTATTTTAGGTCAATGCATTTTGATATATCCATACCTTCGCTGTTAACAACAATAATCCCAATTACTCCTTTGTGTGATTGGATCCTTTTAAGAGTTTCTTCAACTTCAGCAGCCTAAAACAATGTAGTAAATTGAAAATTGGTAATCTAAAATAACATAATGAATGATCTGGTCTTTAAAGTCTAGAGTATGATGTGAACATATTTTATTTATTTTTTTTGTCATTATATTCCTCTAAATTCATTGCCTTTTAACATTTAAGGGAAATAAATTGTGCATGAGCAGTCATTGCTGTTTTTAATTCAAATGTCAAATCATTTTATTTAGTTATACAATAATGGCCCCCTGGGCACATTGAGCCAGCTGAAACACTTAATCTTGCAAAACCCACCAGGAACGTGATTAATGTTTTTGTAAATATACTAATTTTAAATGATCACAGTACTTGTAAAAGTCTTTGATAATTAAAAACAACAATGAAAGTAGGCATAAAAGTTTACAAAAAATATATACATGTCTGGTGTTTGAACTGATGGTCTAGAACTCTAGCTTAAAAAGTTATAAGATTCAGCCTGACAAAAAAAAAATTAAAAAATTAAAGCAATTCTATGCTGCCCTCTGGACAAATTGGTTACCCATCTCTGGTTTAGATAATATATAATTTTTATACTGCAATGTCAGTACTCCTAATTCTGAGCATATAAGTATAAGCCTGATAGTCTGTCTCAGCACAACTTGACACTGACTGACACACGTTAACCTGACACTTTTCTACAGTACTAGTCTGGCAAATTAAAATTCTTTATGAAATAAATTGATTTTGGGGTTTAAAATTAAACTTATTCGTTAACATATATAATAGATTTTTAATATAAAAATAAATAAATTGACTGATTGGCCAGACTAGAACTGAGAACTTGTTCATATTGTTCCGATGACTCACTAGGTCCCTAATTTAGTCAAAATAGTAAGTGAATAAAGTCCGTATTCAATCTAACATTAATTTTTGTGTTTCGTTTTACCTTGTATAACTTAAGGAAATTATAAAATTAATGGATACATCAATAATAAATAAGAAATTAACTCCAAATAGTGTTACCATTTCTTGCAGTCTGTTATCACCGTTGCTAGGATAGGAGAGGAAGAATGTCGAATACCGGAAGCGATGGCTGGTTAAAATCAAACGAACATCAAATTAATTTTTAGACTTGCGCAGTAAAATAATAAATCCTATTTTACAATATTTAAAATAGCATTAAATCGTAATCCTAGAATCATACATGTTTAAAATAAACAACAACATGTAATTACAAAAACTATTTGATTTTAAAGAAATAAAATTGTAAATTTCCAGTTTTTAAATATTGGAACCCCTGTTCTCCCTCTCCACACTTGGCTTTGTTGTTTAGTCAGTCGGGGGTCGACTATGCCCACTTTAATCATCAAAGTTTGTGCTGGTTCTGTCTGTGGGTGCGCAGATGGCTATGAGGCCGATTCTGGCACGAAATTCTCTTGTGCAGTAGGTGCAGGGGAATGATGGCGCATCCCCGGGAGCAGAGTCAGACCGGGCCTTCCTGGCATGTCTCTTGCGCTCTGCAGACGCTGTTCTGCCAACTTCGTGTTGCATGGAGCTCCTGTGCAAAGTGGAACGCCATGGAGTTCGATCCTTTGCTTGTTCCTCCAACGTGTCTAGGTTTAGGTTGAACGCTTTCAGTGAGGCTTTTATGTTGTCTTTAAAGCGTTTTTTCTGTCCGCCAGCAGACCGCTTTCCTTGTTCACGCTCACCATAGAAAATTCTTTTGGGAAGACTGACATTCTCACAACATGTCCCGCCCAGCGAAGCTGGAACTTCATCAAGATTGTGAAGATGCTGGGGAGACCTGCCCGTGTGAGCTCCTCAGTGTCTGGGACCCTGTCCTGCCATTTAATACTGAGGATTTTTTCTGAGTCTTTTTGAATGAAAGTGGTTCAGCAATCTTTCATGGCGTTGGTTAGACTGTCCACGTTTCACAGGCATAGAGAAGCGTAGGGAGAACAGCCGCCTGATATACCTAACTTCAGTTTAGTTTCAGTGTTGATAGCTCTTCTGGTCCATACGTTCTTAGTCAATCTTCCATAGGTTGCACTGGCCCTTGCAATACGTAGGTTAACCTCGTCATCGATGGTTGTGCTTTGGGACAGTGTGCTAGGTTTTACTTACCCAGTGGCGTAGGAAGGGTGGACTGGGCGGCAATTTTTTAATTTATATTTAGGGTAGACAGTTTCAGCAAATTACAAAGTTTTTTTCGTAGAAGGGCGTTGGACAAATAGTGTTGTCCTCCCTGGGTGCCACTAACCTTAGCTAAGCCCTTCACGTTCCCAAATGTTCTGAGCATCATCATAAACCATAATAATCATTTATTATAAAAGTGCCATAATACACCGGGCTTCCCATAACATGCCCAATTGCAAGTATACATGCGATCTTCCCACGGCCGGCCATACGGTTGCTGGCGCCTCGGACAACCTTAACTTTGGCGCCCAAGTATAATCATAAACATGTTTGCAAGGACAAAAACTAGGGGTTAGATAAATGGGGTTAGAGTCTATTAGTCCTACCTAGATTAAAAAAGAAAACAATGACAAATAATAGGGTTTTCCTTCAATGATCTTTGGCCAGGATAGTATCAACAATGGACCTTTGAGCCTAGCGGTGACCATTGTTTTTCTCTAGCCTTTATATCAGCACATCTTTGTACTGCACCTATTATATTTATATTCTTCGTACTATCATTGTCTATAGACAAAATTGCCTCAGTCTCGAGACATGGATAATTCTAAATATGTTTTTTAAAACCTTTTCACTAAAGCTGATATCGCCGGCGGTAGGCCTATTGTAACCGTAAGCATTATTTTTTAACGCTACCCACAGATTTGACATGGCAACTTGTAAAAACCTATTAGTGTTTATGGTTATTAATGAAATTAGCGGCTTCTATTGGAAGCCTACATATAATTCTTTGGCTATATCTTTTCTTGATACTTAGCCTATACTTAATCTCCAAATCATGATGACATGCTATTTTGAGCTTATCTTTGTCTAACAGATTTTGTTAGGCCATTTAAAATCCCATGTGTTATTGGAACTTTGCAACTGTTCAAGTTTTCCTTATAAAAAATGTAGGCCTATAGCTCTTTCCACGGTCCAGTATTACATTGAACACGTGATTTTAAAAAAAAATCTGGTCCATCTGCATTTGGAACCTCGTCAATGATTACGGTCAATGCACTCATATTCAAACAGCCCCCGTCTTCCCCTTCTTCTATTTCTAAAAACTGTCTCTGCGAATAATTCTGTAGCAATTTTTTGTTATTAGTGACTCTAGTGCACAAACGAATCTATTTCCACGATAATCAATTAAATAATCAGTGACACTATTTATTATTGAAAATGCAGGAGATATTTCCACAGAGGTATCCTTGCATAGTTTTGCTGGCACGTTTACCTTGCTTAAGATAGACCAAACATTTACCATCACTAAAAAATCACAATCTTCTATTTGTGATTCAAGTCGTGTTTCTGCTTCATGTCGCACTGAAAGATCAGACGCAGATATTACTGAAAGTTCACAAAGAGATTCTCGAATTCTCGTCATTTCCTGTTTAATGGCTCTGAGACATTCCATTGTGCACTCCCACCCAGTCTCACATAAAGGGTTTAAAGCGCGTCAAGTTAACTTTAAAAACACAAAAAATCATGGCATCGTCCAGGAGAGGCAGAAAAGAAAACATCATATATTGATATCCAGGCCTACATACCGTAGCAAAGAGCCAAGAATTCGATGCACATATAAAGGGAGCAGGGGTATTTATCAGCAGCGACTTTTGCCACCACTTCTTGTGTACATAGACCATTTATTTGTATTTATTTATTTATTTAGGCATTTGTATAGCGCTTACCTTACAGCTCTAAGCGCTTTACAATTTTTAAAAAATATGTAAACTATTTAAACTGCTAAAGTAAAATAAAAAAAATGAAAACAAGAGAGACTAGAACAGTAACTACAATGTTAAAAGTGACTATAAAAAAACAGTAGCTAAAACATTAAAAATGGCTATTATAACAAGAACACTTTGACACATTTTGGCATATAAATTGAAAAAAAACATAAATACAAAATCAACCCGAGACCGAGGCAGGGCAGGGAGGGTGCATCACAGGTCATAGGCGGACCTAAACAGATGGGTTTTAAGGGACTTTTTGAAAGTGGACGAGGTTTCACAATGACGGATGTGGAAGGGGTTATCTGGTTTCAGACGTGGGAGCATGGAAGTAGAAGGAGCGTTCACCGATGGTCTTAGTTTTGATTCTTGGGATTGAGAGGGTTCTATTGTCAGTTGAAGAGCGTAGTTGTCTTGTGGGGATGTAAGGAAGCAACAGTTCAGAGAGATAGACAGGAAAATGAGGGTCAGTGAAAGAGTTGAAGCATAGATTGGCAGACTTGTACTTGATGCGAGAGGATATTGGAAGCCAGTGGAGTTGCTGCATGTGTGGTTGAATGTGGTCATGTTTCTTTGCTTTAAAAATGAGTCTGCATGCTGAGTTCTGTGCCTTCTGAAGTTGGTCTATGTGGTGCTGAGGAATGCCTGCGAGAAGAGTGTTACAGTAGTCAAATTTTGAAAGAATGAGTGAAGAGACGAGAGTTTTTGTGGCGTCAAAGGAGAGGAGGTGTCTAATGGTGCTGATTTTTCTAAGTTCGTTGTATGCTGAACTGCAGATGTTTGTGACAAGGTTTCTGGCAGAGGACCAGAGTGTGATGTCAGAGTTGCCGATAGATATAGAAGAAGCATATAGGGCCTACTTTCAATAACATGCCCTATTCACATAATACATTAATCTTCCCATACCTTGCTCTATTCCCATACCATGTCAAATTGGTATAATCCATTATTTCTTCCCATACCATGTGAAATTGGTATAATCCATTATTTCTTCCCATACCATGTGAAATTGGTATAATCCATTATTTCTTCCCATACCATGTGAAATTGGTATAATCCATTATTTCTTCCCATACCATGTCATTTTGGTATAATACATCAGTTCTTCCCATACCATGTCCAATTGCAAGTATACATCAGGAATTGATTAGTGTTTTTCAACCTGATGTCGACTCTTTGAACACAGCAGCGCTGATCCCAAGATGTAACTCTTCTGCACTGATCCCAAGATGTAACTCTTCTGCACTGATCCCAAGATGTAACTCTTCTGCACTGATCCCAAGATGTAACTCTTCTGCACTGATCCCAAGATGTAACTCTTCTGCACTGATCCCAAGATGTAACTCTTCTGCACTGATCCCAAGATGTAACTCTTCTGCACTGATCCCAAGATGTAACTCTTCTGCACTGATCCCAAGATGTAACTCTTCTGCACTGATCCCAAGATGTAACTCTTCTGCACTGATCCCAAGATGTAACTCTTCTGCACTGATCCCAAGATGTAACTCTTCTGCACTGATCCCAAGATGTAACTCTTCTGCACTGATCCCAAGATGTAACTCTTCTGCACTGATCCCATATTGTTACTCTGCCAGGCTTTTTATTCAGGGTTACCTCCGCCTGGTCTTTATTTCAGCCCACTATTTCCTTGTACCCCCATATCCTTTGGTTGCAGTAATGCCAACAATGCAGACAATTAAAACACTGCACAGGTTACGGCCATCTTTGACTAGCATTGAAAACTTATTTTCTTTGGGCTAAAATCACCAATCAAACATTATTTTAAACAAATAGGGAGAAAAGTATTTTTTAATTTTAAAAAATGACAAACTGCCATGAAAATTCATATAGTCAATTACACAAAAATATCCTGTTAAAAGTCATTGCTAAATTATTAATTTTTCAATTGAGTTAAAGTTCGAGTAAATGTAAAATTATATCATAATATATATGACTCATTTACATTTTTAACAAATATAAGTTTACATACAGAAAAATATTTTTAAAGATGATAAGTTGACATCAGTGTATGACAAAGTCTTAAATAAAAGCTAGTAGCCTTCTCTGTCCACTTATTGGCAGACTAAGAACATTTGAGAGTTTTCAAAAACCTTTTATTTAACTGGTTTGAACAATGTCTTGTCAAATTTTGTATTTCAACTTCTTTGAAGTCATTTTAACTGCTTATTTAAAGAGGAGCAAGTACATACACTATAATTGTTGTTCTTATCTCTTCCTCCCCACCCCCCCCTCTCCCCCCCCTCTCTCTCTCTCTCTCTCTCTACACACACACACACACATATATATATNTATATATAATATATATATATATATATATATATATATATATATATATATATATAAAACTGCAGTTTATCTAAAGGGAAGGGAAAATAATTATTTTAGTAAACAGAAAATTTAATAATTTAACTAAATTAGCTTTAGCTAATTAGCTTTGAGGTAGTTCTATGGATATTAATCATAAATTAATATAGAAAATGCATCATAAAATATATTAGCACAGTCTAAAGTTAGAAACAAAAAGTTGGCAAAAAAAAAAAAGAATTTTTCAAGAGTTATAAGCTCTTCAAAAGCAAAAAATTGAAAAAGAGGTCATAATTAGTGCATGGAGTTACATTGTTGGGTAGTTATGATGAAATAAATTTTAGAGTGCTCCATACAAGTTTTTATTTGCCTGATTTTTGGCAGCTCAAAGCAATGGCATGCTTCCTTTTTTCTTTAATTTTCCATCATAGTTCTTATGTGTTTAAAGTTTATAAACGTAGTAAGAATAATGCAAACAGGGATTTGCATTTAAAAAATTTTAACTGCGCAGTGTGCTTATCTTAAAAAGCATATTTTTATTGCAATTCTTTGTTTAAAAAAATATTTATAACTGATGGATAAATAATTAAATTCTTTCAAGTATTAAAAAGGTATATATTGTAATAGTGTGGCACAATTAAGGGTAAACCATTTTTTCTCAAAATAATAAAAGGAAAAAATTAAAAAGAGATAAAGAAATGAGAGGACAGAATACTTTTTATCAAAATGAAATATCCTGGCTAAGTTATAGGATTTCGATAAGCAGCTGATATTTTCAGAAGATACAACAATTAAAGAATATTTTAGTGAAACTCAATAACATTCAATACACCCAAGTTTTAAAACTTGATAACTGTTACATCCAAACACAAAATATAGAATTGACATTGGAATTGCTATCATCTTACAAGAAGAGTCTTGTTTACAAATTATAAGGAACAATTGAATACTAGAAAACACACATTTCTTCAACAAACAAACAAAGAAAAAAATCATTTAGGGATAATTACCTCACTTAAGAAAGCTGTCATATGTTTAAATAAATTGTTATTAAATAAAGACAGATTCGGTCCATTTTAAGCTGACATAAAAAAAAATTTAAGTAAATAATTTAATAACATTTTATTAAAAAAAATATGTATTTCATTTTTACAATAAATTGATACTACCTTATCATTGCATTTGAACATCCTTTCATGTATATAAACTATGTAATTGGACAAAAATCATTTTACAAAAAATTGTGTGATTTAAATTCATGAATCCATTCCGAACAAAAATGTGTGATATAAAATCATTATTCAATTCAAGCTGTTTCTCAAAAAGTACAATAAAAATATATTATCTACCCTAGTTGTTCCTCAAAAAGTCACATACTGTAAGATTACATTTTATATTCACATTGTTCTTTAAAAAGTAACATAGCATGAATCCCAGTGAAGTGGATTACCCTATAAGGATAAGAATGTTATTTGGATCTCAAATGTTATGAGTAGTTTTCACAATGTCTTTGTCTGCAGTATTATTAGTATCATTGGAACCCAGTGACAACTGTCCAGATAGAAAATGTAACTCAATATTTATTTTCAAAATCATCCTCAAAACATTAGAACCCAAACTTAAATTAATTAATATAAAAAATAAAATAAATAGTCGTTACTTGAACATTAAATTGTCAGATTTCTTTTTCATGACACTTAGTTTCCCTCCCTCCATGTCTGTTAATCTCTACACTTAAAATAAGGCGTTGAGACAGCTAACGAAATAAACGAATTTAAGAAACAAAAAGTATGCTCTTCAAAGATACATTAGCACTTTAAAAAAATAGATAACAATAACAGATGCAGCACCTGTCTGTGTCCTCCTTAGATGAAGAAACATAATTTTTTAAGTTGAAAATTTTTTAAATTGCAAAGTAAATTAGTATCTTTCTTAACAGGGGAATCTCTACGGCAGGGTTCTCAACCTGTGGTGTCACCTAAGACCACCGGAAAACACATATTTATGAAGTAGCAAAGAGAATAATTGTTTGGTTTGGGATCACCATAACATGAGGAACCGTATTAAAGGGGTCGCAGCATTAGGAAGGTTGAGAACCACTGCTCTAGGGTGATGTGATGGAAACGATTTAAGCAGTGTGTTGTCCTTGTAATGGGAAAAATCTGGAGCTCTTGTAACAGAAATGCCACTGTTTATTAATTATAAAGCAAGACTTCCACTGTCTAAGCAAAAAAGAATTGTTGCCAAGAAAGCAGTTAAAAAGTATTAATTTAATAATTTACAGTGATAAATGGAAATAACAGTGCCTTGACGATAATCCTTCCATTAAAAAAAAGAAGATAAATAATAACATCACAAATCTTAAACTTTTTGGCAAATGCATGAATAAATTGTAGCATCTAGAATAAATTACAGTAAAATATTTATTCTTTTCAAAATGGCTCACTTATAAAATAGACATAACTTTTGTTCATTTTGTAGAACAAAACATAAGCCCCTAGTTGGCTAGGAAGAATAACATCAGTCAGTTTTTGTTGAGGATACTGACGAGGTATCCGTCTCAGTGAACTTGATGTTTTTCATGGCAGCCGGCTGAGAAGACCTGAGAACAGATCCCCTTTCACTTGGTTGGTCGTCCTCTCCCCGTACAGAGTGTAGACTAAATTTGACACCTCCCGTTGACTCAAGTTCCTCTTCCTCATCTCCGCTGTTGTTAGCAGAGTTCACTTCAGACCTTTCGGCTAGTTCATGTGCACTAAGTGACCGAGGCTGTCGGATACCGGCCTCGTCATTAAAAAATTCGGCCTGTGATGCACACGAGGATCGACGGCGCAGGCTGGACATGGCCAGATGGCGCTGTTCAGTCTCATGGCTGATGTTAGGCTTTCGACCAGTATCTACTGCCTCACCAATCATGCACACAATATGATTGAATGCCTTAGGGCGGTCTGCGTACACGTGATGGCCAGCACCACTTATAACCTGTGGGGAAAGATATATTTTACTTAATGTCAAAGTGGCTACTAGCTACAGTCACATAACACCTGGACCTCCACACCTGGAAACCCACATCCATACCTTGAAATCCACATCCCCACATGCAAATCTAAAAACACACCTGAACATCCACGTAGTTGTCATGGCGTTGATACTTTGTTGAATATCCAGGCTGCGAGTCGACCCAAGAGCGAGCTCCGTATATGAACGTAACATCAAGCTTGGGATCCCAGGTGGTTACTCTCTCTATCAGTGGCTTCTTGGCCCAACCAAAGGGGATGGACACACGACTGAAGCCAACTTCTCCACTAAGAGAATAGGAAACAAGCATTCAAAGATAAGACAACTCACCAATTTTTGTGGGTTCAGTATTTGACAATGATGAGTGTGTTAAATAAAACAGACAGGGAAACCTTAATTTTAGCAATTAGTTCAGAGTGCTACTATTGCATTATGTTTTTTTTTCTCCAATAAATGCAAAATGCCATGATTGAAAATTTTAATATAAAATAATACAGTGTTAGTGACTAAACAAGATGCACAGTTAAGATACCATGGTTTAGTTATTAAAAAGCACTTATTCACATTATGATGGTATATTTTACTATCAAATGAGAAATAACTTTTTGAAATAGATTTAGTTATACAGTTCTTCAAGATTCTATAATAAATATTTCAATGTTTTTAGAAAGATTTTGAATATATATTACTTTTAATGATGTGCCCTTGAAATTTAAATAAGAATTGACCAATTTCAAACATGAAATCAAGAGAAGGCAACATTGATGTTAACATTTCAAAGCCAAATATAAATAAATCTATCCCATATTTACTGACATAAATTAGACATGAAAATAGTCAACGCTATATTAATGTATCAAACCAATCAATCAAGTATAATCATGTTCAAGGGTTTTGGCAATTTTATTTCTACAGGCCTCAATCCAAAAGTAAGATTTTTTTAAAAACATATTTTAATTTATAATTTGATGGCTTAAAAGTAAAAGGTTTTTAGGCATTGTGTATAGTCTGCTATTGAATCGTTAAACCCTTGTGGATCCTGGCACTATTCATAATATGCCTATGGAACAGAGTGACCATACATGTAGTAAGCATAAGTCAGGCAGACACAATAGGCCAGATAGTTAAGTAGTTCAAATTAAAAAGAGATGTGCCAATTATTTACCACTAGGAAACACCATGGATTCATTCATCCATTGCTGAGGCAGGGGAAGTAATTCTATTAGTTCCCTTTTTATGCCAGAATATAAAAAAATTTAATCTTTCATTGGGACACAATATTACCAACATGGATGAAATTGATAGAACATTACTAATAATAATTAAATTGTAAGAACATTAACAATAAGAATTAAATTTTTAGAATATTACTTTATTCAGGCCTGCACAACTCAAAATGTAAGGTGGGCTGTTAATAGGACAGGGGGAAGCTATTAAGAAAATAATAATAAAAATGAATATTTCGTTACTTCGCAGGTCACAAAGTGGGTGCTGGAAAGCTGTATGTTGTGCAGGCCTGCTTAAAATAGTACTCAACAATGATAAACTGTTCTTTTTTATTAATTTAACTTTGTTTTTTTTTCATTTTTGAGAAATAGGAATGTATTATTAAAACCTTATTTCTAACACCTTGACATGAAGGATGCGAGTTTATTGGATTTAACTTCGGTACAGAAATTTTTAACCAACTTGGAGAGCTAAAATTTAGCAAAAAGCTTACTCCTGCAATACATTTTTAAAATAAAAATTCAAAACACCCTTTAAAAAAAAAAAATCAAATGTAAGCAAAGGGGATTTGAGGGAAGGAATTTTGCATAAATAAAACATAAGAGGCAAGAAACTTTGCGTTTGTTAAGTTATGCCCTTGCCAATGCTTTAATAAAAGGTTGTTCCCCAAATCAATTAGATTTTAAAAATATATTTCCTTGTTATATTTGGCCTTCACGTCCAGGTAAAAAATAAATAGGCTTTAAAAACTGTTAGCAGTGCATTAGTGATAACATTTCTGATCCATAAATACAACTGAAACATTGAAAATTAAAACGTTAGAAAATTAAGTTCATGACAGTTATTTTTTTTGTACTGGAATGGGTTACAATGAAGGCATGACATGAACAAAATGCTATTAGATTTTTTAAAAAAGCAACACTAAAAAAAAAAGAAACGAACACAAAACAAGCATTTAGAAAGATTAAAAAAAAAAAATTTTACAAAAGCAAGAACTTGAGGTCATGCATTATTTAAATTCAGATCATGCATAATTTAAAGTCAAAGTCATGCACTACTTTGGGCCATATATCGAATAATTTACTTACAGTGTAACAAGGGCAGTTTTCAAACATCCAAATTTGTTCTTTCATTTTAAATACCATTTTATAAGACAACTTGAGTTCACTGAGGTGAGTAAGATACCGGTACTTCTGATTACAAGCAGGCACTACCTAACACAGTGTAACAGCTTATTAGTAGGATGGAAAAGCAATTTCTTCAGAGGTTAGAGGTCAATACTAAAAAAAAAAAGTATGCACAAAAATAATAAATTATATGATGCCCCAAATTCGGAACACTGCGACCAGGTGTGACATATAACTGTACCTTGGAGCACCACAGGTGTTACAGGTGTACAGGTAATCAGAAACTGTGTAGTCTAAGAAGTAACGCTCAAACTTCCTACCCAAATCAGATCTAAGTGATCGGAAAACAAGAGGACCTGGAGATGTAACGGTCATGCAAGATCAGATTAATTATAGAAAACAAGGTCAGGTCATTGTCAATTAGTCTAGTAAAATTTCCTGAAGATGTTCCTCTGGAAAGGTGTTGTTTGAGCTTTCTGAAAGATAATCAGTAAACTTTTAATTATTGGTGGGTCATCATGCAGGTCATCAAACCGAGTGTGAGAATCCCAGAGCTGAAAACTGAAAGCTTCGAGTTAAAACAATACAAAGCACATGGGGGATGTGGGAGGGCCGGGGGGGGGGGGTGGGGGAGAGTTTTATTGAAAGCTGAATGTGTTACTACCTCATGCTATGCATCATCCACATGTAACAGTAGTCCTGCATTGTTGTTTCTGGGTAAAAGCGAAATGCGTCCTGGCGCAGTAATTTCTGCCGCTCTAGCAGATCGGCTGTGTCCTCTGTGCTACCGCTCATTTTTACAATGAAGGTGGCTTTAATGCCTAGCTTAAATATTCGAAACAGTGTCAAGGCTGTGGGAGATCAGGATCACACTTGTTATACAGTTAATTAATGCAGCAATGTCTTAGCTTTTCTGTGTATAAAAATTCAGATTTAAATATAAAGAATGTGACTGGTAAAATGACTGAAACAAACAAATTGTTTTCTGACAAGGTATGAACTTTTTTGTTTTAAATATATTTTTTATAACATAATTTAAGGTATGACATGCTTTATAAATAGCTTTGTAAGAATGAAATTTATAGGCCTTCCATGTTTTCTCTAACTTCCCTTAGTGATAAAATCACTCGCTCTCACAATTTGTTCATTTATTTCATAGTCTACTTTGGCCACCAAAACCCACTCAAACATTTTCTTACAAAGGTATTGGTCTCATGCTTAAGTTCAATGACTCAGTATTGCATCATAAAATGTGATGCAGTGCAAAGGAAGACCATGACCAAATTCAGAATTATTATCCTTTGAGGAGACGAACTATCAGTACAAAAACTTTGTTATTAAATTGATGGGCAGCTAAATTTAAATTCATAGTTTTCTAGTGTGAGCCGTCTTGGTGGACATTATGTTCTGAAAAACCGCTTAATTCTGATGGCAGACCATGTCACAAATGAGATTTTCAGAAAACCTCCTCTTTTCGCTTTCTGGAGGGACAAGAGCCTTAGGGACATGCTAGTTAGAAGCCCCCTCCCTGCTATTAAAGCACATAAAGGCACAAAGAATTGCAACCGTAGCCATTGTAACTCATGTCCCTACGTGATCGAAACTGATAAGATCACTTTCCCTCTGGAAGTATTTAGAATAAAAGTTGGCTTTACCTGCACAAGTCGCAACATGATTTACACCATTATTTGCAAAAAGTGTGGTAAATTATTCATAGGAGAGCACCTCTTTAACATAAATAAACACGCTCTCTGCCCGGTCTCCAAACATTTCAATAGCCCTAACTATGATGGTATCTCAGACATCACAGTTACTGGTATACTCTATACTAGTAACACTACAGATAGAATCTATATGGAGAACAAATTAATAACTAGATTTGGTAGGTTGTCTCCATATGGAATGAACCAAATCCACAATTTTACCTAACTGTCATGTCTTTTTCCTGTTTGCTTTTTACAATTATGTTAAAATCACTTCCTTTCTACTCCTCTTTATTTTGTTTTTGTCTGGTTTTAGCGCCCTCTCCTATTTTTCTGTTTTAGGTAGGATATGTATAGTAAAATTATGTAAATTTAATTTATACTTATTTCAATGTGTTTTGTTTGTTTGTACTGATGAAGGCATGTGCCGAAACGTTTACTTATGTATAATGTATAATTATTATTAAAGCTTCATTATATTGTTATATTGACACAATTTGTTTGTGTCTTATTAATCTATTTTAAAGCTTTATTGCAGTCCAACACTTTTTATAATTGGACATTATGTAGTACAGAAAGAAATTTAAAGTACACAGTGTCTAAAAATTTATTTTAAAATATTTTTTTAATGAAAATTAATCAAAATCCTTTGATTTAATTACTAATAATGCGTAGATCAGTAATGAATGAATGAGGGAATGTAACTCTAAAGATTTAAAAATAGCAGTTATTTAACCTACACTGTAACAAGGGCAGCTATCAAATGTGGACCACCAACTTTAAAAGTTCATACTTACCCAGCCCATAGATAAAAAGACACTTAAGACAACAACGTTCCAATGAGTCATCTGTTTATCTTTCAAGTTAAGACTTAAATCAAAACAACTTGCATTTGTTCTGTTTTGTTTCATTTGTCATGATGTACTATATATTTTAAATGCCAAATTTGTGGTGATATGCATGGCTAAATTGCCCTGATTTAGTGTCCCCCAAAAAAAGCAGTAAAAAAAATGACTACATAACAACTACTTTCATTTTGTAATTTTTTTGGAATTTTTGTGAAGGAAGTTATTATACAATACAAAGAAGGGGAAGTTACTCATAAAGTTCCATGTTGCAATGCAATTCCAGAGCCCAAGGGAACATGACGAGGATAATGGTTGTTGTAATTTGACAAAAATCAATAAAAAGTTTTATGAGATCATATATAATATCTAATACCTAATGGCCCAAGAATACGTAGTGGGGTGAATATGTTCATTTTGCCATAGAGCTTGGACAACAGCAGCAGACTTTTATTCCTCATAAAAGGTCGCATGTCAGCAGCTGGTGGTCGTTGTGGAAAACCCCAGGGGTCAGCAAGGATCAAGTGCTTTATGCGTTGAGGATACTTCATGCAGTAAACAGCTGAGAGATAGCCACCATAACTGTGACCTGACATAATGTTAAGAAAGAATTTATTATTAACGAATCCAAGACATTATTTATATTTTTTTAAAATATGTAAGCATCATTTTAAATAAAGAAAATCTTGATAACAAAGCAACCACTATCCGTCAGATCAGCTCCATCCGCCACTACCTCACAGTTAGCGCTACAAAAACTCTAGTCTGTGTTCTTGTTCTCTCTCGTCTTCACTATAGCAACTCTCTTCTGTCAGGTTCACCAAAATACTGCATAGAAGAAAAACTGCAGAAAGTTCAAAACTCAGCTGCTAGGCTAGTTCTAAAGGCAAAAAAAAAACGTGATCACGTCACTCCACTCCCTTCATTGGCTCCCTATACAGGCACGCATTGACTACAAGTTGTCTGTTCTCTGTCACAAGTTTTTCTCGGATTCCTGCCCTTCCTATCTAACCGAACTTCTTTCTGTCTATTCATCCCTTTGACAGCTTCGCTCCTCCGCAGACACGTGTATTCTGTCTATTCCCAAGACACACACTTTCTCTTTCTGCGCCCCCAAACAATGGAATACTTTGCCACTACACATCCGCAATATACCAACCACCCAGGCCCTGAAAACTGCTCTCAAAACACATCTCTTTAAACTATACTACCCTGACTGATAAATGATCCTGCTGGCCGCCCTCCATGGTTTGCCTTGTAAAAGTTCTGGGGTGGGTGGGTGAATGTACATTTGTTTTTGTTTTTTGGTTACATGCTGTTCTTTATTTCATAAATGTATTTTATTTTAATGTCATGATTATGTCTCTTTTGATAATAGTTTTATGTACAGCGCGGTGAGCCAAGCCCTAGGTTGGGGTACCGCACTATATAAGACCTCTAATTATTATTATTATTAATTGAGAAAAAAAAATGAAACAAATGTATATAACATGGTTTAAGCCAAATTACATCTGAACAAGTTGATGAAGCCAACAATATTGTATAGCTAACAATATTGTATTTTTTGGTACTCAGTGGAGATAATTGGTTTATAACGCTGGAATAGTGGAATGGATTTAGTGTTATTTTTCTGTAGCAATGTGGGATTAATGCTTTGAGCTTTCTTATTGACTATTCCTCTTTTTTTGATAGGAAATCTCAAAGCATTAATTATATCAGTAAAATTTATTTATAAATTATTATTCTCTAAAACATACTCTTAAATCTCAAGACATACCGAGTAGAATAACTTCATTCAGGGCCACTTTCTGAAACCAGAGCTCTAGAATTTCAGTATAAAAGGTTTCAATGTCGTCAGCGGTGGTGTCAACCCACCAGCCATCTTCGTATTTGACACGCAGATCTGGTCGACTGCTGAGTCCAAAGCCAGGTAGGTCTAACAATATCACATCTCGCTAAAATGTAATTGAAATATATTATGAAATATAGTATGAAGAAAAAAAGATATTTATAAACACAGCATTAATATGGTACTTTTACACAAACAAAAAAAACCATGGTAACCAGAGAAAGCAACACACTGCTGCATTAGGATGTCTGAGCATGTACACATGTAAACTATAAGTATAAGTGAAATCACCAAAAAATAAAATACAGTACCTGTTCAGCCAAATCATCAATGTTGTTTAGGAACATATTCGCCCCGCCCCCCATTCCATGTATCACAACTAAGGGTATAGAGTCTCGTATATCACCCTCCACCTTAACAGTCCAAATGTCATGAATTTTGTCACCAAGGGCAACTTGAACCCACTCAGCATGATTTTTGTGAGTTATTCCTGAAACATTGATCAAATATTATTTCACCATTGTCAGACATTTACAATGCGCCTTAAAAGTTGGAGACATTATTCTACATAAAACAAACAAGAGAGTGAATGAAACTAAATCATCTACATCTTTGTGGTTTTAAAAAGAGGCTCTACTGCTAGAGCTCGTCACTAAAAATTATTTTGTGATGTTACGCTTAAAGGCTTATTTATCACCCCCTCTCACATATTCATTAATGTATGATTCCCATCTCTTGTCTTATGTGATATCATATGTGTATGTGACCACTGATTAAGAGCCTTAACACTCACTTGAACGAATTGTTTTGTCCAGGCGCATTAGCCAACTTTTAGAGGATGGGGTCCATCGAAGCTTTAACCAAGAGTGAAATCTGCATATGGTGAAATTATAAGTCATTTGGTGCACTTGATAGTTACAATTAAATTAAGATAATACTATATCGCCACTCACCTACTGGGGATTGTGGGGTGTCCACAAATGTATAAATAGTTGGGGCCGGGGAACCCCCTAGCCCTAGAGATACAAGACAGAATTTATTTATGGCCCCTGGCCCTAGCCCTATTATGTCTACAGTCCAGGAGACATAATTTATTGATGGCCTCTATCCCTACTATGTCTACAGTCCAGAAGACATAATTTATTGATGGCCTCTATCCCTACTATGTCTACAGTCCAGACATAGTATAAAAGTCAAATAAATTATAATAAATACTTAATAATAATGAAATTTTACATGTGCTTTTCATATTATAATGTATTCCTTTATTAACTTAATATTTATATATTTTTTTAGGCTTCAATATAATTTATTATGTAATAATTTAGACTACTATTATTTTTTTAAATACCGTATTAGCCTAGTCCTAATTTAATACTTTCTAGCCTAGGGGTGTCCAACCTTTTTAGTCCGCAGGATAGACCCCCTGGTCTAACCTAAAATAATAAACTTGACCAACAAAATAAAATAAATAAATCAAAATTGTCCAATATTATTAATAGTAATTAATATTAGTATTAGAATTAGGCTAAATACTTCTACTACTACTAATACTAATACTAATAGTAACAGGGCATATTTAGTGGCCTAGAAAAGCACACTGAATTAATATTAATAATAAGTCTTTTAATCTTAAGGCCGTCAAAATTCAAAATAATTAACTTAACAAATTTAGGCTACTAGTAATAATAATAATATTGATTAAATTAGTCAAGAAAACTGACATCAAAAGAGCCAAATCCTGCATTTGCACAAGAGACTTGACAAGAGACATATTTAATTTTTAATCTTCAAATATAATATAGTACTATTTAATTAAAATACAAATTAAAAACGTATCAATAAGTTGCAAAATTAGATCAAAGTATTTTTTTTAAAAAAGGGAACTCATGCTCGCGATTTCTGCTATTTTAAACTATTAAAATTTCATGTCTTATGATTCAGCAGTATTTTTTTTCAAAGCAACTGTGGACAATAATATTTTGGTACCTAAGTAAGGCTAAGGCCACTTACACTAACTTACAGACATTGTTCACCGCGATTGTAAACAAATTATTACAAACTATATGGGCTTTTAAAAATATATATCTAAGATTAAGATGCTAACAAGTGTGTACTTACAATGCTCTTATGATAGACGTGAACACTCTAAACGGAAGGACAATAAATAAATGAACTACCGACATTTTGATTTAAGTTTGTTTTCCATTTAACTTCACTTTATGTGACAAAAAGGAAACGGAACCTAACCCTTGTTTTCCTTTCGTAATCATGTACCTTACTGTAATTAATGTGAAACTTGAACCGGGAATATATGCAGTACAGATTCATTTGGGAAAAAAAATAAAAAATAAAAACAATAAAGACACTATTTTTATTTTAAAAGACAATACAAACCATAATGTTTCTTTAAAAATTAAATTTACTAATTAATTATATATTTTTACATGGAAAAACAGCGAACCATATGGTTAAAATATTTATTTGTATTTACTTAGACGACTTGGTTAATTTTTTTTATATTAAATTCGTCGAATCTGAATTAGTATGTCAGTATTCGCTTAGTATGTCGCTTTATGTAATGTAATAAACAAAGCTGGTAATGAGGTGAACCCTGATTTAAATCAACTAATTGTAATAATACAAAAAGGTTTTAAATAATGATATAATTAATTATTTGATTGCTCTGAATTCCGGTAAAAGTTCTAGTTGATCAAGACAGGGGATTGTGATTTGAAGTTGCTAAAAATATTTGTAAAACATTAATTACATATATATTATAACAAAATATCATCTTTGGTTCGTTTTGATTTGGTAAGGTATAACAAATATTTTATGACTGATGCGTAATTTATTTAAATCTGGCAACAATTTCTGTGCCAAACCAAGGTTAGCGTGGCCATAATTTTTTGACCAATCAAATTTCGCAATTTTACTGATTTTACAGGCTGAAGAAGACGGGCCATTTTACTTCATCTTGGTCTCCATTTTGGCGGTAATATACTGTTTTTATTAGAAATAATACATTATTAGTCTCGGACGGCTTTCTTAAGTATTATAGAATAGCCAATTTTTTATGAGCTATTTGCTGCAGGTTTTAGTTAATATCTTCACGCGTATTATACATTTGCTTGTTTTGGACGTAAAAATTAAAATTCACAACAGCAACTTTGGCTAGTCCATGGCCAAAAGCTATCGTCAACTTTGCCAGCTTGCATTCGCACTTATAAAGGCCAAAAAAGATAATAAAAATATAATATTAAAATATAAAAAAAAATGTATTTTCATAAATTTAAATATAAATTATTGAGAGCTCTACCAATTTGACAAAATGAAACAAACACTTAAAAATAGGCTTTTCACTCTTACTCTTATAACTTATGTCTATGTAATTATTAATACTACCTTAAGACTTAAGGCTAAGTCTAAGCTAGGCCTTAAATATCAGTACAATAGTAGGCCTATAAATTATTAAAAAATATAGGCTATTTAATTTCTACGATTAATATATGTCCTGATAAATAATAGCAGTAGCATTTAAACGTAAAATATAGTTAAAGTTAAGCTTTTGTTGGTTTTATTTATGTTATCTAAAAGACCAAGGCTCAGAATACTCAGAGATGTCATCCAAATACTAAAAGTCCAAGGCACAGGTTAGGGGCCAACTATATACTATATACTACATTTGCAAAAAAAAACACGCACATTTCTAACCCCTGCCCCACAGCATATAAAAAATAGAGCCTTCACCCCCCCCCCCCCCCCCCATCTATAAATATAAAGCATGTCACACTCGGCACTCGGCATCTATGATTATATAATTATAAAGCATGTCACACTCGGGGGTGGGGGGGGTCTAAGAAAGTGTGACACGGGTGGGGGGGATACAGTTCTTAAATGATATCAAACGTGTTATAATTTTAATCATACAAATAAAACCTGAAATTGACTGTTGTGAGATAGATGAAGATATCTTCTAACAAAAGATTTAACTTTGATTATTAATGCATTGATCATTAAATTTAAATATTAAGTAGTTAGTGTGTTTTGTTTTAGATTAAATTTTAATGACTTGTTAATTTTTAAACAAATTTTAATTAAAAAGTGTGATGTAGGGTACTTAATGTAAATGGTTCTGAGATTTGTGACGGGGGAGCGAGGGGATAAAATTTTCCAAAAATAGCGTGACATACTTTATGGAAGGCCCCTAACTAACTTACATAAGTATTAAGTTTTTCGTTTTCTCCATTGCAGAGAGAGAATCAATTAGTCTCCAAACCTTTTTCCTGTCTGTCAGGTTAAGCTTTTAAAATAATGGATAATGAACATTTTTATGTGGATAACAACATATCAAAACCCTATAATTTTACACATGTGAAAATTTAATCTTTAAATAAAAAATATCAAAATCCATTAATCAAAATCCAAATCTATATAAACATAATAATAAAAGTCGGTGCGATTTGACTGTAACCGTCATGGAGTGTCACATTATAGATATGAGAATGAGGAAAATGAGGGGGCCGCATTGACACTAAACTTTGCGGTCATGTAGCATGCCACAAAATATCTGGAAACACTGCCATAACACATGTTTAAGATTTTGTCATTGGTTTTCTCCCCTTGGAAACTGCAGCGCTTTGGTTTAGCAGAATGAAATAAATTATTAGTATAGTTTATATAGGCTTTAGTGCCTTAAGTGTCTTTAGTGAAGTTACTAGGTAGGCCCATATATTAAATATAATATAACCAATTAGTTTTAAAAATTACAAGAGATACATTAAATTCAATATAAATTATAATGCATGCATGATGATATCCTACATTTTTAATCATTTTCAAGCTACTTGTTTCTTTTCAGTTATTCATTAAATGTTACCTAGTGGTAATTAAGTGTAAAAAAAAATGGCAGAGCAAGAGGATTCAGGGGAAATAAAGCAAATCTATACAGACAATGAGAACGAGAATGACAATGAGAATGAAAATGCTCAGGAACAAGAGAATGAAAACGAAAATGAAACTGAAGACATGGGAAATGATGATGCCGTAGATACCACAGCAGATTTCTTGAAAATTTTTCAAGGAAAAACTGAGTTTGACAGCTGGGAAGAATTTTCTACACTATTTGAAGAGTTCCAAAAAGAGACAGGCTCTGGTTGGTAAAATCATATATTTTTGTTTTTTCTGGTTTGAAACCCACTTTTACTATTATGCTACGATGTATGGTATCAGTTGACACAACTTCTTATGTAATGGCTGTATCCAAATCTTGATTCCCTTTCTCCTGCTTGTGAAAAATGGAAATAACTCATTGTAAATGATTCCTCACAGTCCAGTGCACTGAAAAGTTTGTTAAGCACTGTTACTAGGCTAGGCATACTTCAAACCAAATATTTAAATATCATCATATATCTTCTGTTGTAAGGGTAGCATTATTTTCTTGACATCATTGTGTTTTTAGTTTAATCCTAATAGTTAAATTGAAATATATACAGTATTAATTTTTTAATATCAGGAACTAGAAAATATGACCCAGTATTACTGGAGTAATAATGGTAGGTTTATTGGGCTAATTTCAACATGCTATTACTAATTCTCAGCATCTAAAAATAATTTTTTTACGATTTTAAATTAATCAGATTTTGATGTAAGATTTATCCTTTAAAAAAGAAAGAAAGAAATTACGTCATTTTCCACATACTTGAAATGTATGTTTAGGAAATAGTAAATCATACTTTTTGTTATTATACTAGTATTTATGGCTAGATGTTATAATTTATAACATCATTGAGTTTCGATACATTTTTATCTTGTATGTTATATAGGTCTACCCATCACTTTTTCACGCCCATAAACTACAAAGAAAACATTTTCAAAAAATTGTAAAAACATGTACTTGAATTTTAAAAAAAACCTTTGTACCATTTTAATTATCTTCAACATAATGGATTTTGATATTTGTTATTTAAAGATTAAATTTTGAATAGGGTTTTGATATATTGTTTTCCACATAAAAATGTTCCCACTCCCTTTCTTTCGCACTTAAAATGTATTTTAATGAATTGTTTCTTAATATAAACAAATTTTTATCCTCGTAAATTTGTGCCCACCCTTATCCTCGCTCCTGAACTGTATGGGAATATCTCGATGTCCTTAGTTTCAAAGTAAATCTTTTCAACTATTTTCTCCTTTCAAACTTTATTGAGTTTTGAGATATGGGTAGACTTATTTAAAGATATAGTCATGCTCATAAAAATAAACATACCATCTTTCCTCCCTTACTGTTTTTAAGAATCCCATTTATATTTAGAAATACAAAGTTTATCTTACAAGCATATTGTACACAAACTTGTGTGCCATTAGGTTACTTTTGGGGAATTTTACTTTTTGTGCTATTGAAACAGTTCTTTTAATTCACATGTTCTTTTCAATTTTTAAGAAGTATGAGATATTTCCTTTTGATTAAACTGAAATAAATAAGTTTAATTACCTCACGTATCAGTATTTAAAAAAATTTTCATTCTTTTATTTAAAAAAAAACTTTTTGGTTTTTAACAGTTGTTGGATTTTAAATTTTATTCATATAGCATTCAAGCCTAAATCTGCAACCAGTATTGAATATGCAAATGAAAGGCGTGTGAAAGACAAGATTCCAGATCGCTTTGTTTATCAGACAGTAAAGATGGTCTGTCAGAGTTATGGCAATCCCATTAAAAGAGAGAGTACTTCACGCATAGTTAAAAAGTAATTTTAATCATGTTAAATTTAATAAAATTGAATAAATAAATTTATATTTTCCAATGTAAGTGAAAAGATTGCCTGGTAATTGTAATAAATCTTTATTGATACTCATTATTAATGAAAGTTTCTTTGAGGATTTTACTCAGTTTTTCTAATGATATACATAATTGGCGGCTCGACAATAAGAATACCACTGATACAATTTTGATGTTTACAAATGTTTAGTCTGATGCAGTTAACAAGTTACACTCACTTTGTAATCTTTTGAAACATAGATTAAAGCACAATGTTTTTCTTTTAATGTTTCTTTCTTTTCAGATATGTTGGCTTGGGATGTGAAGCAATGGTTCATTTACGTTACAAGGCAGGAAGTCTTAATATAGTCAGCTGTAATTTAGAACATAAAAACCACAAACTGTTTTCCGGAAATGAAATAATCAGGTATGGTTGAAGCCATGAAATTTCTTTTAGAATTTTCCACCTGGCTTAATAAATTCACTTTGCTTATGTTATTTTAATGATGGAGAATGGGACTTTATTGGTTAAATAAAAACTATAAAACCTGCTTGATTTTAACACAAATTTCTTTCTTTGGTGTTTAAAAACCAGCAGGAGTGTGCGCTCATTTTCATTTACGGATGACATAGACTTTTTAATGGCAAAAGTTGTGATGGAACATAATCCATTCTCCACATGGAATTCTGAGAAAGAGTGGTTAGCTCTTGTTGAAGACCTGCAGAGTCGAGATCCACGCATGAAAACAGTTACTGTCAGAGTTGTTAAGAAAAGGATACGGTTTTTAATTGACAGATACATGGCCAACAGCAATGGAAAGTAAGTTTCATCTGCATTCAATCTCTAATGAAGTCTTCTTTATTTTAATTATATTAGATTATCAGAGTCTTGAAATACTAAGAGACTTAACTTTTGGTGCCTTCAACTTCAATTGTATCTCAACTGTGGCAGAGTATTTTCACTGCAAAGAGAGCAACCATTTTTATTTAGTCTCAACTCATTGAGCTCTTTGGGTTAAGAAAGACATTTCTTGAGCACTAAATTATTTGACACTTCAAAAAAAAATATTATTTAATTCTCTGAATATTAAATAGAAATCTGAAATTTTATGACATCATGATAAAATTTAATTGTTGATGATACTTGGACCAATGTCTGTCTGTTGCAACAAATTTAACCACTTGCTCCTGGTGTTTATATTACTAAACCTAACAATGACGCTTTAATACCCGGTACATGTGCTAGTATTGTTTTACCGGTAATTTTTATTCCAAAAGCTAAACTTTTTAGCAATGTTTTTTTTTAAATGGCTCTTAGGATATTTTTTTTAAATTTCATATTTCCAAAAGCCCTGTGTCCTTATCTGGGTTGTTGAAATTACAATGCCTGAAATAAATAAAAAATAATTTTGTGGCTTTTCTAAAACTGAAGTCAGAAAGTTTGGTTTACAAATGTATTACAATTATAGTACCAATAAGATATTTAAAGGATAAGATGGAGATTTGTCCAAAAAACATATTATAAGGGAAAACTCTTTTATTGTACTATTTATAATTATGTATTAATTAACTTAACCTCTTATTTTCAGACCCCCACTTTCTGATGATGATATGGGAATTATTCTTTATGAGCTTGCAAAGGCCAAACAAGATGCCATTGATAATGTGCCAAAGCAACCAGTCAAGAAAAGAGGAAGAGGACGACCAAGGAAGAGGGAGAGAGAGGAAACTGAGGATGAAGATGAGGATATTAATGAATCCCATGACTTTGACGATTCTCCAAATTTTTCACCTGGTAATTTGCATAGTTTTTTGTGTGCTTGAAATCAGACCTACCAAAGTTTCAGCCAGTTAATCAGTTTTTATTAATTAAATGCCAATATTTAAAAATTAAAAATATGCTCCCACCAGCGTGTTAGTGTTTACTGTTTCAGAATGCGTCACCTTTTATTGACATAAACATGACCATGTATGACATAACCACATTATTTCTTGTTCTAGGTGCTTCCTCCCCTGTAAAAAAGCCAGTAAGAACAACTTACACTAGATCATCCACATCATCAGGCACAGATACATCAGCTTTTCTCCGATACATGGAAAGGAAGGATGAAAATGACAGAAAATTAAGGCAAAGTGAAATAGATCTCCGCAGGGAAGAACTCGAACTTCACAAAAAAGAACTTGAAATAATGCGGGAAAAATTTGAATTCGATAGGATTGAAAGGCAGGCCCACCTTGAGTTACTGAAATCTCAGCTAGAAGCGTTTACTGGCCACAAGGCAAAAATTGTTATTCCTGATGGAAAAGTAGATGGAAATGCAGTCACAGAGTACACAATAGTTGTAAATAATGACCAAGCTTTTGGGCCACAATGACTAAGCTTGTAGAACTGCTTGTATTTGCTGTTGTCTCAACTGTCTGTGCACGTAACCACCTGACATTCTAGTCCCAAAGTTTTAACCTACTTCTTCAAAGCTTAAATATTAATTTAATAGAAAAACAAATTGAAATTTGTATTATCTTTTCCAAAAAAAAAAAGAAGAAAAAAAGCATTATAATTACAGTGTGTCTTTTATTTTTTTATTTGATTTACAATTACAGCATAGAATGACTTTCAACACAGTTCTCACCATATTAATTTACTAAACTTAATTGCAGAAAGCTTGTATTTTATTAAGTATATACTGATTTATAGAATCATTAGGAATATTATTAAAAAGTATTGTCTGCTCTATAAGGGGACTGATGTGTCTAAGTACTATTCCTACATATAATATATCTGTGCTTTCTTTTCACAGTTTCATTTGAATATTCTTAATCAGGTATGCCGAGTTTGTATATTTTGGGTACTATTTCTAGATATTCTTCCACATCTGTTGTGTCAGTTTCAGACTTTAAAGACACATGCATAAAACCTTGATGCCAAAAAAGCATCACAAAATCTAATTTTGTCAATATTGCAACCTGATTTGGAAAAGTGAGTAAACCCGTCTGCCTATTATTGAGTGTTAATCTCTATTCTGAACTATGATTTGTGCTGGTGTGAGAACAAATACGTGACAAATATTGCCTGACATATCTTTGGTATCGAAAAAAATTTGAATGTTTGTTCTTGGAGATGCAGGTGTCATTTGTATTGTAAACATTTCTGTAAATATAAAATGAAAATGAGCTTGTTTGTACAAGAGTGTGTATGACTAAAAGAGTTATCTTCAAATATGAGTCTAATTTAAGATAGGAATTGCTTAACAATTGTATATTTGGGTGATGATTCAAGTTTTATTTAAGTTAACAGTGGCATGTTCAATTCAAAGACCAGTCAGTACTGTCAGGGACAAGCAGTAATATACCATGCTATCCCCAAAATGATTCCACTATATGCACATTTATTAGACTTTTTATATGTGCATGTTCAAGACAAATATGACATTAGCTTCTACTCAGACATTACAGCACTGGAAAGCTAAATTTTATGATTTTGCTTGTAAATAAAAATGTTCATACAACAAGGAATCCAAGGATTGAAATTACATACTTTGCCAAGTTCTTCTAGATATTTATATAACCAAAACAAAATGAGTTTAAACAAAAATTTCAGCATATATGGCGGCATATTTTAAATTGGAATCGTTGAACTTTCAGGGATGTCACTCTGCAATATTCAAGTAAATTTGTTTATAATTTAAAAAATTCAAATTGATGTTCAAATAACTGTTCCATTCTAGTTCTAGAGGTATGATGAATATTTCGTAATGATGCTAGGCTATTTGAACGGTGTACAGCATGCGGACTCAGGTGTAAATGATATGTATATATTTTAACTTACAGTGGAGATTTTAATTAGTTCCCACCAGGTCTCCCTCTCATTTGTTAAATCAATCTGATACTATGTGAAAACATATGCGTGGTATCTACCCCGTTATTAGAAATGCTGTAAATGACTGCAGGTGGATAATCTTTCTCTGGGCTCTGTAATATTTTAGTAAAAAGAAAATTTAATCATTGCCAGCAGGGACTACATTGTTCTCACACCGTAAGCTTTCTTGTTGGGAGGGGATGCATCTTTCTCCTAGGTCCATATTAAAGGTTTGCAACTAATTGCTAGCGGAAAGTTAATCTTTCTCATGGCTCTGTAAATAATTCTGCATTTATTACATACCAGGTACAGGTATGTAGAGGTACAGGTTGTAAAGTAACTGATGAATCAGTTGATTATATTTTGGTGCTAGTGCTAGCCATTATTTCTAATGGGGATGAATGAGGCAAAGCAACTTTTCTGTACTTTTATTACAAAGAAGCAACAGTTTTATGTTTCTTTATAAATTTGATTTAAATTTAAAGTGTTCCAATTGATAAAGTAGTAATACTACAATATATAAGATGGCATTATTTGGTTATTTTATTAAAAAAAACCTCTAAACACTTGTACAGGTATTGACATTGCAATCGTATTTTCCTCTATAGGAGGGTGCTCTAAGTTTAAGGTCTTGTGCACATGAAAATGGGGGTTAATTCATTTAAGTAAAATGAAATTCGATTTCAAAATTTTGTTAGATCTTTGTAAGACCTGTTTTTTTCATTGTTTTACTTCAGATTTATGTTATACAATTGTTGAAAATAAACCAACTTATATTAATTATAATATTGATGATTATTTTTTATTGTTATTGCCTACTACTACTACACATAATTAAAAGTATACACACTGCCACATGCATATGACTTTATTTGATAATTAAAATTAGGCCTATTGATATGGGACAAAAATGTCCTAAACCGCTACAGGAATACCTCTAGTGTTGGCAGCATGCTAGAAACACTAGGCTGGTCACCATTGGAGAAACGACGACGACAATCCAGGCTCTCCATGATGTACAAGATAAATAATGGGCTGTAACACTAGGCTGGTCACCATTGGAGAAACGACGACGACAATCCAGGCTCTCCATGATGTACAAGATAAATAATGGGCTGGTCCACTGTTCCAGTATTAAACAGAAACTCGTCCCTCTCCCCCATAGACAGCGACGAGGTCATGACAGGCAATTCAGGCTCATACCAGCAAGAAGCCAGTATAGGAGTTGCTCATTCCTGCCCAAGACAATCAGGGACTGGAACAATCTTTCAAAAGGAATGGTTGAGGCGACAACACTAGACACATTTGTGTCTATTGCCTCAAGCCAGTGTTTCCCAACCTTTTTTGTGCCATACCCCACCTAAGCATTTCTAAAATACTTATGCCTCCTATTTAATATATAGATAATTTTTAATATTAAAAAATTGAATAGTTCACTAAATGAAAACTTAATGATGTTTTTAGTATTACAAAAATGTCTTTAGGAATGAATAGGTTTTCGGTAGAAATTTTTAAGGAAACACAATTAGTACATTTTCAAAGTACAAAGTGAAAGATATTTTTGAAATATTTTTATTATTTCATTTTGTATTCATTATTTATTAATTTTAAAATACAATGAGAGATCAAAATACAATGTAAGATGACTAATTGAATGAGAAGCTTGATGCTTGCTGCACAGAGATTTTATTATATGCTCCAATTAAGATATATTCAGTCTCAAGTCTCCCCGCTGCATTATATCCAGCTGATCTCTTTTTTTTATAGCAGCAAATCACTTATTGCACTAAATCCACATTCAGCTAAATGTAAAGATGGAATCTGTAACAATAGCAGTCGAATTTGGATATTTGAATTCTGTTTACTCACAAAGCCATGCCATGGCTTCTTTTTTTATTACATAAAGTTTTAACAGACACATCATTTTGCATTTATGCGCATTCTTAATATTGCACATTTGAAACATCAGACAAATCCACTAACATTGGCGGCATCACCCAATTTGGAAAATCAATTTTTTTAAATTACAAAATCTTTCTTCTAAATCAGATGACAAAATTTTTAGATGATCAACCATAACAAGTATAGCGCTATCCGTCACTTCACATTTTTAGCCAATGAAAATTTTCAAAATTTTTGTTACAAACATATTTCTGACATAATTCAATAAATGTACCAGTACTGTAATGAAACCAAACATATTTGCTTTTGCATCGACAAGAGTTTTATTTGCTCCTTGACGTTGGTTATTTAATATATTTAGTTTTTCATAGATATCGGCTAAATAATTCACAGAGGCTTTACCATAGCTGAAGGTACTTCATTTCAGTTTCAGGTTTCTCACTTAAAAAGTCACCAAGATTATTACATAATTGCATAAATCTTTTCAAGCAGTTCCCTTTCAAGAGTCACCTTACTTAGGTGTGAAGTCAAAGCCTCACATGTCACATGATCTGCATTTTGTTCTTCACAAAATATCTTGAAGAGTCACTCACATTTGGCATTAGCTTTAATAGCATTGAGACACTTTATAACTGAATTTAGTACTTCATTAAGAACAGGCGAAACATTTTTGCTACCTACCAAGTTTTCCCTATGAATAATACAAAGCACAAGTCAAGAAGCATTTCTGGATTCTCATCCTTCATCAATTTATTATAAGCAGCCATTTTTCTTGCCCATTCTTTTTTTAAAATCAAGTTAAATCATAGTAGAGGGTTGTTTTCAATTTTTGGACAGCTCATTTTTTAATTGGCCCCATTAACAATCAAGTGGGCCCCACGTTTAGAAACACTGGCCTAGTCCCCCGTACAAAACATAATACGAGAAGTATTTTACGAGTGCATTGTTTAATATGGTCAAGCCAAAGGCTTAAAAAAATAATAGACATGACCATGGGCGCCAGCAGAAAACTTTCTGTGGGGGGGGGGGGGGGGGGGGGGAAAAGATTTAATTTTCAAGGGGGGGGAAAACATTTTTNAATGGACAGGACATCAGCTTAGTTACTTTCTCTTTATTTTCTCTTTACTTTAATAAATTTTTTGTCTATTTTTGTCCAAATTTTTTTATCCAATCAATCCAGGGGGGTGCCCCCCACCCCCCCACCCCCGTGCGGTCGCCCATGGACATTGCCTATTTAAAAATATTTTTAAGTTAAAGGGATAGGGAAATAATGACCTATTTTTAGACTAAATGTTATATGACATTTGAGGAAAAAAAATTTTTTTTTTTTAAAAATTCAAAGAATTTGGTCTGACGTTTAAAATAAAATAAAAATAAGATTGGCCTATAATAACTTTTATTATTATTTATAATTTTAATACTAATTTCCTATGCATTAGCCTAAGTTTAATTGTTGCATTTATTACCATAATACAAAATTAATCAATTTTAATAGAAAGGAAAGTTTATTGAATTGATAATTCATTTTTAAAAATCACGCAAATATGGACGAGTTATTAGTTATTGGCCTATTAATATTTAGTGATGATTGTCGTTTTAGTCATTACCACTTTATTTATTAGACTTTGCTCAAGAAATGCACATCAATAATTTTTTCAAAAATTTGGGATATTTTTCAAGCTAAAAAAAACATTTTTAAAAAAAAAGGGGGGGGGGGGAGCCAGCCAAATTATTTATTGTGGTCTCGCCATTTCAAGTCTCTTAAAACCGCCATTTTCTTAGAAAGAGGAGACGTACCGTAAGCCGTAAGGTTTCATGTAAGCATTTAATGCTCATTAAATGTTTACGACCGTCTTGCTCATCAAACGCTTACATTTGTACAATTACAAAGACAGATCATTCATATGAACAATATCTTTCAATATGGAAAAATTATTCAACAAATATAATAATATAAATAAGTATAAGTGGGAGGGGGTCCACGAATTCGTTAAGCCAAGCTTTGTGTTAAAAGTGTCAAACTTGTGTTATGAATCATGAATGTGTGACGAAAATTTTATTTTTGTTTGTTTTTGGTGCGGGGAGGGGGGGGGGTTGGGGTGGTGTGAGTCACGAGTGTCATCGAAAATAGCCTCACATCGGTTACTGATACTGATACTATTGAAGAACTGACCTGAAGCTTAGTATTTACATCACCATGGCTCCCGACCAATGTCCGACCATGTCATTGTCCATTGAGACATTTCCGTTGCGTAAGCAACATCAAACGATATTAATAATATCAGTAATGAAAGAAAGTATTTTAAAAGGCTATATAATATATACAAAATATACATAGCAGTGTTTTCTCCTACAGCTTATTGATTGATTAAGTCCTTTAAAAAAAATTATATAACGTTTGTGTACATGCTATTTTAGCAAGCTCACAATGCTCTGATGTTCTAAAATCTATTTAAAGAGAGAAGTCTTTAAATGGTTCTTAAACTTAAATTAAAATGACTTTTTATCATTTTCAATGTCCCTCAAATGCAATATCATACAAATATTTTATTTGATTAAAATTTTTATTTTACCACAATTACTTAATAAATTTGACTTTTGTTTAGTTTATCACAAATGATAAATATATCAGTATATAATATAAACATGCCAACAATTTTGTAGCTAAAATGAAATAAAATGCATTAATACATGATATAATTTATTATATCATTTATAGTAAAAACATACATTAATGATACATTCTGTCCTCCTATTTTTAGTTCCCGAATTCTAATGTGGGATGACTTGCCAAGATGGTAAGAAAGCATTTACTGAATATAAAACCAGAGGTTATTAATACAGATACCAGTGCAGAGTTCCTGAGAGTTTTCAGGTCACTGAGACCTGAATTTAACAGCTGGGATGAATTTTCAACTCTTCTGGAAGAGTTTCAAAAGGTTACAGGAGCAGGTACAAATAACAAAAAAATTCCAAATAATCATATTATATAATGATAATATATATATATAAAATATTGAGTTTTCCAAATATGAGCTATATAAATAAAATTACCACCATATACTTCTGCATTGATCTAGACCAGGGGTCACCAAACTACAGCCAGTGGGCCGGATCCGGCCCACGATGTCATTTCATCTGGCCCGTCGACAGTACTTGAATTTGCTTGATAAATCATTTTGAACATGAGTGGTATAATTTAAATTTAAATATTATGTAATACATGGAGCTCTTCACACATGCAGAGACCTTCTGGCTGCTAACGTCGCCTTTTTTGATAACCTTTTTTTTAGCAAATAAATATGTTGGTTGTCTTTGTTTTTTGTGCATTGCATGCTGCTCACCCATGATTATTACGGAATACTGAACTTAGCTTTTTTATTTTTTTCCAGAGCTTTCGTTCTGGCTTGCAAATATTGTACAGAATGATTATGCGGTCCCTCTTCATTATCCTCATCATTTTGTCAGTTATCTGGCCCACTGTGAAAAGTTTGGTGACCCCTGATCTAGACCAATATTTGTACACATACATTTGATTATCCATATTCTATATATATGGTAGGGAAATACTTTAAATGTATTGTGCTTAATTGTTATAGTTGTAAAATGTTGTCTTGGTTAAAAATATGTATTTATTTATGTACTCAAAATGAATATATACTATGTAATCAAAAAACATTTCCATTTTTTAAAAATGTACCTTATATAAGTGATATACATACCAGTAGGTTCAGACAACAATATAGGGTCCTACAGGAATCTAGTCATTTAAAAGGCTATTTCTCTGGTATTTTTTAACAGATTTTATCCAATGGGACAGAATTTAAATTCAACGCCATTATTTATCTGAATGATTTTTATAGGGCCCTCTATCTAAGGCCTAGCTAAAATGGCACCTTGAGGCATGGGCTCCCATCAGGACCCCTCTTTTAACTTAAATGAAAAATAGTTATAATTATTGCATTTTGTTGTAGATTTTCTCGTATTCCAAAAACATTTACATAGAAAATGTCAGATATCCAGGCAGGTCCCTGTTAGATTTTAAAAAATTTTGAACATATCTTGTTCCGCTATTAATTCTGAACTATACTTTTAAAAAATCTTTTTAAATGCTGTAAATATATCACATAAAAAAATAAAAGTTTTAATGCTTAGAGAGAATTTTTCCTTTTAAATTTTTTAATTAAGATGGCAACTGATACACAACTTTTGGAAATGTATCTACTTCTAATTTAACAGATTTCATAAATTTTAAACTCTGTAGCTTTCAAGCCAAAATGTGGTACCTCTGTAGTAAATATAAACAGAAGACGTGTGTATAACAAGATTCCAGAGTGTTTCAAATATCAAACGGTCAACATGGTTTGTCAACATTATGGCGTGCCAACCACCACTACCCCACGCAGGAACAGGTAGGTAATTATATTTATAATTTCCAATTTTTTTTTTACATGTGGAAAGTCCATACCTTTCAATTTTTGTTTCCACATAACACCTTTTTTTTAAACACCATATAATTGTATGAGCAGTTCATGTGTTGTTTAAATATAAGAGGGCTTTTGAAAATAAATAAAATAATAATGCTTGATTGATCTATTTAATCTCAGGAAGTTACCAAGTATGCAAATAAATACACACGGGCCGTGGTGGATCTCTGGAAAAATCACATGGGGGACAACAAATAAACTGCACTTTGTTTGGGGTGGGGGGGTCGACAAAATAACCAGGCAACCACCAATTATAAAAAGTAAGATACTGTTTTCATATTTACAAATCTGTTTCTTCCAGAGGAGGCACATGTCTAGAATTAACCCCTATCACCCTTCTAATCCACTTTTGCTAAAAAATGCTATTTAGTTGCAAGATAGATATCCATTATGTGAGAAATTCAGACTAATGAGAATGCAAAAGGACTAATGACATTTTTTTAAAATTAACAAAATGTTGATTCATATTTTGTGGTCTATAGCAAGTTTTCAAACTTAATGATTTCACTAGTAAAAATAATGTCTTTTCTTTTACATAGTCTGCTAGCACCCTCTTACACCCTATCTTATTCAAAGGTTACAGTATACAATTGTAAAATATAAGACATTCATTCCATCATTGAAATTTTATTTGTTCTTGATGATTGTTTAATATTTTATTTTACTTTAGCTATATGGGACTTAATTGTAAAGCCCACATCAAGTTAAGTTACAGCAAGGGGAGACTACACGTAACGTCCGTTATCTTCACTCATTCAAACCATCCCCTCATTCCAAGTGGGAATAACCCAAAGAGGTAACCAATGGTATTTTTGTGTGTTAAGTTCATGGCCCTGACTGGTTGTGGTTACATTTGCTTTGAGAGAATGCTGGTGATACTTAAACTCATAAATCATGATTTCTACTAAAATATACATTTTATGTATTTAAATTTGATAAATTCATTACACCTATAATAAATATGTTAAATTGTTGTTTACACAGCAATGTTATGGCAGAATTATTTAAAACAATCGGAAATAAGAAACATAGGTTAAGAGAAAACAATGAGTTGTTTTGTTTCATCTTCCTTCAAGTTTTCCCAAACCCTACAGAAAATATTATCTCCTGTAAATTCTCTTCTTCTTCTTTGGCACTTTTGACATGAGTGAGAGTGATGCATAGGTCATTCGTAACTCTCTTTTTGTTCATCTCTGATCTGAGCTATTCTTTCCAGTTCACTCCACTTCTTACCATTTCACTCCACTTCTTACCATTTCTCTCCATCTCCTCTGTTGGGCTTCTAATGTGTGTGTCTCTAAAAGTTGTAAATAATCATATATTCAGAGGTTTTAAAAATTTTTGATACATGATAATAACCAGTCTATTTCTTTTATTGTTGTGATATTGTTATGACATGTGATATTCAGACATATTTTATTGTTGTGAGATTATTGTGTTCCTTGGTACTCAGACAGCTGAGGACAGTGACATTTAATGACTACCTGGATTTGCTCATGGTTCGGGAAGTCCTGGCCAGCAATGTGTATCTGTACAAAAATGGGGACAAGCACTGGAAAGCAACAGTCATTAGAATACAAGATTTGGATCCAGGATTCTTGCACGTGACACAGAGAATGGTCAAGCGCAGGACACAGTTTTTGATTGACAATTATTTGGAAAATTCTATTGACAGGTGAAATGACTTATGACTTAACTCAACAATAAAGTTTTAAAGAAACAAAACAGTTAACAGTTTTGAGAAAAATGCAAAATTTGATTTGACGTGGAGTTTTCAACAACAGACAATAACTAATTGTTTAAGTTACTGCTATACACAGTGGGAGCCTAAAAATTATATTGATAGGAGTGGCCAAGAAAATTTATTATTTAATTTATACCAAGTCAAGAACTACACATCTTAAAATTAAAGTTGATTAATAGATAGGATTGTCTGTACCATACTTTTGTAAATCATATCTTTGTATGTAAAAATGCCCTAATTTTTTATACATAGATTTATTCCTTTATACCGGTATCTAAATCTTTTTACATGCTGGTTGAGAACATCTCTATTAGACTACAGATTTTAAAACTAATCTAAAGCAATTAAAAATGAACAAAGAAATATTACTTAATAAATCTGAACACTGCATATGAAATATTATTACTTTGGAATTAAATTAAGTCACTTTTAACTTTTTAATAGTTTTTTTAAATACCTTAATATTGGTTTATATATGACAGAACAATTTTTTTTTCTACAGCAATTTTTTTTCTTTTTACAGTTCTCCTTCACCCAATGATGAAATGGGCCAGATTTTAAAAAAGCTCTCTGAACTGAGGGAACCCAAGCCAACAGCTAAACCTCGCCTCCCCAGGACTCCAACTACATTACCAAAAGCTTTACCCAAAGATCTGCTCAAGAAGAAGAAGAGTAAGCCCAAAAAGAAGCCCAAGAGAGGTAGAGGGAGGCCAAGGAAGAAAACTCTCTTTACTGAAGATGAGTCACAGTACTTGGTGAAGTTGGGATCTCCTGAAGTGGAGAGTAATGAGGACATAGATTATTTTTCTACCCTGATGGATGTCCCTGACATTAACACAGACTACAAAACAACAGAAATTAGTGGTGAGATGGATTCATTGGAGCCAGCTATTTCATTTTCACGTAGGTATACTGATGGTCAATTTTTAATAAAGAATTATAAGAAGTTTAAATCATTAAAAAAAAATCATTTCTCTTGAAAGTATTAACAAAATGTGAGAGCTAAGCATTCAAGCATAAAAGTAACATTTTAATGTCCAAATTATATGTATATTTTATTAAATACATATTACACAAATATTCAGCTCTCAAAAACGTAGTTTCAAGCACCAAAGAGTAGTTTTGGCCAATTAGTGTTGGGATGGAATTAAAATGCAACAAGATGTGCCAGAAAATCCACACCACAGATTATTTTAAAATTGTTAGCAATAAAGATGCTTGAACAATGAAAGTTATTTTAATACAAACATATAAACAAAGAAGTTAACAGAATATCATTCTTTGTTTGGTTTCTTAAGGATGGGGCGAGGTCTTCCGACACTGAGTGCACAGACTTGCTTGATTCATAAGCACATTTGAGTTACTTAAGGTTATGCTCAGTACTCTGTCAATAGTATTTAGTGGGCTGGGTTTCAGTACAAGAAGACATTCCAGTGTCTCTGAGGAAAAGGACTGCCTCTCAGAAACATTGGAATCTTGATGCTTGATGTTTTTTTATTGAGAGCATTGCACATCTCTAAAATATTCACACACAGTAAATTGAATAATATAAAATGCTAAATTGGTATTTAAATAAATCACTATCCATGATCAGTATCCACATAAAATAAAAATACAAACAAATGCCCTTACTTTGGCGCTCAGTCATATCTGTCAAATCACAGGCTTTTAAATCTTGTAAGGTGGAACAGAGATCATCCTTGTCCACCACCATCACAATGAGATTGCAAAAAAAATATACTTGAATAATTGTCATTTACTCCTTGCTGACTCAGAAACGAACAAGGTACTCTCATCCCCTCCAGTTATTGTCTTCAGACCGGACAAAAATCTAGGTTGACAGTCGCCTTCTGGCTGACCCCTCTTATGTTGTGACTAAACCAAGAAGCCGTTGTAGGACTTGCTCCTATGTTTTGGAAACTATACACATTGGCTCCCATAAGGGGATCTTTACAATAAAAGAAGGCTTCACACGTATTAGTTGAAATGTGATCTATGTGATTGTTTGCCAAAGATTCCGCTTCTGCTATATAGGTGAGATGGGAAGAAGGCTATTTGATAGGGTCAGTGAACATCTTTGGGATATTGAACAAAACAAGCCATCCCTGGTCTCATCCCTTTTCAATTGAGGTGACCACAAGGGCACATCTGATGTAATAATAATAATAATAATAAAGTTCATTTCAAAAACACGCTTCATCCCCAAAGGCTCGAAGCGCGGTACAAAGTCAACAAAATACAAATCTATAATTTACCACATTTAAAACAAACGCAACACTACAAAAACTAATTACAAGCATACAATGGCAAAGTCTTTCTAGCCATTTCAACCATAAGCAACACAGCCATTATGCATTAACTGGAAAATATCATTTAAAACAAACGCAACACTACAAAAACTAATTACAAGCATACAATGGCAAAGTCTTTCTAGCCATTTCAACCATAAGCAACACAGCCATTATGCATTAACTGGAAAATAAGGTTGACAATCATCCCAGAGGGTGTTTGCGAAATAGATGTGTCTTTAAATTGGTTTTAAAGGACTCCAGTGTCTGGTTGTTTCTGAGATCGACAGGAAGGGCGTTCCAAATTGTTGGACCAGCAAATGCGAAAGTGCGCTTTCCGTAAGTCTCAAGGCAAACACGTGGTGTCGAGAGTTTGCCACTATCGGATGAGCGGAGCTCTCTACTGGGTACATAAGGCGTCAGCAGCTCTTTCAGATAGGACGGCGCCAGGTCATGTAAGCAGCGGTAGCACAAAGTTGCGATTTTGTACTCTATGCGAGCACGCACCGGCAGCCAATGCAACTCTCTCAGAAGTGTTTTTGCATGGTCGAACTTGCGTTTGCGGAGAACAATGCGAGCCGCATTATTCTGTGCTATTTGAATTTTATCCAGGAGCGTAGCTGGAAGACCCACCATGAGAGCATTGCAATAGTCCATGCGTGATAGCACAAATGCAGAGATCAGCCTCTTTGTTGCATCAATTGTTAGGAAGGGCCTGATGTGACTAATCCTGCGCAGCTCCAGAAAAATCGCCTTGCATAGCATGTTAATATGATTTTCAAAAGTTAGTCTTCTATCTAGGTAGACACCCAGGTACCGCACTGTTTGAGCTAACTCAATACGCCCACCTGAGAGAGTAATGGATGTCGTGTTATTTGCAGATTTTTGCTTCTGAGCGGTCGCAATGGGGAGCAGCTCAGTCTTATCATCATTTAATTTGAGCTTGTTTATGGTCATCCATAATGTATCCATTAAGGCTCTAGTCTCTTGCACCAGCACTCCAGCGAGAGTGAAAACAAATTTATTCAGATTTTCAGCACCATATCACCAAATGGAATTAATTAAAAGCTCTCAAGTGATCCTTTATTTCCCTCCATTTCTACTCTCAATTTTTTTCTGTTTAAAATTGTACAGTAATAATACTTAAATTCTTGTACGGTGACAGTACGCAACCATAGAATAATATGGATTGCAAATTTTGGGTTTGAACAACTTAACATCCATTTCTAACACTGACATAGATCACTTTCTGTTCTGAACATTTTATTTAATAATTTCAATTTATCTGTTGTTTATTACTGTATTGTATTCTCTGCTGAAGAAGGCATCTAGCCAAAACGTCCACCTGTCTTCTTAAATTTTCAAGCCCAAAACATATCTTGTTCCACTATTTATTTATTCGATTGCTGACAGTGCTACCACAAAAAATACGGTAATTTTTATTAACTTCTGAAAAGGTTTTTTTAGGCTCGTCATTAATGCCTGAATCTTAGGCTTAAAATGTAGTTACTAAGGTGAAAACATAGGGGTGAACAGGTCTTCAAGTAAGAGAACATTTTTATATTTAACCATATTATAACTAAGTGTATGATGTTGGGGGGTCGTTTGGCTCCTTCCTCAGAAATGATGTTGAATTAGCTGTGGTTACCTGCCATAAAAATGGAAGATGTTGAATTCCTGGTGAAAGCAAGCTATTTGTTCCATCTCCTTTTAGTTTTTAATTTTTTTTTTTTTTAACTATGGTTTAAAATTTTAATTCAAACTGTTCAAGTCCATCACACAGCAGCTTTAAATTAAATTGTAAAAAAATTAATATATATTTATATAGTAATCAAATTCATACAATTTTAAAATAATTGTTGCATACTCCACAGCGGCCTCCCATGTCAAGGGTAACTCTACAGACAACCGTCCCACCCCAGACAACTGTGCGACCCCAGACAATCATCCTACCCCAGACAACAGCGTAGCCACTGATCACTGTGTGCCTCCACCTGGCCTAACCAATGTTGATTTATTCTGGGAATACTGGCGACACAGAGATGCTGAAGAGAGAAGACTCAGGCAAAAAGAAATCAGAATAAGGCAAGAGGAGATACAACTGCGAAAACAGGAGCTAGCTCTCCAGAAGCAGAAGTTTGAATTCGACCGTGATGAAAGAGAGAGCTACAGACGACTTCTTTTCAAACAATGGGGGAGTTACAATAAGTCCTCAGAGAAACCTGGGGTCAACAGCCAGCTGGACAATAATGACCCAAACGAATATGCTGTGATACTCAGTACTGGGGATATACTTTCAATGCCGGTCTAGTCAAACTGGTAAACCTGGTATCAGGCTGGAAAGTCTGAGGTCAATGAATAGCTGGACAGCCTGAGGTCAATGGATAGCTGGACAGCCTGAGGTCAATTGATAGCTGGACAGCCTAAGGTCAATGGATAGCTGGAGAGCCTGAGGTCAATGGATAGCTGGACAGTCTACAATATGAAGGACCATTTTTCAAAAATTTTAATTCCAGCAATACCAAATTTAACGTTTATATTTACCACCGCTCCTGGGATAAACTGGTTTCCATTACCATGGAAACTAACCATTACCACCACCTGTGGGATAAACTGATTCATCACCATGGACACCAACCATTACCACCACCTTTGGGGATAAACTGATTCATCACCATGGAAACTAACCATTACCACCACCTGTGGGATAAACTGATTCATCACCATGGACACCAACCATTACCACCACCTGTGGGATAAACTGATTCATCACCATGGAAACTAACCATTACCACCACCTGTGGGATAAACTGATTCATCACCATGGAAACTAACCATTACCACCACCTGTGGGATAAACTGATTCATCACCATGGACACTAACCATTACCACCACCTGTGGGAATAACTGGTTTCCATCACCATGGATACTAACCATTACCACCACCTGTGGGATAAACTGATTCATCACCATGGACACTAACCATTACCACCACCTGTGGGGTAAACTGTTTTCCATCACCATGGAAACTAACCATTACCACCACCTGTGGGATAAACTGATTCATCACCATGGAAACTAACCATTACCACCACCTGTGGGATAAACTGGTTTCCATCACCATGGAAACTAACCATTACCACCACCTGTGGGATAAACTGATTCATCACCATGGAAACTAACCATTACCACCACCTGTGGGATAAACTGATTCAACACCATGGACACTAACCATTACCATCACCTGTGGGATAAACTGATTCAACACCATGGACACTAACTATTACCACCACTTGTGGGATAAACTGCCTCATCGTCATGGAAACTCACCAAAACAAAATACATGCTGAAGTTGGATTTACACGGCCATCTTGGCATTAGCTGAAAGTTGTAAAGCAGCCCCAGCAGTGCTCAAATTGTTAGTTTTAAAGTTAAAGTATAGAGCTCTATCTCATAAGGAAAACGTAGAACAATGTGTGATGTGGAAGTTTGAATTGAAAGACAGGATTCAAGCTTCCACATACCTTTTTCTACTTTATCCTTGACACAGCTTGAACGCTGTCCTTCATATCATATGAAATCAAACTATTTGTTTTTTCCAAGATCTTGGAAAAAGGAAACGAGAACTTCGTTCAAACCTAAAGCCAAGTCTATTGAAAGCTCAATAATAATTCATACCATACAATTATTCGACATCTGATGAAATAGAAAGTTTGAACTGTATGACGTCTCTCATGTGATTTAATAGAAAACAATTTTTACCTACAGGAAAGAAAAAAATATTTACAATGAATGAAAAGATTTGTTTTCTCATATATTTGGATCAATAAAAGTATCTTATTTTAGGGGGGTTTGTTTTCAGAGCTAAATGACACAATTTACACAAGGATGCACAATGTCAAGGCTTTCAAATGCTTTTATAAATATTTTTATTTATAGAATAATATACTCAGATATGCAAAGTAATACTTCATCAATATGCATTAGTAAAAAGAAAAGATAAATTTGATCTCCTAATAAATAGTATCCTGTAAACTATAAGGATGTATAGCAGAACATAAATTTAAAGCTTTCTTAAAAAATATTTGTAAAAAATTTATTTTATTACAATGAAATTTACATTTTAAAATAAATTAATAATATTTTTAAAAAAAACAACATTGAAATCCTAAAGACAAATTCACAAAACATTATCTCCCCTGTCATACACTTTCAACTGAAGTCCAGAAATCAACTTTTTAATATTAAATGCTACCAGTGTAAACATTAAGATTAAACTTTTAACTTGGGCTTGTTTTACAAAAACACTCCCCCAATCCACAATGGTTACATGATTTCATCAAATTGCCTTTGTCAAGCAACAACACTACACACACAGCCATTAAAATATGACAAAACTAAAATGATAAAACTGAGGTTATAAATAAATGGATGGCTAAAAAGGTTAAAGTACTAACCTGTATGGACGGTTAAAAGGTTAGTGTATTAACCTGAATGGACAGTCAAAAGATTAATACTAGCCTGTAGGGATGGCTAAAAGTTAAAAGGTTAGAATATTAACCAGTACGGATGGCTAAAAGGTTAAAGTACTAACCTGTGTGGAGGAAAATGTTTTTAATAAAGCATCAGGACATTTTGACAACTTAGATTTTGTTTAAAAAAAAAATATTCTTAATGACGGAATACATGATAAATTAAAAAAAAATATAAGGCTGAGGAAAATTTCAATACCATCAAATTTGTATAAACGAGAAAGTTCACTTCAGGCAAATTCCAAGCATGCTGGCAATGGGATGGAGTCGAGAAAAATCCTAGGTGTTTTTCTCCATGGATACCAGAAGGATTAAATTTATTTACTTTAAAAAAATTATTTGTAGAAAAAAAAAACAATATCAAGCACACTTGGTTCGGTTCTCTGTGGTTAATTTGAAAATAACAGTTTAAAATTATAGTGTTAAAAACAAAATTCTTCAAGGGAATCCACTGATATCAAATTATAATCATAATACAAAATAAAAATACACTACATTTAAAATAGCAAATATAATTTATTTAATGACAGATAAATTTATTGTATTTTTTTTAAAAACTTGTAAAATGTGTATACATTTTAAAAAATATTTGTAAGCTTTAGTATAAAATCCATATTTCTATCACAGTTGAGCTTATCTTGTAGTAAATGTGATGAAAAAGCATGTTGTCAATGACAAAAAGAAAAGTTGTATTAAATTATTTTGGCAATATTGTTAAATGTGTTACAATTTTTTCAGTTGGAAATTTGTTGTCACTTGTTCTTCATTTTCTTAATCCATTTACTTTTTTTTTTTATCAACATCTGCACAAATATGCATAAATATGCATGCTTCCAGCAAAGGGGTTCATTTTAAATACAACATTTTTTTTTTTTTACAAACAGAACTAAAGTTATTCAGACGGTAATGGAATCATCTATAACTGGATATAATGGAGACTAGACTTTCAAATGTTATAACTGAAAGAATAAAGCTATTGTAATCAGATAATGCTACTTGATCTGCTACGTTAAAATATAAATATAATTACTGAAATAGTTAATAAACTAATGATAACATGATCAAGTAAATTGTAAGCTATGTATACATACTACTTTACAATGAATCATCAATAAACATCTTATATAATTTCTTCAGTGAAAAAATAACAAATTGAATCATTTCAATTATCCTCCACACACACACTTTTATAACATGCTTTAATACTGAATGAACAGACACAACTCTCTCCCCATGCAATTATGGAAATATTATGTACCACTCCCTGCTCATCCAAGCCACAAGTTTCCATGGCAGCTCCCTAGTGAACTTTGGTCATAATGTTTGCTGACCGTACTTTCTCTAGTTGAGTGGACAGATCCCTGACTTTGTCTGACCAGTACTCACTGCTCTGCTGCAGTTGAATAGAAAGCTGTAGGTAGGGGAGACAATTATTGAGACAATAAATAAATATGCTTTTAAAAATACAGAGTGTAAAAACAATAATGAAACTGTCAATAAAATCAGATGGGGGGGGAGGGGGCAAGGGGGGGGGAGGGGGCAGGGGGGGGAAGCTGGCAGTGGGTGGGTAGCAGTAGAGTTTCAGGGAGAATTTTGTAGTTCTAACTTTATTATTTTTAAAACAACCAGTTAATTGTAATAAAAGTTTAGTGGAGATCTTCACTTTTCAACTTCTCAAAAGAAATTTACATGAGCCGTTTATGAACAAGTTTGATTTCATCAACATTCAGAGTGAATATTTTTATGACTAAAACTTGAAGCTGAAGGGAAAAATGTTACTTACAGTAATTCTAAAGGTGAAATCATGGGATCAAATTATGTACCCTTAAAAATACTGTTAATATTATCTAAATTTTGAGCTAATTCAGTGATGGCTGACCAGGATGATAAAATAGTTTAATAACTTAAATTTTTTTAAAAGTGCAATAACTGTATGAACATGTTAAAATAGGTTTATCAAAATGCAATAAAATATTAAACCAACTCGTGGTTTCAACTAGCTATACTGATCGGTACTTCTTTGATGTTCTAATTTTTCTTTGATCATACTGGTCATCCTATTTAAAAGTAAACCCTGTCTGGTCTGATATCTCCTAAATGTTCCAGTGCTTTAGTAATGGAAGGGTACTGTCCTTGTTATTTATATGAAGCAGTGGCCTCGCCAAATGACAGTCAAAATAGTTTTTGAATTTGCTTTATTTAACATTAATAAATTATAAACAATATGTTGAAGAGACTCTGGGACTATTTCATGACAACACCACTGACTACGCTACGTCCTCGTCTAGAGTATAAATGTGATTCAGCATGCAAGTTGAATCAGAAAGTTGAATAGTTCAGACAAGAGAAAGTTGGATAAAATACATTTGTGATCCAAACCTAAATAAAAGAATACTACAGTCAAACCCGGTTATGTCGCCAGACTCTGGGTTTGCCAAAAAGCGTCGAGATAACCGAAAACCAATATGGCGGCAACACATTAACATGTGCTTGAAATTTCTTTATGTACACGATGTGCGTTTAAATGAGAATGTACATGCACATGTTTTTGAGTTTTTTTTTTATATGCAAGAGCGTTACCGTGATTTGTTTGATGAAGCAATCGGCATGCTATAAAAATGTACATACATGTTTGCTAGCAACACAAGGTATATGTGGGGTGCCACTCTTACGGATTATCCCAGAATTCTGGATTTGTGAGGCTAAATATTTTTAGCCCCGGATTTGCGAGTTTTTATTTTTTCTCGCTCCGGATTCACCAGTTCAGTTTATTCAAATACAGATTCTGGGTTAAAAAAAAAAAATCAACGTGTAAGAACATGTGAAAGCCTATTAAGTGACCACCAGGTTCGCTATAAATAGAACAGGTACTACGACCTCTCTCTTTTGTTTGCAAGCCTATCGCTCCTCGCTTCTTGCTGTGTCAATTTAATTGAGCTGACAACGATATTGTTATTTCATTTCAATTACTACAGTTTAAAGTAGGCACATTTCCGTTGTATATAATTTTCAAAAGTCGGCGATTGGTCATGGGGATCGAGATAACCGAGGTTAAGTGGCAAATTTAGCCGAGATAAGTGGGTTCGACTGTAATAATAAAAATTATGATAGTTTCAAGGGTGCAGCTAACGTCAAACACAATGACCTGAGCTGCGAGTCAGTCTCTTAAAGAAAATTAAGGCATCAAACAGAATATTAAAAT